GGGCAGAACGACGCTTCCTGGGCTTCTTCACAGTTTGCGGTAGTTCCAGAGTACAAGCGTCGATGGGTCGTTTAGGTGGTCGAGGCTGGATGATTTCGATATCGGAGGTGCAGTCGAATTGGCTAGGATGTTCAACTTCGCTAACTTGATGTTCGCTAAGAATTTCAACATCGGAGTCGACTTCTTCATGTATCACGGCGGTGCAAATTCGAGTTGAGCTGTCCTCGGGTGGGTGAATCATGAGGCTAACTGGCCCCTCCACAATGAGCATACGGAGAACGCGGGCTAAGTAGTACATGTGTTTGCATGCACTCTCGTACCGAAAGTAATGCTGGCAGGAGCAGCTGCTCAGGTGTCCTCTCAAACTGCTTCCGGTCTTGTGGAATTGGACCTGGTATGCTTGAAGAAGAGGGTTGGTGAAGGAGCTGATTATGTACTGTGAGTATTTGAAAGCCAAATCAGCAATTACCCAAAAGTGTTGTATTTATTAATTAGGTCAAATGACTTGTACGAACATGTGTATCTGTCATGAACAGTTTGAGTCCCATTAGCTTGAAGCAGTTGGTGGTCATGCTGTCTGCTAGTGCCTTAGCTCTTTGCTGGAATTTGTTCGAACGCTGGGGTTTAAATCCGTTTTTGACCTTCTTGTGGACCCAGCGGTAGTTCACTTCCACTCGGTCGACAAAGATTTGAACCACTTCATCAATGCGCCTTCGTTCCTTGGGTATGTACTTCTTCTTCAATACAGCATGCCATGCCTCCGTGTAATTGTTTGTATGAATGCCCTGGTGAGCGGTCTACAAGATACAATAGTGTTAGTGTTGTCAGTAAACATGTTGTTGTGAGGTCCACTGACCGTTCGATAGTGAATACCCCAGTAAGCTAGGTTGGTAATCCACTGCCCCAAAACGTAATTGACAAATGGAGTGCTGATTGCTTTCCACTTGTCGAAGAAGAGATAAATGAGGGTATCGGGTGGGGAGGTGCAATACACTATTTGATAGAAATCGTTCATGGCTTCATCTGCTTGTTGGCGAAGGTGACTCTTGGCATTCTTCCGAAATGCCTTAAGCACATGGAAAAGGCACCAATAGTGTTTTGGTGCCTGGTCCCCAAGATCGCGATAGGCATCGGTGACTGCATTGGCGATGGCAAGTGCACAGTCGCTCATGACCGACATGGGTACATAGCCAGTAGTAGATCGGAGCCATCGGAGTACACGATTGATAGGTCTCCTGATGTGGCAGTATATGAGATGTGCCATGTGTGAGTACAACGAATCGGTGTTATGAAGATCAGGCTCACTTACTCTGCTGCTGAACCAGTGAACGCCCAAGCTACAGGCAGACCTCTCCCAGTGATTGGATCCCTGATCATAATCGTATACAAACTAATTTTTTTGCCCTGGGAAAGGAAGTAGTTTTGCACTGAATTGTGAGTAGCATCGAGCATCATCATCCCCCGACCATGTTCCAATAGCATCTTCTTCTGCCATGTTGACTGAAAGGCAAAAACAAAGTCACTTGTATCCTGTAGGTCCACCAATGTTGACCAATTGGTCTTGAGAAGTTGTGCGTTCCACAGTGCGAGGGACTTGAGGACATTTGGATCTCGCTTGGCTGGAGCAGTCATACAGGTATTCTTGAGATATCGGAATCGATCATAAGTGATGGCGAATCCCTGAGGCTTCACGGAATCGGATTCCAACTGATGGGTTGAGATTGCAAACAAACCAATCAAGTCAGTCTTAATTGAGCAGATCATTGAATTCAATAAACCAGTGACTTACATTGGCTATGTCAGAGCAGTTCACCAACTGTTCAATTGTGTCCCAGTCCAGACCGGAGAGAACACGGTCCTTGAGCCACTTGGTAACAGAAGCAGGTGGTCGGGAGACAAGCATGTCGGTATGTGAAGTAGGATTGTGGTTGTGTTGCCAGTACCACACAACTCGTAGCATGTTGGTTTTGATGTGAAGGGAAATGCTGAATTTTGCATTACAATCACATTTGATTGACTCATGTGTCTTGCGGGAGGTTGGGGAGCGATCCAGTTGACCACTACGAGGACAAGTGTATTCGAGTTTGAATAAAACCGCTGGACGTTTTCCCGGGCCGTTTGGAGCTTCTTCAACTGTAGATGAGTGGTCTGTTTTTCTGGACCGATTCCATCGAATGGTTTCAGACATTGCTTGCACGAATTTCTCTGCTTCAGCAAGAGAATTGCCGGGGATAGTGAACTGATATGGATATGGCTGATCTGGGAACGATGGGGTGCTCACACCTAGATGACGGATAGTTCGAAGGGAATTGGGTGCTACAATTGAGGAGTTTTCAGGAACTGGTACTTCCTCCAAGAAGGATCGAGGAACAACATCGAAGATGTTGTTGACATGAGGGTAAATCTGGTTGAGGTAAACCATTGTAACGGGTGTATATATGAGTTAGAAAGGGTAAGGGGTTGAGTCAAAAAAGTATGAGGGGAGCTATATCAAGAAATCACGGTTGATAAGATGGAAGAAGGTCTGGTCAAGAAGGGAGAATAACAGCTGAAAAGATGGAAGGCTTCTCGGTCAAAGCAAAATTAGGGGAGTAAGGAGGGGAATTAAGAGTTGGGAAGATGGAAAGTGGTCTTGGTCAAAGGAAAATTTTGCTGGGATGGGAGGGAACAGTAGTGCAAAACACAGAGAATAAAGTGTTCCAGTTAAAGCAAAGGGAGTATGTGATGAGTGGAAACAATAGTTCAGGAAACGGAATAAGGGTCTTGGCCAATGCAAATTAGATGGAGAGTTAATGTAAGGGGAAACGCTGATGGAATTGGTCAAATTCGAAAGGTGAGGAGGCGGTCAAGGGAGGGGAGATTGAAAATTTGAATGTCAAGATGATGGAATCAACCGGGCAAAGGTTGGGGTCACCTTGATTTATATCTAAATTGCCCCTCCTTGGTGAAGATAGGACTTATCAATCTTGGGATTGATTGAGAAAACCATGCACGGTGTGTTGACTGGGATGGTGGACCTGCATTTTTTTGAGTGCAAATGTTATGATCCCATTCGGGATGGCAGGTGATCTTTGTTGTGATGGACTTGCGGATTCCTCAAGTGGGATGACCGTGGGCTTCATGATGTTGGAGAATCGGAAATCCAGTTGGGATATCCCGAAGCTGCTTTTGGAGACTTGCAGTGACAGCTTCTTTTTTTTCAGTTAACCCGAATATCGTGACTATTGTTTCAATTCACGATGTATTGTGATCGGCATTTGAAACGGCACGCGAGTTAACCGCAAAAGGTGGGCTCGTCCCTTGTTACCGCAAATGCTGAAAAAAAGAAACACATCGCACACACTTCCTCATTATCAACCGTCCCAGTGGTTGATGATGAGCACTGAGTAATACATACCCACCTCGGGACCCGGCCAAACAAGATTCCCCCCCAAGAAGCAGTGATGACTGATGAGATGTGGTTGCTTGTCGGGTAGGATTTCTCATCTCCAAAGTCCTCTTGGGGGAGCAGCTAAACTTAAAGGGTCTACCGGCTCCGGGGGGATTCATCCTTGGGCACCTTGTGCCGAAGAAGATTCCTCCACAGCGAGCAAGCAGTGGTGTCTAATTGTCATGAGAAATTTGCTCCTTATCGATCAGGTTAAAGGTGCACTTGCTTCCTGGCTATCTACTCAAGCCTGTCGGGCAAGCGAGTCCTAGCAGGTCCCCTCAGTCCGCTCATTGAACTGAGCATCATCCACAACGCAGAATTCCTATCCAACAAGCTGGTGCGACTGATGGATTTCACCAACTTACCGGCTGAAGAACTATGAGACTCGGTCTGCCGGCTTATGTGTGTAGAGCAGGCATTCCCATTATGCCAAATCTCATTCCGGAGTCAGCGCGAATCGGTCACAATATGTATTTATGTAGTGTAACATGGCAACAGTTTTTTTCATTTTTTTTTTTGACAATTTTCTCGCGTGCCGATTCATCCATGCTATTGTGATTGTCTGGTTATCTGATGTCACCCTTCAACCGGCTTGGTTTTCAGTGACCAAACATGTTTATGACCTTAATTTTTTTTTTCTTTTTTGCTATGAAGGAAGTTAGGTGGAATTCAACTTGCAAACCTCGGTTGAGAAGCTTCTGTGGGTTCGCTTTGGACGATTCGAACTTCAAACTTGAACAATACACTAACTTAACTAAGTCCCTCCAATTGGAGGGACTTAGTTAAGTTAGAACAATACACAGCTGTAAACTGTTGTTTGTTCAGGGTTTTCCCTTTCTGGTTTTCTGGGTTCAAGTTATACAACTGAGGGTCTTTGATTCTGCAGGTGCAGAATGAGGTCTTCTTTAATGGTTCGTGATTCGTGAATGACCTCCGGCAGACGTGCTGTGTAACATCACTGGCTGATTCATCTCATCTGTCCTCATCAGCTGACTTCAACCCCATCGGAGTCTCATCAAGCAGTGTGTGCATACATCATTCAGCTGTGAATCGATTATAAAGCTGCGTGTATGCGCTCGGCCAAGGAAATCCATGATGATGATGATCATCATCGTCAGATAGCATGTAAGCCAGGGGGGGAATTAAAAACCAATCAGGAACTCAAGCAGACACACTTCAATAATTAATTCGCACTCCACCATCGTTCTCTTATACATAAAACACTTCACACACCCTTGTTTCATACTGTGTTCTACTCTGCTCAAACATCCACCCGCATACACACTCTTCTCTTGGGTATGTATGTACATATTTCCATTTATCAGCCAATTGACATCCGCTGACTTTCGCATCCGCCTCTGAAATTGTAACAGCCATCCAATTCTCTCCCGATTCCAATATTCACGCGTGACGGTCAAATCGGACGATTCCATTTCATATTTCTCGCAGGTTTTCATCCAGCCTGGTCGTCTACTGGTTGATTTCGTTTTCCGGAGAAACTGACGACGTGCCTTGACAGCTTCAAGTTACTCCATCATCCATTTCAGTAGTATTCCAATCACCAGTCGCGATGGACGAACAGGTGAGCACGGAAATTGATATGATTCTTTCCATTATGTTTTCATAGTCTACTCAGCTGACAAACGGGTGTCTTTCTACCAGGGCTTACGAGCGAGATATCGCGCAGAGAAGCTAGAAAAGGCCGAACGTGCACACCCATATGCTGGACTAGTGGAGCCGAAACCGCTGCCAGACGATCTGGATGAGCTTTCAGTGAACGATTATCCCACCCCATCCCATCTCTCATCTCAAGCCGAATACGCCTCAGATCTAAGAGACCCTCTCATCGCCCCCGCCAGCTCCTCCTCCCGTACACCGATCGGATCATCATCAACCACCAAGCGAGCACTCCAGCCTCATCTTCAGTTCATGTGCGGCCCCATGCTCCGATACGACAGCGTGGACATCCAGAACCAGACCTGGCTAGGGTTCTGCTGTGTGGTCACTGCGGATACGGGCAGTGTGTATGCGCCCAGTCCGATGCTCCAGATGCACTGGAACTCCTCGTCCGTCCAACCCGGCTCACAACCTTCGCAAGATTCGGGAATAATCCAACAGGATGTGACTGCCGAGCGAATCTACGTCTATCATGGCCCGTCCGACTCGTACACCTTCTGGAGATTCCGACTGGTGATCCCCATGGGCGAGCGGGAGACTCGGGTGCGTTACTCGATCAACCATGGCGCCCAGATCGACTTCTGCATCCCCGCCGTCAACCAAAACTTCCGCTGGGCCGCCCATTCATGTAACGGCTTCTCGGCCGGGGTCGACCAGAGCGCGTTCAACGGCCCGGACCCGGTCTGGAACGACCTTCTCGACAGACATAAAGCCTTACCCTTCCATGTCATGATTGGAGGTGGGGATCAACTCTATTGCGACCCGATCGCTAAGGAACCCGAACTCTCCGGTTGGCTAGAGGAGAAGGATCAGGAAATCAAGAAACGCGCCATCATGACCCCACCCATGTCCGTCGCCCTCGATCGCTTCTTCTTCTCTCATTATTGTAATTGGTTTCGTTCCGGCGCATTCGGCAAAGCCATCTCTTGTATACCCATGATTAGTAAATCACTCCTTCAATTTAATGTCCAGCGGTAAAAACTCCTTGTTTTTGGATCTGCTTTTTTTTCTCCCAGTAAATTATTGGCTTTGGTCGTTTGCTGACCCGATAAACTTCGCCATATTTTCATTTAAAATAAAACTCAGATATGTTGGATGATCACGACCTCATAGACGGATTGTAAGTTTCTTCATCTACATTTTTCAACACATGTACACCTTGTATTTGTCAGATGAGAATATGGGAATTCAAGAAGTCTAAACTGACCTACACACACATACATAATGCAGTGGATCATACCCGGCAGACCTCCAATGTTCGCCGGTATTTTCAGCGATTGGAAACCGGGGCTACTTCTGGTTCTTGTTATTCCAACTGTTCATAGTTGACGAAGCGGATGGGATCACGGCGAGTTCACCGACGAGTTCGAGTATCCATCCGAGTCTGGTTCTGGGCGGCGTGGGTCCCTACATCCATTCGCGGAACCACTCGATCCTGGCTTATCTGGGCCCGCAGGTCTGGATCTTGTTGCTCGACTGTCGCTCAGAACGGATGAAGAATCAGGTCTGTAGTCCCAACACTTATCGCATCGTCCTCGAAGCTTGTCGGCTTCGCATCCCCACCGGCGTCTTCCATCTCGTCGTCCAATTAGGCATCCCCGTCAGTCTCTTCTCTTCTACTCCTCCTCCTATCTTGTTATTTTTTTTTTTGACATGCTTATAGTGGATGTTATTCATTGTTTGCGTTCCGCGTGATAGATCGTCTATCCCAGAATGGTCTTTGCCGAAAAGATCCTCGAGAACCCAGACCGTCTGGTCTTCAAAGCCATCCGCAAACTCGGCGTGATACCCGGCTTTGTAAGCCCCCAAAAACAAATTCTGAATCACTTTGACGTTGGAAGATGATGTTGAAGCCCATCTATTCTTCTACTTCTCTGCATTTCTGCGCCGTTTTTTTTTGGAGGTAGTACAATAACTTCAATGCGGATCCGGAGTTATTGGACGACATGAATGACCATTGTAAGATCCTTCCTTCCTTCCTTGATTGCAGATGTTGGAATGTTTTCCAAGGACTATCATAGATGATTTTTTTTCGATATTCTCTTGGATTGGTGTTGTTGAATGTTTTTTTTGTTTTTTTTTTGGTCTAGGGTGCGCTCAATCGCACAAAGAAGAACGTAATTGGTTCATCCTCAAGTGTCAGACCTTGGCGCTTGAACTTAAGATCAGAATCACTTTCTTGAGCGGCGACGTCCATTGGTCGGTCTCTCCCATTCCACTCTCTCTCTGTTCTCTCCTTTTCGTTTTTGTTTTTTTCTCGTTGGCCTCACTTTTTTGTTTTTTGATAAAATCGTTTCTCGTTACTACTACATATCGTGCGACTTGTAGCGCCGCTGTGGGCAGGCTTTTCACTCATGGTAAACGTCTGAAAGCCGCTCAAGATCCTAAATACATGCTGGTAACTACTCCCCTTTTCTTGACCTATACCCCCCCCAAAAAAAAATAATAATAATAAAACGTCCAATTGGGTCAGGCTGGAAGCACTGATTTTTTTCTCTTTTCTTCGTAGAATATCGTTTCGTCGGCAATTGTTAATGTCAGTGATCCTTCCACCCCCTCCCATGTCTGTTGGAGGTGTGAAAGTTGATATATGTTTGTTATTGGTTTGAAGACCCCACCCCCGGCGGCTTTGATCAGCATGATGGGCGCGCTGTCGCGGGTGACGCACAAGACTCTGGCGAGCTCGCAGACGGATGAAGACATGATTGACGTATTCAAGTTCGACACCAATGGGAAATGCATGGTAAGTCCCGCAGGATCCATGAGCCTCGCCATCAAAACTCTTCTCCTCCTCCTCCTCCTCCTCCTTCTTTTTCTTTTTCCAGACAAAGAACTCCTTGTTCTGGTGATTGACCTTGTAAATCAAAATGTGGATGTGATAGAAAAACCAACGGTTTATGGCCAGAAGGAATTATTGTGCCGTCCGCTTCGTCGACCTTTCCGGCGAGATGGAGTTCAATATCCGCGTCGAAATCGAGCAAGGTGGTGGCAAAACTAAGGGCTATCCCGTCTTGGTCCCCCCTCCCAATTATCCTCCAGCCCCTTGACTTTTTTTTCCCCTTTTAGGGGTTCTCGTTTTTTTTTTCTGTGGACTGGCTTTGGGGTTTGTTCATGGTGGGTTGGGTATTGAGGTTTCTTTTTTTTTAGTTTCCTTTCTTTCGCGCTGTTTTCTTTACCTTGCTCTTGCATCATTTCGCTTCCGTAGCTCTGTAACTTCCCCTCCTCTTGTTTTTTCGTCACGTGCCATACACCTCTTTCACGTCTTCTCTTTTTTTTCTTTGGCTTGTTTATTGTGAGTTGTTTTGTGATGATGAAGATATGCAGTATTTACTTGACTAATTTTTTTTCAATAAATAAAAGAAGGTGATGATGATAGAGATGGGTTTTGTTTGGGCTTGAATTTATGAACACCTATGATCTTAGTCAACATGTACATATGAATTGTTTTTTTTTTTTTTTTGCTTGGTTGCCAATCATGTTTTCTTTGTTGTTGGGCTCGTCGTTACACTTTCATTTAAGTTCTCTCTGCTTGAGATTCAATTAATGTTCATGAACAGTTGTTGAAGAAGAAGCAGTCACATACATGGAACTGATGCCACTCTGGATGAGAATCTTTTAGGGATGAGAAGTGATCAGGCTCAATAGGAACCAGGATGAGAAGAGGAAGGAGAAACAGAGGAAGAAGGACCATTGGGCTTTTTTTGGTCTGGTCGAATACATATGGGTAATTATCCAATCTGCATAGGAGAAGTTAGAACTCTGGATGTGTGTTGGATCCCCGTGTTTTGTTGGTTGAAATCCAAGAAATCCAAAGTTTGATGAATTGGACAGGAGTGTCTTAAGACCTTGGACAGTCTGTCTCCCTTTCACCGCGATCCCCAGGGATGAAGCTGGAGCTGATGATGACCACCAGGCAGAAGGACAAGAAGAACAGGATGAACTCAGCTGGTTCTTGACTTACCACCACAACCAACCAACCAACCAACCAAAAAGACATTGTGAACCCACCAAAACTTTAGAGAGCATGCCATCAGTCAGTTCTTTCCTCCACCCTCTCTCATCCTGCTCCATATGACTGATGTCTTCCTTCTAGGATAACTCAAGCCATCAGAACCTACTCGGGCCCGACGATGATGGCGTGCCAACCCTGTGGGACTCCTTCCTCAAGGGCTATTCACTTGCGGGTGGTGGGTTGATTGCTGGTTTACATACAGATGATCGTCATCTTCCTGACAGCAAGATGCTGATACAGTCCTATCTTTTGAGAGCCACACACAGGCTCGGGTAATTGCATCGGGACGAGACTGATATGGGACCATTCGTCCGCCCAAGCCGGCCAGCCTGGTCCGGAGTATCAGTGGCTCTCATACGCCCAAGTCTTGGCCCGCATTCGCGACATCTCCGCCGGCTTGATCGAGCTCTTCCGGCCGGCTGATGTCGGCCCCTCTGGCCCGGCTGATCATTCGGATTCGCAGGATGTCTTGGATAGACCTAGAGTCGCTCTTTGGTGTCCAAGCAGCCCATGTTGGGTTCAGCTTGTTTCCTTTTTTTTTTCTCTCGTTATTGTCCCAACTGGTCATCTCACATCTTCATGGACATCGATGGGTAACTTACTCTCCTCTAAGGATGCTTTGTTTCATTGGACAGACGATTTCTGAGTATGCAGCCTATCGCAATTCGATCACCGTCGTCTCGATCAACGATCAGCTCCCAGCCCAAGCGGCATCCAAGATCATCCAAGATACTCACCCAGGTGCCGTGATCTTAAGCGCCCACAACTTCCAACGCTTGGCCGGATACCAAGACCATCAGCGACGGTATCAGATCACGAGCTCGCGGATCGATGCTTGCGATCTCGAGTCTACGCCTAGTCCTCGTTCCGCCGGTAGTCCATCAGCCCACGGCCTGAAAAGGACACCACTATGCGAAGCTGCAGGGCCGAACGCTTCGGAGGCTGTTGTAAGCTCGGTTACTCGCCACAACAGACGGCCGTCCCAGTCCACCCGAGTTCCGCAGACATCCCCACCAACCTCTTCCTCCTCGGCTGCTCCTCAAGTCGTCCGACCCCAACGAACATCAGATCCCCAGCCGATCTATATTCTCACCGACCCGCTCCAACTCTCCTCTCGCACTAGATCGATCGCACTCCAACTCGGATGGAGCTTCTATAGTCTCGAAGAAGTCGCCCGGATCGGTCATCCTCACAACCTTGCCTCCCTCCCCACCGACACCCCCGATCATCAACCGTTCGAACCTCACAACGTTGTCCATCTTGAGAAGCTTAATCCACTTCGCCCAGGATCCGAGACTCTGGCTGGGATTATCTATTCCAGCGGGACTACTGGTGCGTACTCATCCCGTCCTTTTCTTTTGTTTCATTTTCGTCATGAAACTGATGGATTTTTTTTTTCTGTTCGGGTTGATTAAAAAACATAATCGGCTCTCCTCCTGCAGGTGATCCAAAGCCTTGCGTCCTCAGTCATTCTAACTTCGCCGCAACCCTCGCCGCTTTTAATGCTTTGGTCCGCCAGGAACGATTGAGAGATCTGCACACTCAAGATCTCGTTCAATTCTCTTATTTGCCCCGTCAGTTGTTAAACCTATTCTCTTTAGGATGGAACCCAGCGAGAAACTCAATATCCAACTTTTTTTTTTTTGCTTTCTCACATGTGGAAAACGGAAAAATGGACCTTATGGAGATAAGTGCATCACATTTACGAGAAACAGACGCAAGCATGGGTGATGAACCAAGGGGGATCGATCGGATTCAGTTCGCTAGAGGGACCGCGCTTCGTCTCGGATCTGAGCCTGCTCAAGCCCACCTTCCTCGCCACCACGCCCAGCTTCCTCACCCATCAGATCCTCGATCGGCGGCTCCAATTCTTGAATAACTTCAGCTCCTTCAAGAGTCCCGTCGAGAGCTATCTCCTCAATAAGGCTATCGAATCTAAACTCGTCATGTTGAAGGCTGGATTCGGCGAACAGATCTGGTTGTGGGATCGTTTCGTCTTGGGTTATCTTCGTGATCAACTCGGCGGTCGGCTCAAATGGTAAGCACTTCAGTTGCCCTTTTTTTGGAAGTGTCGATAACGATTTTGCATGGGCACATGTTTAGCACACATAAAACTGATCGGTGGGTTTGGTTTGTATATGTATTTCAGGATCGTCAGTGGTACTTCACCCCTTTCAAAACATGTTGCCGAACTGCTGTCGGCTAGTCTGAGCGTGAAGATCACCGAAGGCTATGGGTTGACAGAGACCTGTGGCGCGGCTTGCATCACCGTGGAAGACGGATCGCATGAGTTTCAAGTTGGGCACGTCGGTCCTCCTTTACCCTGTTGTGAAATCAAAGTAAGCATCTTGGTTTATCATTCTTTTTTTTTTTTGAAAGGAACAGGGAAGAAAATGAGGGAGGAGTTCATATGTTGACATTGTGGGGTTCTTGTTCGTTTCTTCTCGGATGAGTGGAATTGAAAGTTGGAGAAGGTCGAGGGACTTGTCGCTACTCAAGAGAATCAATTCCAAGAAGGAAGGGTGTACGTAAGGGGAGCGAATGTCTTTCAGGGCTATTTGGTACCGGGCACGGCTACGAGCGAGGAGCGAATATGGAGGGCGGTGGATTCTGAAGGCTGGTTTGCGACGGGGGATGTAGGCTACATGGATGAAGGAGGTCGCTTACATCTCGTCGACCGATTGTTAAGGGAAGATGGAGAGGGGGGAAGCGGGAGCGGGATGGTTTTAGGGCAGCAGATCCACCACCAATTCAACATGGTCGACCTGTGCAAGATCGAGCAGAGGCTGACCGGGGCGATGCATGAGGTGGCCCAGATCTTCGTCTCTGGCCGGACGACGGAGACCCATGCCGAGGTCGGCGTCGGCTTGCTCGGCCACCTTGTCGGCTTCGTCGTCGTCCATAGACCCGCCTTTCTGCGCTGGATCGCCGACTTCCATCCCCCTCATAACTTACTCGTTGATAGACATACAGACCTATATCGCACCGATCCTTCTTCCCCTTCGCCACACTCCAACCATGACGAGCAGTGGGAAATCGTCGAGGAGGAGCCTCTGACGTCGGCCTCCTCCTCCCCTCAGGAAAACCTTAAACCTGCCCTCCCTATCCATTCATCTGCCTCCCCTTCTCTCTCGGACCGCGAATGTCAGCTCGAACTCGATAAGATCTGTCAAGACCCTCAAGTCATCAAATCGTTTTTAAACTACTTGACTCGTCGTGCCAAATCGATCGGATTAAAATCGTCAGTCCTCTCTTTCTTTTTTCTTTCTTCAGTCCGAGCTTCAATTGTCCGAAGCCGGGAATATATGAAAGCAATTAACAAAAAAAAGTGGGTTTTTTTTGTCTATGTATGTGTGTGTGTTTATGGGGATGATAATGGATAGATACGAGATCCCGAAAACGATCCACTTGAGTCCTAACCCGTTCACTCCAACCCTGTCTAGTACTACTCACTTGCATCCTCATGATGATGATGATGATCATCATCATCATGAGCAGGCCAACGAGAAAGGAAAATCAGCCCGAATCGACGGTGGCCTGGATGATCCTCCCGCGAGGTCTCGCCCCGATCATCTGCATCCCTATGATCATCAGGCTTGTTTCCGGAGCTTGAAGTCCAAAAACTCATGTCTCCTTGCCCACTTTTCGGGCCGATTATCAGCCTCTAATCCTTAAACTTTGACCCTCTCGAGCATTTAGTCGTCGTTTGGTCGTTCGTTTATCTCTTTCTTCTTCTTTTTTTTTGGTGTGTGGTTGGGTGGTTCGTTGTGTATCATCAAAGGCTCCTATGATTTAGCCTTTCTTTCGTTTGTTTGTAGCGTCATGTTTGTCCAGTTATGGATCTGGTCATCTGTTCATGTATTGTGTTTTGAAGAAAGCTTGGACCACTTTTGAAAGTTTGCTGTTCTGAAATCATGGCATTCCACAATTTGAGTTCAGGCTTTTTTCTTCTTTCTTTTCTCTCCCTCTCCCTTGTGAAATAAAGTTGATGATCACAAACCAACAGATTACACCTGCGCTGTGCACCACAACCACATAACCTTATAAAGACTTGAAAATTCTCAAATTGTCCAAGCATTCTTCAAAACACAATACATACAAAATTGAAGTAAGAATCAATCGTCCCACATGATAATCCATTGGGAACATGACAATGAAGAAAAAAAAGGGAAAAAAAAACTTTGTAAGTGCATACTATAACCTTTTGGGCTTGTCAGGGCTTGTCCATGTTCCAACTTGGCTGATTGGCCGGCGGGTGGGTGCACCTTAGAGGTGATGATAACGACCCGCTTGCTGGGCTGGATTCAACCTGGCAGGCGGTTTTTACCTGCTAGCCAAGGAAGCTTCCTGCTTGGTGATCAACGAGGGCTAACTTAAGCAAGTCCCCCTATTGGAGGGGGGACAGGACCCTGGCAACCCCCTATAAATGGGCGGCACCAAAAATCCCAAAATTTGCAAAATTTCATACATTTTCAGAGCCCATTCATACATGTTTTGTGCGTACCCTCAGAGGATTTCCAAAATTTTCATAGATTTTTTGTGCCTACCATTTTTTTTTGGGGGCGGACGGGGGCGCTAAGCCTGCTTTTTTTGCAGCTAGCCACTTCTCATAGCTTCAGGGGCACCAGCACACATGAAAAAATAACTAATAATGAAAATGTGTTGAATTACTGTATTAAGGTTGAATAAATATAACAAACCAATGATTTAATCAAGCTTCTTTTTTTTTTGTTTTTCTTTGCAACAGCTTTCAGATGTAAGAACTCTTTCTCCCAGTGTTTGCAAGGAGAAGTGGCTGCAATTGTTTGGGGATGGATACACAATTCCCCTGAACATTGGTAATGTTGAACCCTTCACTGATTGGAAACAAGTGGTGGAGATGCACTATTTCAAGGTGCGCAAAAATTTGGGCAGTGGGAGACAATGTGTAGAATCCAGCAGCAATGGGGATATAAGGCTGATATAAGAAGAGCTGGACTGATATGTACAAGAGTTTAGCTTGGCTAGTGGCACTAGCAACCCAGCAATGCTTTCCTGAAACATGCTCGTAAGCCGCCAAGATTTTTCCGATATACATTTTCTGAAATAATTCAAGGCAGTTCCAAAAAATAAAAAAACATGACCAGGGAGTTTGTATAACAACTTACCTTGTCCTTTATTATTGTCCCATATTTCCCAAAGATCAATTGGTTGGTTTTGGAGATTGTACCACCTTGGACACAAAGCTGGGCATTCACATCAACATGTGTTGATGTGTTCCGCACATCCGATAGCTTGGCTTGAACCTGAATGTTCCACCAATGCATTCTGGCGATTGAAGATTGTTGCAACATATTTTCCTTGAGTACTAGAGCAACCAGCTTGCTACATTCACTTGGCTGAAGTGCTTGATCCGGGTGTGATTTAGATTGAGTCGGAGCAGCCAGAAGGAAATTCTGCTGTTTTCTTTTCTCGTTTCCAGAATGGTGGTGTTGATTCTCTGTATCGTGTTTCTTGCAAAGCTCAATCATCAAGTCATGATTTAGCTGAAATCCACCGTTGTTGGAACTCGTGATGACAAGTGGATATTTATCTTTGCTTCGCTTGACTAGGAAATGGGCTGAAAGACCTGGAGGTTTCTGAGCAATTGGATTGAGAAGATTTGATATCAACATCCGAGTCTGACCAGATATCTTCTTGTGTTTGTCTTCAATGTTGATGTGTCCGTAGACCGAGTCGACTTGTTGTTTTTCACCAATGGATGCTGCTGCTTCATGCATGAAATCTGAGATGGGTGTTTCACCAGGAATCAAGTTATAAACAAAGTCATGATCGGCTGAGGCACTGGTAGATATACCTGAAACCGTCAATTGAGTTAGTTCAAGTTCACGAGTTAGCAGTACATACTGACATCAATCAAATATATACTTGCCTTCGTTTGAGTCCTCATCATCGCTTGGGGTTACATTTGGAGAAGGTAAAGGGGGAGCCGCAAAAAAAGTCGGATTGATCCCAGCAAACATAGCAATCTTCCCGAGCCAGTGATTCAGCAACAGCCAATTTGTGTTTTATTTCAAGATTGGTTGGAAAATGAGCCAAGTGCTCATAGCTGTCAGCCACCGATTCATTGGTGAAGTTGTACTTGTAGCCTGTAGAAGAACTGTCAGGCACAAGAAACAAAGTTGAAATGAAGTCAGGAATGAAAACGTACCAGATCAAATATGCTCTGATTGGGGCATTTTCATTTGGCCACTCATGACATTCTTGAAAATTGCAAAGATCTTGGGTAGCATTTGTTGAGCATCGAGAACAGTGAAGTTAGGCATGATTACCCGCATCCAGCCAAAGATGTGCTCGCATGCTTTGGTCCCATGCTTCCAGGGAAGCAGTGGTACAGTAGGGTAATATTAGCGGTGAGATATAATCAGTCCAATAAGCAAGTTTCGCAGGAAATGAAAGATCTTGTAGCTTTGGCGGGAAACCCCATTGCGGTCAATTGATGCCAGTGGGTTAGAATCGTTGCTGATTGATTGATGCCAATAGCGCAGGAAAAATATTGAAGTCCAAGCTGATCAAATCCGATCCAAATGGCTCATTATTGGGCATAGCCAGGCATCGGCGAGCTCGCCAAGTAGAAAGAGATATATCGCTAACCCAGTCACAAGATGGGAGATGTTAAGATAATATTTTCCAAAAGATAAAAGCCAAGCACCGGAAAGGACCTGGTTAGCAGCAGTTTTGCGAGCATGTTTTGGGTCTTGGACAGGAACCACAGGTTGCGGCGGGCTGCCAATCAGTGGCACTTGAATTGAAATGCCAGTGTCTGCTTTGTGGAACAACAGGTGTTGATCGACCGAGGTTTGCAGGAAGAGAAGGGCCAAAATCACAGTGGCCGCACCATCACTTCCAATTGAAACCACCAACATTCCTGCTTTTGAGCAGCATTCAAGGACCGAGATGTGACTAGCAGCAATGTCTTCCGCTGTCTCTTTGTCGTAACTAGCAAGAAAAGCCACCACAAATGATGGGACCTTGGGCAGAGGTACCTGGATTGTGAAGAGTCGTACCTAACACAAGGATTAAAGGCAAATCAGATTTTAATCAGTATGGTTCTTTCATCTAAAGTGAATCAGATGGCCCACCTTGCTGCAGAGTTTATTGTTATCAACAATTTCTTTAACAAGCACACTGATCTGTTCAAGATCTGAGAAAGCCACATCCCCACCTTGTGCGCCAACAAGATGGCCGTCATGTGACCTCAATGTCTTGACACATACTTTCTGTTCAGAAGCAAGAGAAAGAGGTCCTTTTTAGCCTAGATTTTTGATGTATCCAGCAACCCTTTCAAAGTTAGACAAGACAATTCCGTCTTCAATCTGTCCACCGTTTTTTTGACGTTGATGTCTCATGGAACAAAGAGACCGTCCAGCAAAAGTATCTCGGAAGTGGTTGGCGGTTGCAGGGCTCATGGCGGCCATTGTGGTCACAAAACTGTCAAAGTATTCATTGAATTGCATGCCATTCAATGCCTTACCGGCAGCTTTGCGCTCAGCCCGAACAGCCACCGCTTCCACAAGACCTTTGAAAACATCCATGTTGTCAAAGAGGCCATGTTTAGCATGGACTGAGAGAGTTGTCCAGAAGTCGATATCGGCAGTTCTAGAGTGTTTTTCAAGCAACGTGTTGAGATATTGTAGCTCTTCATGGAGCTTTAACTTATTGTGAAAGAGGTCTTGTTTCATCAGGGTGCCTGAGATATACTTCACAGTGGCTCCGGTCGCATACTCTGTGTTGGGCACTTTTTTCAATGAGTTCTCCTTTTTTAGAAGGAGGCACTGGTCACAAACCATAGTTTGTGTTCCTGGAGGAGCATTGAGTCGTTGTTCACACTTTGAAGAGAAGATTGCCGCTTTATGAACCACATAGATTTTGATTCAAGGGTTTGAAGAAGCTTCTGATATTGTACTTCACTGAGTTCTGTTTCTTTGGCTGTTCCAAATAAGTCTTTGCAAACTTTATGTCAATGAGGAGCACCATGATACAAGCTTGGAGAGCCTACAATACATTGATGGATGGTAAATTGACTTCTGGGTCTTGACCAAGTATTGTTTTTAAGACCGGAGCACATAATCTGAACTGTTTTTTTCTTTGGATTAGGTACGGGTTCTGATTCTTCTGGATTGGCATCGCTGCTCTCAAGGCGACGTTTTTCTACTTTCTTGAAAGAGAAATAACTAGTGAGCTGTTGGGTATTTGAGATGCTAGCAGTGAACAATTTGCAGGATTCTATGTCACAATGGATCAGTTATATATCAGCTTGAAGTGGAGAAAAATAAAGAATTGAACAAACATGATTGCCAATGAGCTTGAACACTTTGTGATTGGCCTTTGGGCATGAGAACTGGTGGTGCTCCACAGTGGCACTTGAACATCATATCTTGGGAGGAACCACCATCAATTTGTGAGATCAAGCAATCCTTGCAGTTACTTGACTTTGTGGATTGAGGACACTGTGATAGGATCTTTTTGTTGATAGTTGTAAGGGTTGAGACTGATTTTGATGGTTTATTAAAGAACGGTTGCTTCAACGATTCAGAAGTTGCTTTTGACACATTGAGACAATCTTCCACCGCGCTAGTTTTATTTGACTTTTTCCAAATCAGACCCTGCAGAGGTAGTTTCTTGAAATCTTTGGTGAGATTGTTTGGCTGCTCTTTATGGTTGAGAGGAAGCTTTTGAAGTGGTTCTTTGGTCAGGACTCCACCAGAATCTGATCCATAAAGTAAAAATCAAATGAGCGGTTATGTAGAATGATTCGGTAATACTGGGGAAACATACCTTCAAAGCATTTAAAAATGCACTCAAGTTTGATGCCAAGAAGCTCATCAGCATTTCAAGAGGAGTGTTCACGAGCTTCCTTCAAGTAATTCACAACCACTTCGATTCCAAACTTTCCACACTTAATATTTTCTTTGCAGTTTTCGACTCCAAAGAGAGAATCCATATTTTTGTTGACGACATACCACATTCCCTCTTCTTCTTCATCCGCAGGAACTAGTGGAGGGCAGCTGAACCGCTGAAAAACAAAATCGTGTTGTGTGGCTTGAGGTACTTGCGAAGTTGATTGGGATATATTGAGGATTTTTTCGAACAGATCTTGAACAATACTATTGGCTGACATCTTTAAAACTGATGAACTGGATTGTTTTGATGGTTCTCAAGCTGGGATAGGCTTGAGGAGTCTAGATTTTCCACAGGTGTGCGCAGGTTCACACATTCATGTGCTTTAGTGCGCTATGCATGCAAAAAGATCAATAGATGCAAGATCAAATTCAATGTGGGCAAAAGGATCAAATGATGCAATTATTCAATGCAGGAAAAAACCGGGTACATATTGGTAAATACATATCAAGGGAATCCAGGAGGATACATGGTAAATAGAGATGGGTGCATTGAATCCGGATATCCGCTCACAATTTCAGCGGAAATACACATCCGCATCCGCCGGCGGATACCCCCCAGCGTTGGCGGGTATCCGCGCGGATACCCGCGGATACCCGCCCTCTGAATGGGCGGCGAGGCTCTTCCAGGAGGTTTTTTTTTTTTTAAAAAAAAGAAAAAAAAAGAAAAAAAAGAAGAAAAAAAACCAGCCCCCTCGGCCTAAAGGGGCAGAGGCCACACCGTCGGGAGGAACCCCTCCCGGCGAGCGTCTACAGGCCAGCTCGCTGGGAGTGGTTCCTCCCGGCGGGGTGGCCTCTTGGCACCGGGTATCCCAAGGGATACCCGGATACCCGCCAGTATTTCAGGGGGAAGGGTGCATCCACACCCGAATCCGCACCCGCTGGCGGGTATCCGCTGGCACTGGCGGGTATCCGCTGGCACTGGCGGGTATCCGCCAGCGGATAGCGGATATCCGCGGCGGATTATCTGCGACCATCTCTAATGGTAAATTTGTTAAACTGGTCCAAAAAAATTAACCTGGCTGTTCACCGCTGCTGAGGGGGGGGGGGGTTCCTGAATTCATACATTCCTGGTTACTACCCTCCCTTCCCTGAAGAAAAGTTTATACATTTGAGGTGCCTACCCTTAATGGCAAAAAAGGCCATTCATACATTTTCCGTGTGTACCATTTTGCAATTTGGCCAGGAAATTCATACATTTTGGTGCCGCCCATTTATAGGGGGTTTCCAGGGTCCCGGGGGGACACTGTCCTGCAGGGACCCTCTGAAGGAGGGACTTATGCGCTAAGTCAAGCCCGCGGCCCAAGAGAAATAGGAAATCCACATTCTTCAATTGGGTGTAGCAGCACCATTTTTTGGCTGATGATCATGTTTTGGGGAGCAAAAAGATGCATAAGATCATGGAGATTCATTCCATATTTTTTGTGATTTTTTAGGCCCTTGGGTGGCTTTCAACTTTCAGTTTGAGTGATTACAATTCTCCTGCCTCATCCTGCATCACACATTTGGCACTGTACAGTATCTGAAATTGAAAATGTTACAATCATCATCATTAATGAAGGAGAGGTATTTGCCATTAGTAAAATTAGTATGGTGCATCAAGCCCGTCTGGGCACAGGCCAAAGTTTGTCCAAAAAAAGGCCAAGCACACTGGTCTATTCTCAAGGCCCGCTGTGGAAAGTAAGGCGCGACCTTGGAGATTTCTCGCACTTCTCTGCTCCGCAACAGGTCCCACTCCGGTTTGTTGTCCAGGGTAACTTGCTTGATGGTCTTGTAGGTAGGTAAAATAACTATTCTTTTATTGGTTTTGGTAGGTAATATTCTAACTCTCTATCTCTAACAATTCTTTAGGCTAATACACAATTCACTCCTAAGTCACTCTGTTTTTCCAATATGTTCTGAGTCATCCGTTCCTCCCTCTCTTTTCCCTTCTACTCCAAACTCCACTCTTGCCAGCTATCCCACACACAAGTTTTCCTCCTGCTTCCCACGCAGTCCTCCGCTGTCACTCCCTCGCACTCCGCTTGTCACCCCTCCGACGCCTGCCAGTCAGTGTGTTCCTCCGGCCGCCCCTTTGGATAGGTCTCCCACCGCCGCTTCCGCCTCTGGTCCGCTCCAAACCCCGCTTCCGCCTCTTGGTGTCCCTGCTCCTTTTTAGCCCCTCCGCAGTACACACTAAACCCTAGTCTGAAGTCGGCCGTTAACCCTGGAGCCCGCCAGTGCCCCGATTCTCCGCAGCAAGCTTTTTGGAACCTTGCGCATTTGGCCCGCTTCTCCCCGCTTTCCCACACCTCGGAAAGCTAGACTTTCTACTAATGCCCGTCGCTTTCCTCAGCTTGCATGTGTAGTGTCAGCTCCGCATCAGCCGCAAGCATTCCGCATACGCCCAAACAAACCGGCCAAAGCTTTGGTCAAAGCGCGCTCTCGCCGCCACACCGCTGGGCCAATCCTAAAGCGTGTGTGGCATCATCCCAACCCCCGCTTGGAACATGCTAGAGTTGGCGGGGGTTGGGACAAAGCCTTGCTTGGCCAATATCTTGCGAGGGTGCCACGCCCACCAAAATGCTGGCCATCGAGAAGGAATCCCTTCTTGATTACCAGTTCACTGCTGGTCAATCACTCTCCTCAATGACCGATGACCATCGCTGTACCATTATTGGTTGATTCTGTCCATATACCAAGCGTTGAGATGGGCATCTCCCGTCCTCAGCAACTAGGTTTGTACGGGTATTTGAGAGGGAGGGGAGCATCTGAGCCACCAATCGGCCCAGAGGGACTTGGCTAAGTGCCAATTCCCACCTCCCTCCCAACCCAAATGATCAAGCCCTGTGGGGACATTCCAAACCCCGGTTGGTACTTGGCCAAGCGGGACTTTGGAATGTGCCCAGACGCGCTTGCAAGAATAGATGGGGACAGCTTGAAAGAACCCCCAAGTGGAAACTAGAGGAAAAACAATCAACCAAATTTGTGTGAGATTGATTCTAAAAAAGGGTCTTAGCTAATTGACTCCCAAAAAGTGGAGAGTTGACTCCCAAACCCTGAAACCCCCAAAAAATCCACCAATTTCCCCGGGAAATGGGAGTTGTTCCCCCAAACCCATAAGTGGGTTTGGGAGTCAGATCCCCACCAAAATTAATTAAAAAAAAAACCAACCCCCAAGGGAGTTGGGGGTTGATGCCCCAAAACCCAAGGGGTTTTGGGCATTGGCTAACTCAAAAGAGCCTGGAAAGCCGGGAGGATTCCTCCTGGCTGATGATGGCACACCCTTGATGGCTGAGAGAAACCCTCCCGGCCGTCAAGGATGTATACTCTTGACAGCCGAGAGAAACACTCTTGGTCGTTGAGAGTGTACACACTCAAAGAGCCTCTTGGCCGTTGAGGGTGTACACTCTCAATGACCAAGAGATCTTGATGCAAGAGGTTCAATGTCTCAGAATTCAGCTCACTATCCAATGTGAACACCGCTTTCTCTGTCATCATATTCCTGATCTTGTTCAGGAATGCTCTTGTTAGTTTGACAAGGGGTATGGCCAACCTGGCCACTTTGGCAATATCTGCTCTATCAACATTTCTCAACGACCAAGAGAGAACCTCTTGGCTGTTGACATAGGGCCACACCCCTCCAAAATCATTTCATAATAGTCTGACAGAGGAATAGAGAGGGGATTTATTTCTCTTCTGGTGCTATCCTTGCCCTTGCAATCAAAAACATACTTGGAAGCTGATGGTAACCAATATAACCTCACATTAACCGGACAAAGGACTATATGACTTTGGGTTCCATTGGTTTTTTTTTGATGGCAGGCCTTGGCAAACGGTTTGCCAGAGCGAGAACCTGAGATGTTGAGGGTGTACACCCTCAACAGCCTAGAGTTTTTCTCTCGGTGGTTGAGGCCAACAGAGAACTGCTTGGCCATTCAACTCTCCACTTTTTGGGAGTCGATTAGCTAAGACTCCTGAAAAACCCCCACCAAAATCCTCAATGCTCTTGGGCCGCAGGGTGGACCTTGCAGTTGCTTGTAAGTCCCTCCCTCCGGTTGGCGCAATGCAACAAGTGGTTTGCCCCTCCAATCAGGAAGGGAAGGGAGTTGGTTAAGTTAGCTTTTTTCACACCACACCACATCATATATTACTGGGATGGTTCAAAATCAAGGGTGGTGCAACAGCTCTTCAAATAATTCTATACCACTGTTTTCTGGGGTTTATCCCCAGTTGGTGATCAGTCACAAAAAGCACCAAAATGTGTTTTGAAAATGTGTGTATTTCAAGGTTTGGCTGGAGATTTGGTGACTACATACATAGGTTCTGACTGTGCATTCCTTCTGCCCCAAATTTTGGGGGGTTTTACTCAATGACCTTTTGGATGTTTCTTGAGTTGCATACCTGTCTGTCTCCATCAACAAATGTGTATTGGGGGTCAACACCGGCATTAGATTGCATGACAGTTTGTTTGGCTCTCTAAGCCTATTTTTTTTAGTTATATGTAGATAAGAAAATATCTGAGACCCAAAGAATGAAGAGATACCACCTAGCTCCTTGATTTTGGTCTCATTCTGTCAACATCTGGTCCCTCCATTCTATCACTAGTGTTTCAGATCTGAGGCTCTTGATCTGTCTAGGATTATCATTGGAAGTCTTTGCTTGGATGTTTGACTGTGTTGGAGAATCTGTCTGTGGTGGCTTGGGCTCAGTGGAGCACTTCACATTTCCTAAATTGTAATGATTGATAAAATCCAAGGAGTGATCACGATATTCCAAGGAATATAAAGCCTATTGGTTTTGTTTTTAGATTTAGTTCTTATGATAACGACAAAGAGACAGCTTTTTCCACCAGCACACTATGAGACACACCTATTGGTTTTGTTTTTTAGATTTAGTTTTTATGTTAACAACAACAAGACAACTTTTTCCACCTGCGCACTATGAGAAACCTGCATAATACAGAGAGGTTATGGGTGGATTGGTTTTTTTGGATGAAGGATGCAATACAAGATACAATCAGTCTTTACTTCACTTTTTATTATTATAATTGCGTGAAGAGAATTAGGAGAAAACATGAAACAAGTTTTGATAAAGAATAAGAAAAAGTTTGAAATAAAATAACTAGCAAACCTATTGGTTTTGTTTTTAGATTTAGTTTTTATGATAACAACAACAAGACAACTTTTTCCACCAGCACACTATGAGACACACCTAGATAATGAGAAAAATAAATAAGAAAAACAAAACATAAAGTTTGGTCAGATATGATGAAAGAAAGAAGAGATGAGAAAACAATTTTTGGATTAATATAAAGGTGGTTCAATATACCTGTGTCAGCGTTATGCAGAGATTTTATGGGTGGATTGGTTTTTTGGATGAAGGACACAATACAAGACACAATCTGTTATGATAGAAAATAGTATAGAGAGAAAAAGAGTAAAAGAAAATAATTCATGTTAGTTTGTTGTTGTTGATCAATTGGGGGAACTTGAGTGATTTTTGTTATGTACCAGTCTTGACTTCACTTTTTTAGTATTATAATTGTGCAAAGAAAAGACTGGTACCACATTGCTGATTGTTCTCATTTTTGTTGTAGGGGGGATTAGGGTTAGGTTAAATTGGTGCTAGTGACAATTGACGCTTGGCTGTGTGTTTACAATTCCTTCTTACACAGCATAATTTAACATGAATTGATTGATCTGGAAGGGGGTCCTAAACTCTATTGGCTGGTGAAAACTTGATCAATTTTGCCACCAAGTAATGTTTAGGATGTCCTTCTAAATTAACAGATTTGGACAACGGGAAGTCCTCTGGTGGCATTATCCTATCATTTTGCTGATATTTAAGGGTATTTTCTGGATTAGAATCTGTTGCTTTTGTTTATGTGAGTTCCTTTGCTTGTGTTAAGTTTTTCAGTTCCAATTTGTGAATGAAAACTGAGCAAGGGTAGGCGGTTTACACTAATGGAAGTGTTACTGTTAGTGTGGGGCATGGCTAAAATTCAGAGTAGCACAGGAGAAATCTGCCATGTCTTTGCTACTTCTCCTGGAACAGGGCCTCCAAATGTGGCCAATCCGCTGCACTAACACACTGGGTAGTGACATTTTTTGCCCTGTAGTGGCCGTTAGCAGACTATATTGCACATGGCATAGAAAATCCCACTAAAATTGTGCTCACAAAAAAGCTGATACTGTCCCAATTTTTAGACAAAAAGATCTGCATAGTGTACCTTCCCATCATTGCTCTTGGTAATCATGGGCACAGCCAATAACTTAATCTCAAATTCAGTCATATCACTAGGATTACCTTTGCATAGGACATACCTCTTCCTCAATTTTGTTTCAAAACATATATTCACTTCTGGGGAATTGATGATCAAAATTAACCATTGGACACAGGACTGGTATGATTCAACAACGGCATAGATCAACTTTCATATTCATTCAAGACCTTCAAATTTCACTGGATAACACATGGTTGATTGAAATTCTCTTTCAAAGCAGAACAGTTCTCACTTGGAATTTGAGATAGTGAGATGTTTGAGGATCTTAATTTCCCCCATTTCTTTTCATCAGTGCATTGGATATCCCACCTACTGCAAATCTCTCACTTGAATTCTGTTCCAGGCTCATGGGCAGATTTCTGGGTCATAGCTGGGAAGGACAAAGCCAAATTTTTACTGGTATTGATTGTCATGCTTTATTTGTAATTTTCATACATGCTGATAGATTTTGTGGAAGTACATTTTTATGAGTTGGTAACAAAAATCCATTTTGATGATAGGGTTACAGAAAACAAGTTTGGTGATTTGAATCAAAAAAAGAAAATACTGAAAAGTTGTAGCACAGAGAGAAGAAAGTGAAAGGCAAGATGATGTGGATTCTGTACTTTTACATTTGGATTGAATGGATTACATGACATGAACAGACTGTTTTTATGGCTTGTGGTGGGGTGCTTTTCCATCCCCTTATGTACCTCAACTTTATGAGCCAACCTTGGGAAAAAATCCGGCTTCAATAAGCTTTTTCATTGCTGGAGTTTGTGAGAAATCATTTTCAAAAAGAGTTGCTGCTCCATACCCTGTAATTGAAAAAAAGGTGAAGTCAATTCCTAGCATTCTATTCTGGGATTGTTTGAACAAAAACTTACCTTGGAATTGAACGTGTCCAATCCATGAATCATCAGGAGTTACTCCCCAGGTAGTGACTGAAATGCATCCCCTCACCTGTCTGCAAGTTTCATAAACCTTTTTATAATCTTGAGTTTTTTTGTCTATGTCTTGTTGGCCGGGCTTTTGCTGGCCATTCAAATTGATTCGGACATCCACTTCAGTGAGGGCAACTTTCAAACCTTTGATGCCATATCAATCAGCTTCTCATTTACGCATATTGTGGGACACGATAATATGTTAACTGGAACAAAGAAAATTTGACATACCTACTGCTGTAAAACGCTCCAAATTTTCCTTGAATTCTGGGTTTAAAATAATTTGTCAGATTGGTTCTCCTTTGCAGAAAAATACTGTGTAGGAGATCGTGATATTTGATAGGTTTTATGTGCTTACTGTCTGGGAATTGACCCGCAACAAGGTGACATTGGAATCCTACAGCATCCAGAAGCTTTTTATCATGAAGGTCTTTGGCTATTGCAAGCAGTCCAGTAGACTTCTGGTTAATGCTTTCAATGTTATAATCATTTACTAAAAGAATCATGAAGTTCAGGTCAGCATGTATACATTTCAAATGTTGGGTTGATAGCCAAAGATAAATAAAAAAGCAAATAACAAAAAGTAAGAAAGAAATGATTCACTGAAGAGAAGCATGTTTGGGGCGTATTGGTCGCGAAATATTTTAGCATGTTGATACGCTCCTTGGAGCCAGCCATCTCCAATTGCATTCTTCCAGGGGCCATTGTCCAGCTGTCCTGATTCGTTAATGACCTCATTGCAAACATCCATTCCTGTTGCCTTCTTGCCATATTTGCTGATCACCTGTTGTAGGACAGCCACCATTTTCTGCTCCAGCTCCCATGCCTGCATGCCGTTAACCCAAGGTGGATTTTGATCATGGCTGCAAAAGAAAAGACAAAGCAGAAAAACACCATAATAACTTTAGCTAAGGAAAAAAAACATTCATGCAATAAGAAAAATTTTGATGCAAGAGACGTACGCAAACAAAGTGTGTATGTGAATATCTTTGTTGTTGTCTTGCGCGTATTTCATAATTTCATCACTACATTATACCCAGGGAAAATGTGTTGGTTACGACAAAGCCTCAAGCGTGGGCCACGAGTGAGAAAAAGAAAACAGTAGATAGATGATTTGGGACTCACGCGCCATCCAATTGATAAGCTCCTTGATTCGGCTCTATGGTACCCCATTTCATTTCTATGATACAATCGTAACGAGAACAAGAACCAACAAGACAATACAAACAATCTCAATCCTCTACTTCCAGCAAATTGCAGGATAGAGAGTAAGTTCCTCTGTCAAAGAAATATTTACCATTTCCGGGAGTTATGACTGAGAAGTACTCCGTAACGATCTTTTTATAATGAGATTGGTTATCTGGCGGAAGATCCTTCCGAAATGGGTTTAGACCCTTGAGACCATCCGCTGTGATACCGATCCCCATCGGCAGCTTCTTTCCGGAATCATCTCCCGGCTTTGGCTTGGGCTGCGGCTTGGGATCTGAGGGAGCGGCGGTTGTAAGCCCGATCAGTGAGAGATGGAAAAGCAGCACAAGCACAACACGGAGCCGTGACATATACGTCATCTTGATCACCAGGAAGACTTATAATCTTTCCTGCTTAGGGCTTGAGTAAAGAAAAATTGATCAAGATGTAGAACTTTGTACAGTGGCGGAAGAGGATGATTGGGATGCAGTATTTTCCCGAAGGAGCTCTTACTTATAGCCATCCTAATAGCTGCCTGAGTAACTAAGAGGGCCAGGAAAACCGATAATGCAGCCAACCGAGACTTCCGGTTTCTCCTTCGCTCTCTCTATGAGCATCACGGAGTCCACCAGGCATCGGCTGACAATACTTGATAATGTCTCATCAACGTTGCGGCTATGCAGCTACACTACCAAGCCTGGGTAACCAGCCTTCCTGGCGCCGACTAGAGGGATTGGTATGACATCAGATTCCGCTGGGGCTATCAGTTGTCGGGTTTGGGAAGACCAGGGTACATAATGTGATTATCATTCTAGTCAGTCCACAGTTTCAAGTCTTTAGTCTGTTCGACGCCGAGCGAGTGTTGCCGATGATTGGTTTCTAAGTCTACGGAACCTCAATCGCGATCACTAACTCCGGGTGACCGGTAAGCCTCGCAATCAGACATTAAGACCCAAGGCCGGCCGGCTCAGACATGCGGCATGCAAACTTGAGGAAGTCCTTCTTGGTAGGGCGTTGGTCGCATAGTCTTTTTATGTACCAAAAAAAATCTCCAAGAGTTCTTATATGTATATACGGCGTCGAAACGAAAAGCGTGTGCTCTCTCTCAGTTGCTACCCTACATGCTCAAACATCCCCCTGACTTGAGGTTCCCGGTTGACTGTATTTGCGAAGCCTTGTGCAGATTATCACCGGACTGTTTCCTGGACCTAACCGGTCTCAATTGCTAAAGCCTTCTACATATTCTAGCTGCGAAGGTGATGGGTATGTATGAGAAGAAAGAGATGACGATGTATTCGATGTCTCCTTCCGCACCGATACGGCAGCTTGTTTTTGTTTTTCTATGGCAATAATGCAAGAAACTTTGAGAAGCGTTTGGTTTTCTAGAATCCAGCTTTCACTGATTGATTTATTCTGTTGTTAGAGGCAATTGAATCACGGGTAGTTTCAATTCTTCATGTAAAATCTCATCAACTGATCCAGCGCCTGACTAAGAGTGAAAACAGAGAAGAATTCAAATTTGTTGGGACACACAGAGCACTGTTTAAACTCATTGGCCCGAAGTCCTGTTGTACTACAGTTGGCTAACAAGTTCACGCACATGAAATGTAATCTCCAATAACAAATTACCAGTGGGGCTTTCGCGAAATGTCTTTGCTTTCTCTAGACCTTAAATAAATTATACAAGTACCGAGATAACAGGTCATGAATTCAATAATTCAGCTGGAACAGGGCATATATGAGTTTGATTTATCAAGTTTTAGTATGATGATGAAGAGCTGAGTGCAAAAAATAGCTTTATGAGTGAATGATCTGTTGTGCCAAAGGAGAAACTAGGAAGCAGGTTGGGTTACCCACTGAACATGCCAGCCAATAGCTTTCAATGCCCTCAAGATCATCCTCTTGAAATGTTTTGTAAAGCCTCCCATGTCTTTTTACAATATATAAAGTTGAGACAAAAGAGGGAAAATATACAGGTGGTGTTTGGAAGACAAAAGTAAGGGGAGAACATTATTGATTTCCAAGCAAAAGATTGGGATCATATAACTGGGTCTTGCTGTGGGAATCAATTATTTTCACACAAGTTTTCAGGGCCAGTAGGAGCTGTCAGTCCCCTACACCATTATCATTCACCATGCTCATTGCTATGTATGGTGTTGCAAGCCCGTCTGGGAACAAACCCAAGTCCCCCTTGGCCGATAGCCACCTGGGGTTTGATTTGTGCCCAGAGGGCTTGATCATGCGGGCTGTGCAGGGGGTGGGACTTGGCACTCAGCCAAGTCCCGCTGGGCCAATTTCAAGCCCTGGGCCGATTGGTGGCTCAGGCGCTCCCCTCCCTCTCAAAGACCCGTACAAACCTAGTTGCCGAGGACGGGAGATACCTGTCTTGACGCTTGGTATGTGGACAGAATCAACCGATGATGATACTGTGATGGTCATCGGTCATTGAGGAGTGATTGACTAGTAGTGAACTGGTCATCAAGAGGGGATTCCTTCTCGATGGCCGGCATTTTGGCGGGCGTGGCACCCTCGCTTGATTTTGGTCAAGCAAGGCTTTGCTCCGACCCCCGCCAGCTTTGACATGTGCCAAGCGGGGGTTGGGAGGATGCCACGCGGGCTTTACAGTTGGCCAAGTGTGCTTTAAGATTGGCCCAGCGCGCTTGGCCTGTTTTCGGCCAAAGTTTGGTGTGTGCCCAGACGGGCTTGCAACACCATATCCACAGAGACCTTTTCTTTTGTGTTTTCTTTTGTTTCAGGTGTGTTGGAATTCTGAAGTTGCCGTGTCCTGCTCTTCTCTCCCTATCACATCCCTGTCACTCCCTTTCTCCCAGTTTCCAGATGAATATTCATCTCTTCACCTTCTGTCCCACAACTCTGCCACTGATGTATGTAGATAAATTGCCATGCCTCTGAATTAGGAAATGAAAAGATCATCTGTATTCTGCACCATTTCCCTGAGGTCAATAACACATACAACCTCTTGTAGCGTGTACGCTTTTCCGTCACACAAGCTAGCAGACTCTAGCCCCTTTTGGGCTCTAAGACCAATTTTTTTCTTCCTCTGAGATTTTTCCTTGAGGTTTTCATCTCCCGGTCTCTTCCCCTTCTCTTGGCAAAAAATCTGTGTTTCATCAAGGTGCCCATTCATTCAAGAAGTTATTTCCACATTTTCAGTTTTGGTGTTGATTGATAAAACTAAGTTTTTTTCCTAATGTTTTTTTTTTAAAAATTGTTCTTGAATGAACCAGAGCCTTTGCACACTGTTAGGCACCGTTTTTCTCATTCTTTCCTTCCAAATTTACCTGAAGAATGTTGACATGGTATACAGGCTATCATCTCATGGCTGTGTTGATTTTTTACTTCAGATTAGAACTATCCACCACAAAAAAATGTCTAAAAGTTGTGGTTGATGTGCCCACATTATAGTTTCTTGATCAATTCTAGTGAAAGGGCTGACTGCATCAATCTGGTCACATCCAGGGACCAGCAGGCTCCAACCCATTTTTGGGCTCACCCAAACCCCTGGTTTCAATCCTTGAACTCACAGGGAGAAGGGGATTCAATTTTAAACAGAGAAAGGTTCATGTTTTCAAGAAAAAACAGTTGATGATTTTACTTATTTTTCTTGTGAACTGCAATTAGCCTTTTTTGAAAGATTTGTCCAACAAAAGGAGGATTACATTGAAATGTGGATCTGAAGTATCTGTTAAGGTTGCTCAAGAAATCAAGAGGGGAGAGATGATCTTGGTAGACATGATGGAAGATGAAATAGATGATGAGATCCAGAACTGCAGATGTTCTGGCCATGATGCTTGTGATGTGTGGCATGGTGTGACGGGTTTAGAATTCCTATGTAGATGTCTTGGGCTCCTGCAAGCATATATGCTACTTGTCGAGCCCGACAGGCGGACCCGTGATCCGAGGCCGGGTGACCGGGTCCCAGTTGAGAGTAAGCCAACTTTCTTTTTTTTTTTCCACCGGTTTACCAACAAACGATGATCAGCCTCATCCCGCGTCCGTCCTGCTCGATCGCTCGCTGCAAGAGGTATTACACCACACCCCCAGGGCGACCGGCGGGTACTCGCAAGGCCGGCTCGCCTCGGCCGCTACTAGGCCGGTATCCCGAGGTCTTCCCCGTCGAGCTCGCCCGGGTCCAGTCCGGTAGAACCGTCAACCTGCGCGACTACGAATCCCAAGTCAAACTTAAACGGCTCTCGTTCGACCTCAAAACCCATGACGGGAAAGTCCTGCCCGCCGACGGACCTAACTTTCTTGGTCGGTTATCAAACAAACAAACAAAAAAATCAAAATAAACTTGGCTTCTTTCTTATGAAAATAACAGCTGATGTAGCTTGCTTTCCTTGTTATGACTCGTTCAGGTCCGAATGGCTGTTCATTAAGAGAGCCATTCTCGCCCACATTCCAAGAAGTAGTCCGTAACTTCCGAGGCACGAACATCGTGGTCTATGTGATTCCCGAGGGTAAATCATCTATCAATGAAGACTCTTTATGAATGTTCACAAGAATGGTCCCTGATGCTGATGGTCTATTTTTTTTTCGTAGGAACACCGGTGCCCAAAACATTGACACTCTTGCATGAACATAGTGATCATTTCTCGCTCCAATGTGCTCAGCCCATGTCCCTTCCCGGTTCGTCGTTTTTCCCCGTTTCTTTCTGTTCACCCGTCCCGTCTCTTGACTATTTTATAACGTCAATCTGTTTTCATTCACTAAACTCACACACACATAAAAAAACTGCTCTCCATCTGTCTGTTACCATCAAAAAATGATTTATGTTATAGAACTGAATAAAGAAATCACCGATTTTCTCGTCAAATCTGCCCGTGCGATAACCAAGGAAGAGTTTGGCGAGGAATACCCATACGAGATATGATCATCAACTCTTTGTTTCGAACAATCAGAAAAAAAAATCATTGTAGCAGTCAAATGTTGCAATATATTCATAACACATCAGATGCTTCTCACTCTCACACAAAGCAGATATAGCCCGACCAACTGCATAGCTTGTTACACATTCGTCAAGAACCGGTGGATCTGCTTAGCACATCTACATACATTCCTCTTTCCATTGATATCTTGCCTTCGTCCTGGTTGAGGGTAGTGATGATGAGATAGAAATCCAACAGATTCCCAAACCCAGCATTTTGTTTTCTACACCAACAAAAAAAAAGGGAGAATCTGGAGTATTGAGCAAGTATGGTGTATCAGAATGAAATTCAGCTTTCTTGGTATGCTGTTGGGAAGAAAAACAATCGTTGCTGAACTGTTTTGAATTTTGTGAGCTTGAGATGAATACGGCTATGCTGGGTTTGCCTAAGAGATTCACACTTGAACACCAGGCCTGGTAGTGGTAACCAAAAACATGACAATATGTGAAAAGGGACATTTACGTAACATGCAAGATATGAGTACCCTTGCGTGCAGCAAGCTGATAGCTAGCGGCTTGCCAGGGAACCCCGCCAACCGAATCCCGCGCAAGTTATAATAAGAGGGCGAAAAGTGCTGTCTCTTCTCACTGTGAGATAGAGACCCTATGGGGCTCTCAACATGGGCGGCGTGCACTGATATCCAATTTATGTACTACGAAGCAAAACAAAATTCACCCCTCTCCACCGGGGGCTCGCGATTTGCGCCACTGAAAAGGGGCCGTTGCAAGGAGTTTTTGCCAGTACTCTAGTACGCGGGAAAGATTTGGAGCGTGCCTGAAGAGACACTCGAATTGTTGGCCCAACCAATGGTAGCTTGTTATTGCTGATTCGGCTCCTTCCAAACCCTTTCAGCGTGCTCTCATGTTGTCTCTGGTTTAAAAGCCTGGAGCTTTCTCGATGGATGAACAACCCAACAACAGCTTCTTTGTTAGCTTTCCGCTCCCTGATCACTTCTCTGCATTTTTTGCCTTCCGGCGTATTTCGGTCATCCCAATCCCAGCACCACTGTCTCGCGCGCTCCCAGTAGCTTACAGTCACCGACCCTTGTCTAAAGAGATTGTGACGGAGTGTTCAGCCACCAGGGCCTCGATCTCTTTTCCCGACGCCTATTAAAATAACGATGCAGTTCAACTTCCTAGCCGCACTCACTTTCATCACCCTCTTGGGCGCTCTTCCTTATATCACCCAAAGCCAGAACGTGCCCAACGATTATATGATCAAAGAAAGTGTAGACCGTTCTAAAAACTATGTATTTTGCAGTCCACAGTGTGGACGGAAAGGTTGCTTACAGTTTGAGCCGAACTTACCCCGGCCGATCTCGAGGGAGAACTACGATCACGACCTCAGACTCCTCTTCTAAAAAGTTATTTCCTCTGGACACGGTTAGTCTTGATTACCACCCGGACAATTGAATGACCAGCCCCTGTCTAATCAAATCCTTAATTCATCTGACACTTTACAGAACAACGATATTTGCGAGGTGAACACTCGCTGGACTCAGTCGGAGGGTCCATTGGCTAGAGACAATCTACCGATGCGTGAATACAAGTTTGATAGCTCGCGAGCCTTCAGCAAATTTCTCTGGCGCTTCAACTACTATTCCGAGACCGCAGGCGCCAGGGTATACTACAAATTTGAACAAAACTTTTCAAACAAAGGAGGAAGAATTATCAAGGTTGCCGCGGGTCAGCCTTCCCAACTGGTCGGCCTTCTCAGAGGTTAGTGATACTCACCTCTCTTCAACCCATATCTCTTTCTTCTCAACATATCACTGCAGCCGCACTAAAACAACATCAATTCTCAATCTCACTTGATTGTCTTCGACTCCCAGGGCAAGTCCGCCGCGATAACTGGCTCGATACCGTCAAGGGAGAAAAGACTTTTACTCTTTCATGCATTGATGGTGCTCCATTGGTATGTCCCTGATAATCTGGAATTAGTGGAAATGTCATCAATGCTGATTACTGCTTTCGCTCACTAGCCCGAATTGGTCACCATGCTGGCCTTGGCCTTTCTTCGATGCTCATGAACTCAAAATTATTGTATGATTGTACATTGGACTCTTTTTTTTTGCTGTGCCCTATCTGTGTTTCATTTCACCCCCCGGACATTTTGCCGCATCCTCAAATACAAAGACATTCTATGCACATATGTGATGTATCTGATTATAACACATTCCTTTTCCAAGAAACTTTGGGTATTTATCATCTTTGAAATCATTGTAGCAACAAATTGGGATAGATGTACCTGTACAGTCATGTTTTTTTGTTTTTCTTTTGCTCTACAAGCTATTGTATGTTATCCTGGGTATTGAAGTCCATTTCAATTCATCATTTCTGTCTCGCTTCTCTTTTCCTCTGCAAGCCTTTTGGCATAGAAACACACAACATGCAGGATGAACGCAATAGACAGACAGAGGGACGGGACAAGAAAGTGAACGCCTACAGCAAAACTAGTCCACATAAAACCACTGATTAGAGACAAACAGTAAGGGAATGGGGATTTCAGCTTGTGCTAGCAGCAATTATCAAATGAATGAAGTCGAGATGCTGGTGTGCAATTAGTAATATTGGATGGGATGGCTAACAAGGATAAGGTCTGAGGAATCAGCAAGGTAGAAAAATTGCAAGCCTGGTGTGATTTGTAAGGGGTTTTTTGGTGTATGCTAGGGATGGAAGGAGTTGACTGTGGATGTATGGCTCAACAAAATTGGAGGACTGGGGAAAAAGGGGGAATTCCTGGATGGATATGAATGATGCTTGGAATTTGGCACACATAGGCTATTTATAGGACCCTCATCAGGTGGGTAAAACCCTCCCCAATGAGCACGAGATTTCTGTGCGGATTGGGTCTGTGGAAAGTTCCTCAATGAATTGATGTCTTGACATGACCAGTTTTCAAGGATAAATTTGACATGATATATTATGAAGGGGAAATCCTCTCAGTATGGATTTCTCCCAAGTTAAACCAAGTCCCAATGTCCCAATCAATCCCCAAGAATCCATTTAGTATCACCAATCGTCTTTCAGTGAGTCTCAATTAGTAAGACCCACATTATGATTGATTGGTGGAGTATGCACATACAAATGAAATCAAGGACAACGTCTGTGTAGCTGGTGCCTGACCTCAGGAGGAGCATAACCCTTCAGGGAATCTACATTGGTGACTTAAAAGCTCAATTCATTGGATCAGAGGACTAGCATGATGAGGACAATCGACAGTTTACAACAATTCAGACTACCTGAACCTCTTTTCTTTCATTTCTCTCATTATCTACTCGGACATCATGGTTACATCACCAACGCCACCATCAGAAAGACTATCAGATTCCCTAATCAAGCGCACGATTTCGCCATAGTATTCCCACACGCCACCAGACTCAATTGCTTCTTGTAACTTGCGGTTTTCGAACTGGTAATCCTTGCTCAACTGTTCTAGTTCGGATAAAGAGTGATCGGGGAATCTGATCGCTAGGTCATCGTTCAAGCTGACCGTGGGATCAAAGAACGATTCATTCGGCGACGAGATGGGCTGCCCGACTTTTCCTGAATCTGACATTTTTTACCGTCATCGTAGTTGGAAAGGGCCAAAAAAGTCAGTTGTATGCTTTTTTTCATGACACAGTGGTTAACACATCTTCATACCATTTGGATCGATTGAACTTGAAAGAACGTGGTATAGCGCAGTGCTTTTCAGGCAAGTGATCAGATCTTGATCGGATAAGTTGCTTGATTTTTTCAAGGCTTGCCAACTACAACGCAGATGTTTTGAGTCAGTGAACTGGCTGGCAGGGGATGAAAAGAGAGAGGGAAGGGATATCTACTCTTCATGTATGTAAATTCTTCTCCATACACTCTTCAGTGCTAGCTGTGCTCGACCGGGAACGAGATCCTGATGACAAACTTATTGTTAGAACATACACAAGTAGGACAGGACTAAATGCCTTCCAAGTCAATGATGGTCTCACCTTGGCTCGAGAGAAAACATCCAACGCGATCACGAAATCTTCGACTTGCTCATGAAGATTAGCTTTCAGCCCGTAAAACTCGATCAAGTCTTCGATCCTCAAAGCATCGCCCGCAATAATTTGGCGAACATATCTATCGAATAACTGGAAAATGGTTTTTTTTTCAGTCATGTTTCTCAACAGTTCAATTGTGAAAGCAGGAATTTACGAACTTGTCCGAATGCCGGACGGTCGACCAAATTCGGCGCAAGATGTTGTCTCAGAATATCAACCTGTTGGTCCACGGATAGCAACGAGTACTGCGGCTGTGATTCCAAGATTGATTGACATAGATCAGACAATTTCAATTGTGCCTGAAGAATATCTAATCTGTCATCCACAACTAATATTCACACATTATCACTGACTTAGTATCTGTGAAACCTTGTGCCAGGAAAGAAAAATTGATAAGATTGATGCGGAAATCGACTTACGTTCAATATCCTGTAGTACTTTTTCTGAGTCGAGGTGTTCACCGTCATCAATCTGAGCGACTTGACATAGTTTACCCAGACTCAACATGATCTTTGGAGAAAATTTTCAGGAGATTTCTGTTAATGGAACAGCAAGACTTGAGGGCATAGGGTAGCAGGGCGATCAACAAACCTTTTGATCGGCCAGATTTTTTTCCGACTCGGCTTCTTTGAGCAAGACTTGACTTGCATGATCGAAGCGATCGATGGCAAGATCGTGAATCCACGAAACCTTGCCATATTGCATCCGGTCGAGGAACGAAGTGATCAAAGGAGCATACACGGGATCTTGGCTCAAAAGCTCGTGATATCGACCTTAGAATTCCAACTATCTGGATCAGCTCCCAAGACACAACTCAATTAACCAGAATGAAATCCACACACCATGTTCCACATACCATTGATACAGCTGGAAGGCGAACTCTTCTTTGTATCTTGAGATGTAAACTCGTTCTTTCTGCTTGGTTTCGCTGGGTGCTAAAGAGTGACATAGCTCAACAAGAGTTCGGAAGTCGCGCTGCTCTTCCGCAAGTGTAATAGCGCGTGCTTGCCGTTTGACCTTCACTACCGAGCTCATAAAACGATTATGAGCGACATTCACCGCGAATGATTCAGAAGACCTGAAGACGGCTCTCACCTAATCCAAATATCAGCTGGGGACGCAGACGCAAGTAACGTTCTTGCAGACTCTTTGCTTCTGGATGGTTGGTACCTAGGGTACTGGATTTGATAGATACCCAAAAATTCTTGAAGATTCCTTAGCACCATGAGAAAAATCAAATAAAGGAATGACAGACATGACAAACCTTTCAGTAAAAGAGCTTCTTTCTTTCATCATCGCCAGTGATTTCTCTACCAACTCGGTCAGTTGATCCTTAAGGGTATGATGCAACCATTTACTCTTGTCCGAAGAGCCGCCGTTGGAGTCATCATCATCATCCATCAACAAGCTGGCCGAGTCAGCACCGAATCGACCTGGATCATCGTCCATCGCTGGTCCAAATTCACGAGCCCGTTGTTGCAGTATTTCCAATGTTGCTTCGCAATGGGATTGCAATATATCAAGTAAGTTGAGGGTGCTCGTCCAGCACTCTGTTGAAGTGTCGTCCTTCAGATCAAAAGTCTTGCTGTGTGTCTGCCGTATAGTTATGGCTGCATTATACACTGTCTGAGAAAAGTAGACCATCAGGACGACGATATCAAGGAAAATTCGACGCAGGCTGTTTCTTTTCTTACTAGTAGGATCTCGTTGGCCTCCATGAGCTGAGATGAGCGGGTGTGTAATTTATTTGACTTGTTGGATAAAGTCGTTTTCAATTTGGCTTGGACATTCACCAAGATTTGTACGATAGCGGAGGCCTGCAACCAATCCGCAAAAAATTGGTTAAAAAAATGGACATAAAAAGCAGTCATGGCCAAGAGGACAACTGACATGATTGCGGAAGAACGAGCGGATCATGTCCTCATCCGAGTTCTGGCCGAGTGAGTTCATATAGGTCATTATAACTTCGCTCAAAACTGTGCGAGATCGTCGGCCACTATGAGACAACGCGTTGATTTTGTTGTTATGATGTAGCCATAGTGCGTTAGTTGCAGCAAGTAATTCCAGATCAGAAAGCAGCCGTCTTTTGCCGGGCTTCGGAACTTTATTAAGCATCCCAGTCAGATTGATGAAGCGAATAAGCAGTTGAAGCCGGGCGATCCGATCCGCTAGTTGGACTCGAAGGTCGACGATCGGGGGGAGATGAGCCGCACCTGAATAGAAGACGTCCAAAAATAATGTTCTACCAGGTTAGAAGATGGATTCAAATGAGGTCAAAGGTAATAATGCTGACTTGAGGACAAAACCTCTTTGCTCAGTTGCTCTGCTGCTGTTGACAAATCCCCGATTAGATCTGCTTGCAAGTTGAACTCCACAGGATTCTGAAACGTAATTATTCTCGACTGAGTTGACCAGAATTTGACACCGATAAAGAGATGTAAGCCGTAGAAAAAAACATACCGCAGTGTTGTCACCGAAAAACACCGCTTGCTCCAATTGAGTTTTGAGTCGGTAAGTATCACGGGCTATTTGTTCTTCAACCACGCTAGTTCTGCAAAAATATCATGGAATGTTTCCTTAATTAATCTCAGGCCAGAATACGTGTTGAGGGGAAAGGTGCCGCGAACCCAAGTTTTTCCAATTCAACCGGATTGAGTTCGATTTCAAGGATTCCGCTAGATGTGGTGATAAATTTTAACGTTGGTGGCTTGTCCGATTTATCCTGAATGGCGCGAATGGCAAGAGGTGCGGCACCATTGCCAATTATACGATTGTTAGCTTGGGAACTGAGTGAGACAATCTCCTCGAAGTCGGTCCCCTCGCTCAAAGATAAGCAGACAACTCGTTCTGGAAAAACGATGAAAGCGGCCGGTCCACCGTTGGGCAAAGATAAGGAAGGCGCGGTTTCGGGTCGAGGGTCCGGGTACTGGAACATAAAAACCAATGTCATTTTTTTCCCGTCCAAGAGCTATCAATGAAAAGACAGACTCACTTCGCGATGTTTGGCTTTGACGGTATGTGATACAACGGGTAATGAAGAGCTTGACAGGACTTCCAGGATCACTATAGCATATGATCTTGGCTGCACGCTACTTTGCGCCTGATCAACCTGGGAAGAGTCGATGTAGCTAATTAAAACGGCTAAGTCGCGAGTACTACAGAGAAAAAGGAGCATGCCATGAGCCATCTTGAAGGCAACGGATTTCTTCCATCGAGAAAGTGTACAGCGACACACTTACTAAGTTACCTTAAGGTCCAGTAAGGTGAATTCTATCCGCTCCGTCATTGTCAATATATCTACTTCCGGAGTCCATCCCAAGCTTTCTAGTATAATCGCGTTGATTTCTTTTTCCCAAACAAATCTCTCACTCCCACTACTGAAATTTAACTTCCACCTTTGTAGGTTCCCTGTAACTTCCAAGGCCCAGGCTTCTCCACCGCCCATGCTCGTATCGCCTTCCAAGGGAGGGCTGACAGCCAGCGCGACGATTCCAGCCTTAGGATCGTAGGCTTGACCCCATCTTATTAGCGAGCCAAGTTTGGTTCCCCAAGTGGTTGACCTTGACATCAAACTAGAAATCACGGTTGGTCGTCCACTCATACCAGGGGAGATGGAAATACGAAACAGTCGGGTATGTGATGTGGCTAGGATGAATGAACCAGGACATGATGTGAGCGGCTGGAGGCATCTCACTAGTTCGGCATCTTGAAGTTGAATTTGGATCGTTGCAAATTTATCGACCCCTGATAAAGCTAGCGAAAGCGAATCCCATGCGCGTAATTCTCCGGTTGGTGAGACTAGCAAGAGTCCAGGCTCGCGTCTTGTGCTGTTCGAGGTATTTGAAAAGTGTGATATCAGGCATGCTAGTGGCAGGGGAGCTAGGGTGTTGACAAGAACCGAATTGGTGTTGGAAAGCGGGCAAGGGAAGGAATAGCATGTGGGAAGAGCTGCTGTGCGCTGAGATGAAAATGGGTATCAGGAAATAAATATCAGTCAGAACAAGTACTTCCAAGCAGGGTTGAGGTGGGATATATTCCAAGATTAATGCACTTACCCTGGCGAAATTCCACACATAGCAAACATTGCGAGACCACACACACGCATAACCAGTGATGTGGTCGACACATCCCTTGAGAGCATCGACATTGATATCTGAGCAAAAAACGTGAAAATGAGTAATTAGCATTTCAGTTCGCAAAATCCTGGAGCAGGGCTTGTGAAGAAGGGCTTACCAACGTTGGCGACCATGGTGACAACATCACTTGGAAGTGGACCGTAGGCGGTGACAGCATGGAAATCGTCTTGTAAGAGGATGGACAACGCGCTTCCGGGTTGATTGGCTTGCTTGAGGCCTTCTTCCAATGAGTTGGTCTGTTCCTCGGCGATCGTCCTTGCCTGAGACGCGTCAATACGACCTATGGGTGTGACCGATCGATTTCGAAGACCTCCTCGCCCGGGTTTTAGTAACATGATCGCAATCAAACTGATGGATGGTAAATGGTCAATGGTCTCATCAATCCCAAGGGGCTGGCCATCGAGAAATATATCTGGACTGCGCTGCGTAGACCCGCAGCCGATCAGCCATGGCCTAGGACATTCAACAGCGACAAACAGAAGAGGTGGATGCTGAAACCATCTTCTTCAGTTTGATTGCTTGGACATCTGTAATCCCCTAGAAAGCACTACCAAGCAATGAATGGAAAGTACATTTCATATCACATCAACCTCTTATAAAACACCCAGCAACACTAAGCACCCTTTTGAAATACATAATTAACTTTTCTTGTCCCAGCAATCATTCCCAAAAAAAAGTGTTTTTGCTTCTCAATGCCCAAGATTCCACAAGCTTATTTTGAATCTCCCCAACCAACTAGAATTTGATCAATTAGATTTTCCATTTCACCTCATCTCAAATTGATCTGTCTTTTGATTTGATCATTAAAATGGGGCTTGTCAACAAAATCACTGATCATAACCTATGATCTATCATTCTCAAAAAAGGATGGGCAATTTGTTTGAGCTTCCCATTACGCAAGTGAAAGATACCAGTTCATGCACTCCTTCTCTTAATAAAAAATCAAAATCCATCTGCACCAATTTCAGGCAAGAAAACATTTAGGGCCACTTTGGGCACTTTCTGGGTTCTCAGTATTACTCAAAAACCATGCAGGATATATTTTAGAAGGGAAAGTTGTGTTGTGATGTGTGGGAAGATTTTTTGTTAAACTTAAATAAAGGGGTTTATTTTTGTACCAGCCTGCTTAATGCAGAGCAGCTTTGCTGCCCTTCTACTCTATAATTCAGCTCTCCAATCATCCTTAATGTCCATAATCTATTTACCTACTTTTCCTTGAAATTTTATTTTCCTTGTGGTTGAATATCCTAAGAACTGACTAATGGTGCCACTTTCCAAATAATTTCAATGTGTGAATATCATTCAAAATACATAGATCAAAAATGTAACTGATGCAATGCATGCATAGACATTCCATTGTATTGGGCCTGTATCACATCACATCTAGAGAGTGATGCGGGGGCTCTGCATCACATTGCTTGCATTGGATTCTTCAATAAAGAGCATTGGTATAGCATTGGCAAAGCAATGCACTCTAATTTGGTGGCATTGGTTTACATTGCTTTCCAATACAATGCTGATGCAATGCAATGCATTGGTATCAAAATAATGTGCATCACTAAAACAATGTGATGCTGATACATGGCTATTTATTTCATCACATTGCATTGTTTCATAGTTGCATAGATGAAGAAACAAGTTTATCTGACTCAATAATGATTGATTTCTCTAATGGAATGTGTGAGGATGAGTGAGAAATTTTGACAGTCCCTGTAAGTAATCAAACTCAAACAAGGAAAAAAATGAAGCTGTAAACCCAAAAGGAAAGATAAAAAGAAATCAGATGCAATTTTCATAAAATGACCAATAGACAGAGTAAAAATGAATGATTGGAAAATAAATTCAGTGTGTCTAGCTTAATTTTTGGAACCAACTTGAAAGAAACCTAGAGAGAGAATTCCTGGTCTTGTTTTTTGAAATTTCAACTTTATTTTTCAAAATTTCAAATTTCTCTTTCACTTCTTGATCTTCAAGATATGTTGTATCCTTTTGTAAATTTTGAATGTGTTTTGAAATGAATTCTAATTCTTGATCAGGTTCTATGTGATTTTTCATTCTATTCAAGTAAGGATTTTGACTTCTGTGCTTACATTGAGGAAAGTATACATCCAAATAAATGTAAAGGCTTTCTAATGCAGCTAAAAATTGATTTCTAGAATACATAAGGTCCAATTTTCTTGTTACTTTCTCAGGTATATTATCACATTCTTTTCTGACAAACTCCAAGGTTTGAAAAACCAGACTCAATTTCTGGTTTGTGATTGAATCATTTTTTGCAAAATCTGTTTGAAGGAAAAGTTTGGTCAATAAATATAGTTGTTCATTCATGTTTTCTGAGTAATCTTGATCAGTCATGATTATTGTGGAAAATCCATCCCTTCCGAAAAAATCCTTCCTCCAATTTTTGACATTGAATCCATTAAAAGCACTCATCTTGTCATCAAATTCATACTGGTGTTCCTCTGCTTGAAATAAGAAAGAAAACCATAAAAACATATCCTTTTGTGGTTGAGTCAGTGCACCTAAAATTGAAAACAAAAATTATATTGTCAGCAGCTTGAAGGAGCGTGTTACAAGTATTTACATATTAGATCTAACATACCTTCAAACATATTCATAAAATGTTCTGAATGGAAGCTTTCAAACAGACTCTTGCTATCAATCAAATAAAAATTACGAGTTGTCCCTTTGAGATGATGATAGTTCAGGTACATTTTATCTGCAGCAGGCCCCAGCATTCCGTTGTTGGACAAGAAATCATGCAAATTCTTGGCTGTGATCCACTCGGACTTGTACATTTGATCAAGTGTTTGGAAAAGCAGTCTTCCAAACCTTGCTCTCACGTCATTGCCATTATGAATCATTCTTCCAAACAAACTTGTCAAAACGCATTCAATTAATTTTAAATCCTCTTGGGGTATCTTGGTTTCATTCACTGCCCCATCGATTCCCCAGTTTTCCTCCAACTTCAAAGACGTATTCATAGATGATGATTTATTGTTCTGAAATTTCTCTACAATCATCTGCATCCTTGACAATTGAATGAGTTTTGCGATTGTGAAAGAAATCCATGTCAGTCTATGAGTTCATTTCCCCTTTCCATAGAAACTGCTGGTCAGAAATTGATCAGACATACATTTCCTTTGAGAAAGGTTTTTTGTTCAAGCTTCCAGGTTCAGGCAAGCCATGTTCTCTTGCAAGACGAGCAAGGAAGTTTTTTATGGAAGGCATCATGAGATGGTGGACATATCTTAATGCGTGAAATGGAAGCAACCTGCGTGATTTCTTTCCTAAGTTCTTCCGAACCTCCTTCATGAGCTTCTCGAGCTCTTCAGTCATCAAAAGAACGTCTTCCAGCAGAAAATTGAATTCGACTATGTATCGGTCAGGAGTGGTCAGCATATTTTTGATAGGGATGAAACAAATCTTGGGGCCACACAAAACAATACTTACTTTGTTTTTCCTCCTGGGATGTTCCACGGTCGAATTCTGGTAGGAAGAACAAGAACGCTCTCAGTTTCATTCTTTTTGATTGATCTATAGCTGGAAATTTTCAACTCACTCTCCCTCGCCAAGCCAGTAGTGGGACGTCTCAACTGTCGGACAGAGTTGAAGTAACGCTTAATGCCGTCTTCTGAAGTTGGGGGATTCTTCATTTCAGGTTCAGATGCCATTTGATGATGACCTCCTGCAACCACCTGACTATTCAACATGTACCTGCTAGTTGACGATGTGGCCACTGTTGTTGTTTTTTTTTTGTGGCACATAAAATATGAAGTGCAATATCAGTTGGTGTGGTTTTAGGAAACAGAAGAAAGTTCCGTACCATCTGGCGGTTTATGATATGTCTGACTGAGGACTGATGAGGGTAAGTCCCCATGCATACATTGAATCGCTTGGAAGCAGCAGACAGCAAGGATCAATTTGATTCTTCGGTAACGGAAGGGGGCCGTCATGATGAATGGGAACCTAGCTTATAGTAGAAATTATGATGTGATAGAGTTGGAGATGGGGCAGCACACAATAACTGGAAATCAAGGAAACAGGATCGAGTCAAGTCGACTCAGAACCCTGGCCAAACTCAAAGAATGAATGTGGATCACTGTGGGATCCTTAAGCCTTCAGCATGGTTGGTGGAATGGGAGAGAAGGGTACCGCCCCGGCGGCCTAGTCTGAAAGGATTCAGGAGTCGGAAAGTCCTCGGTGTGTCTTGCAAAGAATTTAGAAAGTTCAACACACGAAAATTGCTACGTGCGTACCTCAGCCCACAGACTAAAGCATGTTGTGGCGAGGGGATTATGTGTCTGGTTATATGAATATTTTAGTTTTATGGGCTGCGAGCAACTCGGGATGTTCATCTGGCCTCGCTGCAATTCTCTATTATCAGGCACCCACACTGGCTCTCACTGTATTTCAGACGTTCCCGCGAACACATCCAAAGAAACGCAGCTATCCCGTCACTGTTCAGAACGAAAGACTACTTCTGATTGCGTTGCTTTGGATGATGTGAGTGCTAGCGCGCGGAACTGATTGCTCTACGGATCACTCCACAGACAATCCGGTGCTCATATTTTATGTCAAGACAGACACTGCATGTTTTCCAGAGTCTTATGTGCTTTAATTCTCGTTTTACTTTATTTTTTGTGTCTCAAAAGTTCAATACGCATACTGGAGCACTTCGAGTCTGCACCTCCGACTGAATTGAATTCGCAGCCCCTCGAAACAGATTTGCCCAGGCAATCTTAATTTGGTGTGTCTAAGTCTGATTCCGTAGGATCTATCAATCTCGGTGGCAAGTGTCCCACTCTGATTACATGAACTTATCAAGATGGTGACCGTACTTATGTTTATCAGCTTTGCAATCAATCTGAGATGTATTTTGAGGTTTTGTATGACGTTTTGTCAAACTTTGTTTTGTTTTCTCGGCCCGAAAGTGAACGGTTGGGGATATATGCCAGGGTTGTTGTTTATTGGAAGTTGAAATGAAGTAACTTGATTGTGGGAGTTGCCAAGAAAAAGAAATCTTGAAAAGTGGATGATTGCGGATGAGGAAAGGCCGATACAACTACAACTGTAAACAGAACCTAAAGCAAATCGAAATCGCTGTTGGATAGATGTGAAAAAACAAAACAAAAAAGTTAGCAAAACGATGTCGAACGACAAACTCATTAACTTGAGATGATAGGGAATATGGGACTGAACTCGACTTGGCCGGCGTAGTTTTGAATGTGACGCTTCAGCTTGCTGGTGTCGACCCAAGTGATAAAGTCCTCCATGTTCCGGGTCACGAGAAATGCAGGATCGGTGATCAAATCAGGGCCTACCCGAATGTGTCCCTGTTCGATATATTGCACGGCCTTTTGGTTTCAGAACAGACCCAGGAAATTGAGAGAGGAAGAAAAAGAGTCAGATGCATGGGGATGTGTGGTGAGAAATAGGGCAACAGGAAGCTTGTACCATTTTCACCGTCTCGGCCATCTTCAGTCGACAGGCAACCACCGCAAGTCGACGACGACAGAAGGCACTGACGGTCACCTTCGTTTCGATGTCGCTCATCTTGCCGCCTTGAGCGTCCTCCGTCCGTCCAGAGCCATCCAGGATTCCAATGTCATAGAGTTTGTCGAGTAAGGCGGATTCCATCTGTGCCCGAAACGGATCTTGAGGCGGCAGGAGCGATAGACGATGCGATAGTTTGCGGATCTCTCCACATAGTAAGTTGTATGCATGATAGTCCTCTCTAAATATGTCCCAAGCCAGAAATGTTGAGTTGCTTTAGTCAGTCGAGTTATTCTACAGCTTGGATATCACGGCCGGACTGACCGTCGTTGAACATGGTATCTCCTCATCACTTTCGCTTCCCGTAAGGTCGAGTCGTTCTTCCATTGCAGGAAATCTACCTTTTTCAGAAGTTTTTTCTCGTGATGCTGTTATGTCAAAAACAAATCGTGGGTTAGTCATTGACTCCCAAGGCGATCCCAGACTGTGATTTATTTTGAGAAGGTGCAGATGGAGAACCTTGCAAGAGCACGATTTACCTTAAGTTGACGCATTGTATTATCAAAGAACTTGGTTGAGTTTGAGGGAGAGGAAACTGTTGTTGGTTCACTTTTTGAAAAAATTGGGAGAAACGCATGAAGGTAGTATGGTGCATATGAGATGTCACCAACATGTCACGCCAAGGTGTAAACTGAGTCTGATACAAGTGCTGTGATATTCTTGCCAGCACCAATACAACCAATTTAACAAGTGATTTCTACTTTCACCCTCTTTCACCATTCACCAAGAAGATGTTTTCGAACCTGTTCGGCAGTGCTCTGTGCTCTTGGTGAAGGAACATCTCAAACGAAATGAACAGAAAAACGTTTTGGAGCCACACCTCCAAACAGCCGTTATTGGCAGTGAAGCCTCTATGTGGTCTATGGGGTGAAATTGAAACAGACAATTAGTCACAAGTCCTTGAAGCTCCATCCAGCTATGAAACTGGAGGAATTTCCAAATTTGGTGATGTAGAAGGACATTCCAAACCTCATTTGCTGGTGAAAATCAATCAAGATCAACTTTTCACCAGCCAGTAGAGTTTAGGGCTCCCTTATGAATTATGTAAGTGATTTGGGCAACAGGAAGTCCTTCACTGTTTTTGAAATGATCCATTTTGATTCACAGGCTTTTTTGAGCTATCTATACAGTATGCCATGCATGTCGCATTCATCAATCATCCTTTCACAATTTGAATCATTTGGTTTGTTCAGTCAACTTCAGCTGATTTGAATTGTATTTTCTGCAGGAATTCATAGCTTGGTTGTGTGTGTGTGAATCTGATGTCAAGTCATGATGTCTCAAGTAAAGCTAATCCAAAAGATTTTCTTGTTGATGAGAGTGACTAATTGAGAGGTAATTGGACTGATCAGTCTGAGCACTGTGTAGTTTTCTTGAGAGAAAAAAAAACCAATATTGTCCCAAAAAATCCAACTCCTGAATTAGATCCCAAGATGTATCTGTGTATTGATCCCCACAGAGAGTTATCCATTCCCCCGGTTGTTGAAAGTGGTAAACCACTTGTAGCATTGTGCCAACTAGAGGGAGGAACTTAGGTGCAAAGTTGACCCCCCAGCCTAAGAAAATAAGGAATTTTGGTGGGGAGTTTTGCATAATCAATCTCACAGATTTTTCAATGATTGGATTTTGCTGTTGCTTTAATTTTCATGACCACCTGGCTTGCCTCCATATTCAATTTCTAGTGACTCTGTGTGTTGCTATCCCATCATATTGATTGAATGTTACTGGCTGAGGTGTTGGAAGAGGCCATATGTCTTATAATGAGCTTCCATCATCCTTGGAGCTATTCAGATCATCATGTATTGAACTGGATTCCCATAGTTATTAATATGGACCTTCAATTGTATTTCCAGCATTATCATCTGTTCCAAAATGATGAGCAACAACAGTATTTCATGTAGAAGCATAAGATGAGGTACATCCAGTACATGAGCAGGCTCCTCAAACCCACCCCAAGGGCAATAAAATCATCAAATGCTCATTGGACACTACATTTGATCAACCTTGAAACCTCATGAAGCTGAATTCTATATTATACTGGAAACATACCTCCGTTTGGTGGGCCGATTCTTCCACAGAAAATTAGAAACATACCTGCCAAATTGGTGCCAAAGAGTAGATTTTTTTTTCTTATTCTCTCAGTTAAGAGAGACAAGCATAAGCAAATCCTTCAGATGGTCCCTGTGGGATGAATTAAGTTAGATTTATTGTGTAATTAAGTTAGAAGGTTCATTCCATTACTGTTTTGGATCTTGATCATTAACAAAGTGCATCTATTACCCACATTTTTTTAATAGTGTAAAAATTGTAACAATCAGGGGGGGGGTTGATGATTGTAATTTGTAAAATTTTGAAGCTAATTTTGAGGCCTTCATCAACAAGATTTCATAGCTTTGAAGATCTGGACACAATCTGGGCTTTCCAAGCCATTCATCCAACTTTTTCCTCTGTGAAAAATGTGTTCATAAATACCTGAAATGGGGTTTAGAATTGTACAGAACTTTGATTGTGAACCCCCATATTGGGTGCTAATTATGAAGAGGCAGCAAAGCTGGATTTTGTGAAAGATAGATTTCTTGATGTATTATCAGTAGAATGTGTTTTAGTTTTAGTCAGATTTATGCACCATCATGAATAAGTCAGATTGTATCATGTATAAACTCAGCAGTATCTGATAACCATGAACTCTCTCTTACAATTGTGCATCCAAGCCTACTAGAGGGTCCAATCAAAATTCTTGTTTTTAATCATTAAATGAGCTGATCAGTGCTCTGTTTTCTTCCTCAACATGATCCTTTTTTGCATGATTTTCCCTCAAACAGAAACTAATCCTTAATTTTTTCATACAGTTGAATTGCTGGTTTTTCTGTGGAAATTTAATGTTTGAAACAAGCAAAAAAAACAATTTTGCAGCCCATGATTGTAGGGATGAGTATAGCCCAGGTGGAGGATCTTTTGTTTTTTGTTTGGGGAGATCAGGTTGAGTCAGTTGGGTTGATAGCTGGAAATGAAGCAGTGAGCATGAAGGGAGTCATTTTGGATGATGTTTTGTTTGTGATGATGAAGAGACAGTTGGACTGGAGTTTTTTATGTTTTGTTTTGAGGATGGGATCAGCCAGTTAGCAGCAGCGATGTCGACAATTATAAAGGATGGACTGAGACGGTCACGACCGAAGGTCATTATAATCCAGGAAGGTTGTCAGAGATGATGATGGCTTCGGTTGCTCTGTGTTCATGAATCATCATCACCATCATCTGGCTCGACTTCGCAGAGGACGATTGATTTCCCCCCCCAATTTGCAGGGTCTTGATCAGATCTTTGGTTCGGTTGTTTCAGACTCTTCCCTTGCATGCATAGAGCCAGCTATTACAATAAAGTTTGAATAAATTGTGAAATTAAAAAGGGTTTTGTACCCGCGGGGCGTGTTTTCTGACTTGGTCCAAAACCTCGGCTGTGAACTCTAAGTGCTTCTTGACCATCCCCACTCTTCCTCCTCCTCCTTACCTCCTTCTTTTCCTCCCTCAACCACCAACAACAAGACCACCACTACTCACCCACACTCACTTCACTCCCTCGAACTCTCCTCAGACTACAGACCAACCCCAGAAGACCAAAACAAGGATGTCTCGAGCATACTACAACAGCAATAACCACTCAGAACAGTACGACCAACACTATCCACAACAACCCTACTACCCACAGGATGACTTCATCGACCAATACCATCCATCCTACAACAACAACAACAACAGCAACAACAGCAACAGCAACAGCCAACACCATCATCAAGACTATCATAGCCAATATCCACCGCCCCCAGATATCTACAACCAACAGCCCTACACTGCCCAACATGACCATCAACTCAACACCTATCCTCCAGACCATCATTACCATCCTGATCAAGCGTATCATCCCGACTACGATCCCGCCTATGCTCTAGACGAGAAATACCCCCCAGCTAGCGAACTCTATCCGCCCCCGACGAGCGCTCATCCCGCTATCAACCTCAACCACCATGATCCCCCCTCAATGAACCAGTTCAATAGCTCAAGTACTTTTGCTAATCCCACTAGAGGTTCCGTTGCCGCTCAGGTAAAAATCAAATGCATCTCTACCATCATCATCATCATCAATCTATTCTGATCCTATGTGAACCTGTGTTTTTACTCTGAAGATGGCTGCCGAAGGCGCAATTCCTGAAAAAGCCGGTCTAAGAATGTGGCGGTCTGATGAACACAGTGGAGCATTTACTCGGGGAGGCAAATCACAATCGTGTCGCAGATGTTGTTGCTGCACAACCATCGTCATCGTCCTCCTCATCGTCGGCATCGTTGCTGGCTTCCTCCGTCAGTTCTTACTATTACTCTTCATAGATCTATACTCATGCTGTTGTGTTCTTGATGATAGTCTGGGTCAGGCCCCCGAACGCTACGTTTAATGGAATCGCCCCTCCGACAGCTGGAAACCAAGTCGACCTTCAACCCAACGGATTTCTTTTAAACTTTGATCTCAACGTAACCACCAAATCTCTCCTTCTTTCTCATCAAAAAAGCAAAACGACAGAATTAACTAGGATATGCTGAAACCTGAATATGAATGACTCCAGATTGGCGTGACAAATCCGAATTTCTTTGGCGCCTCGTTCTCAAAGATCTCAGCGAAGGCCTACTATCCGTTGAACAAGACGGCAGCTCTGGGCGGAGGGGAGTTGGAGAATGTGGAGATCAAGCCCCATTCGAATACCACAATAAACTTCCCATTCCAGATCAATTATACCACCTCGTTAGACCCGAATCGGGCCATCTTGGCCGACATCGCCAGTCGATGTGGGTTCCTAGGCAATGCTAAAAATAAGTCTCTCTTTCATCATCATCATCTTATATGAGATCCCTGTCCATCATCATCATGATTGTAGAGGTACTTATTCTATTGTTCTTGGATCGATCTCACGTCCCATCAAGATCTCATTCGATATCACCCTAAAACTGAAAGTCTTAGCGATCACCATCAGTCCGACGTTCAGCAGTTCGAACACCTTTTCCTGTCCGCTAAAACAGTCCGACTTCACCTCTGTGCTGGGCGGCTCCCAGAGTCTCGATGCGCTCTCCAACCTGCTCACTGGCTCTGGAGGGGACTCGAAAGGTGCAGCAGCTGGAGACGCTAGCAAAGGCGCTGCTGCTGCTGCCCCTGCTGCAGATCCCAAACGGCGGCTCCTCCTCCGCCGTCATCTGGACTCGTCGGAAGACGATCAACGAGTCGAACTCCTCCTCCGAAAAGCACTCGATAATCACCATCGCTTCCTCACCAATAATCCCCCCCAACTCGTCCTCTCTCGCATCCAATTCTCTTCTCCTTATCTCCCTTCTCCTTCGCGCTCTTCTTCTTCTTCTTCGACCTCACTGAGGCCATGCTCCCGTCCCTCTCCTTCGATTCCTCTGGACCGATTGCTCTCGCGTCTCGTCTCTTTTTATAGAGATTCTTGGAACTCGGTTCTCGATCTGCTTCGGATTCGAGTGTCTTGAACACTCTCTTTAACTTTCAAACTGTCGTCTCTTCTTTTCTCTCTCTCTCTGTTGCTCTCTGTCTTCTTTTCCTCTTCTTTTCAGGACTCCTCTTCTCCTTTGCTTCGTAATCAAAAAATCGAGCCTCTACAATCATCAATCGCTTCCCATCACAAATACACACTAACCCGGATAATCTTTCTCCCCTTTGCTGGCTACTCCCTTACTCCTCATTTGAATATATATACATTATAAATACATGGATTTATGTTATCCTTTCAATCAATAACTCTCTCTCTCTCTCTCAAAATTTCTAAACAACAGCTTAACTTACTTTCATTTTTTTTCTCCCCTTTTTTTGACTCCTCTATGTTTGATGCCCATATTATTTCTTTTTTTTTTCTCTTTCCTTGTTTCAAATAAATACTACCAATACCTTTACCCACATTTTCACCCCCCCTTTTTTCCTCCATGGAGATATGCCTTCTTTGTGGTGATTCATCTTCCTGATTTTCTTTCTTCCTCAAGTCCAATATCAATACTTTATATATATATCCTTTTCTCCCTCTATCATCTTTGGTGTGTTTGTCTGTGTGCGTGTGTGTGTGTATAAGGAGAGGGGGGATGAAAGAGTGAAAGAGGTGAGGATGGAGAGTGTGAAGAGAGTGGAGAGAAGGTGAGCTTGGAGTGGTGGGGATGGGGAGGATCTAGAGCTGGGATATTGGATTTGAATCTGTGGTGAGGACACAAACCAGTGAATTGCCCATGGCCAGCTTGATCTTTGGTTGTAAAGGGTGCTGGCTAAGAGCAATTCCACTGCGGGTGCTAAATTGGGTTGCTAGCAGGAATTTACCAACTCATCGCGACCCACCGCAGCCACTACTCATGCCTTAAACTTACAGCCGTCCCTAAATTTTGTTTGCAAGTCCCTACACCACAGGTTGTGGTCAACTGAGAGCCAATGTAAAAAATTTTGTCGACCCGACCTCCCTGACCCCACCAAAAAACTTTGGTGCCCAACGGGATGTCTTGTAGCAGGAAGCGTTGGAAGCCCGCGGTTGGCTTATCTTCCAATGCAAGCTTACCGTCAAGGCCTGTCGTCGGCGTATTTTCCAACGCCAGGCCTACGGATTGCCATCCATCGGCATATCTTCCACCAGCGGGCTTACGGAGTGCCATCCGTCGGCAGATCCTCAACGCAGGGCTTGCGTCAACATCCAACGTCAGCTGATTTGCCAACGCAAAGCCTACATGACGGCAGCCAAGAGCAGAACAGCCGACATGGCTTTGTTGGGCCACCGCATGAATGCTGCCGACAGGCTTACGGAAGGTGTGTGACATAGTCGACCACTGTAGTTTTGCGTGCGGATGACCCCGACGTCAAACCAACAGTGAGGGGTGTCAAAAAAAGGGTGTTTGGGGCTAGAATCCGCCAGGTTTTCTTTTTCAGGAAAACCAGGCGGATTGTTTGATTGCTAGCATAGGATTCTGCGGTTTTCTTTTTCAGGAAAATCGACAGAAACAGTATGTACATATATGAGAGGAATAAAATGACAACATTATAATGGAAGGAAGATAGCGAGATAATGGAAGGAGGATAGCAAGCCAAGTGTGTGGGTGATGGACAAAGAGAGGGATTGAAACGGTCTTGGGCCTTTTTTGTAATGAAAACAAAAGGAAAAAAAAAACACTAATCACCATTAACAGCTTGGTTGTTGTTGAGGGTAGCAGCCGTCGCCTCGTTGTTAAGGGCAGTAGCCGCAATCGACTTGCGGACATCTTCAAGGCTGGGGACAGTAAAGTCCTCTTTGTTGATTTTGTCGAATCTCTTCAAATGCGAGAAGAGTTCGTTGTCTTTGTCCAAGACAAGTTGCGTGTGGCTAGTTGAGGGGGAGGAGCACATTTATGTTAGTTAAGGCAAGATTGACCGAGTGAGATAGTAAAAAAAATACATACTGCCTTTGGAAGTCAACCAAAGAGCCTCTCAAGATTCCCAATCGCTCATCGATTTCCAGCCACTGCGATGTCTTTCTATACTTGTGAACATAGTGATGGACCATTACTAGACGGGCGTAACTCATTCGAATGCGCATGGCCCAGTTTCTCTCAACTTGGGTACAGATTTTGGCGGCAGTCATTTTTTCCCCTCTCGGTGGGAGCTCTTCATAAATCTGGAAGATGGGAGGAAATAAAACGTAGCATGAGCAAATTGAGAGTGTAATGAGTATAGAGAGAGTACTTACAGCAGTTAACATCTCATGACGGTTAGGGACACTACCTTTGATCAAAATTCTCTGGGTCTTGAGGATGTTGGTCAAGAGCTTGAGGGGAAAAAAAATATTAGCCCGTGTTTATTTGAGAGGTGGATGAGGATAAGTCCAGCTTGCCATTGTATGCAAGTTGCTGCGTTGTTGCTTTAAAAGCTCGCCAGCAGCCTCTCGATATGCTTCAAGAGCCACCGGATTGTCTTGAAGCTGATCTTCTTTCCAGTCATCCAATTGTTGATTGATAGCATCCTGGTAATGGAAACTTGTCAGTTGTCTGGCAGATGTACATAGGCAAAAAATAATGCAAAAGAAATAACAACTCACAAGAGTCAGATAGTACAATGTTTGTGGGAGGGCACCATTTCAATGTGGATTATTGGAATACGCTTTGAGGGTTGGTTTTAGTAAGATCATTTGAGCGTGGGCTTGAAAGAAGTCCTGCGGAAGTTGAAAAGCTTAAAGTAAGCTGCTGGAGCAAAATCAAAGATTGAGGTGGTGATACAACTTACCCTGAATCTGTCATCAAACACATGGGGAGCTGATGTAACGGAGTTAGGACACAAAGCAAGCTGAATAAAAGCAGCCTGTGCAAATATCGCATTTGCGTGTTGTGCTGCTGGTGTGCACTGTTTGATGAGGAAGGGAAATAAGGATCGGAAAAAGAGATGAGACCAGGGAGAAGTGAACAGAGCAATTAGAACCAACGGGGGCATAGAGTTAGACGACAAGGACTATTTATCGATGATCAGAATGGGCAATGGGAAAGAAATACTATACCTTGCTGGTGAGTAGCGCTATCTCCAAGTTCTCAGGACCGAGCTTCAATTTTGCTTGAAGATCAGAGCAAACTTTGTCAAGATCTGAATCGGAGCTTGTCGACACGGTTGTCTGATCAGCCATGGTAGTATCTTCATTCGGCAAGGGTGCAAACATGTTGTTTGGATCTCTCTCTTCCAGGAGGTTTTCAGAGGGACTACAAGTGGAAGGAGTGAGGGAATGGGAAGGGAGTATATTGTCTTGAACTCCTTCAAATTGACTGGAGGGATCATTTGGATCTCCTTGAATGAGATCACTCAGCGCCATTCTTACCATGATGAGCGAAGAGAGCGAGAGACAATGTGGTAAGATCAGCAAGATTGATCAGATAGGATGTGATTTGATGTGATGGATGAGAACACTCGAATGAAGATGAGAGGGGAACAGAAGGTTGAGAGAGAGGGGGGGGGGATTAAGTACCTGTTAGTCGCTGCCAATCCAACTTTTCGATCTGCACCGCCAACAATTCTGGTCAGAACACTGCCAGCACCACCCCCGATGTGAAATAAATGAGGCTGGCTGGTTCGTTGGCCCAACTAAAACGGTCGGTTTTCCGGGCTGGAAAAAAAAGATCATAAGCCAAAAAAAAAACGGTCATACAAACCTGTCCTCGATTCGATCCACTGACGAGATCAGTTTCAAGTGGTTAGTCGGTGTTCAACCTAATCAAAAAATAACAAAACCAACCTGAAGCAAGATGGACATGGACTACAGATGTGAGTATTCCAGAATAAGAAGTGGGAGATGACAATACCAAAAAACTCACTTTGTTTAATCAGATTTGATCCAAAGAAATAGCATATTTGTGCTGGCTGTGTAAGGGAAAGAGTACAAAAAACAGGAGACAGCATTGCAGGAATGCTTGGCATCAAAGTCTTGTTGGTGCATTCAAGCAAAGTCGACGACATGAAATGGCACGGAGGGCTGCAATGGTGGCATTGAATCAGGAGCGGATGAACTTGGACGAAGAGAGGACTCAACTCAACCCTGTCGTAGACAAATTTCAGGAACTTTCCGACCACCAAGGGAGCCCGAGCGAAGTCCGAACGTTTGATGAACCTGGAGACGTTCCATGTGGTATCTTCAAGGAGGAGGAATCCAATGACGAGGAAGGTGAATTGACCTGGATGGATATGATTGGAGTAGCCATCAGACAGATTCACAGTGAGGACGATGACACAGACGACATTTATGCTGCTACAATCCCTCTCTTCCGCCGCGAAGAAGCCAAGATAAAAGATCTGACACATGATAACTCGACCTGGTATCCATTCTTAAATAAGGAGGTAAGGATACCGGTTTCACTAATAAAATGAGAAGAAAATTTACTCACATACATTTTTTTATGCGGCAGTACCTGCTTGGCTCGTTGCTTGTTGGATACTTGCACAAGCTCATATCGCGCAATCTGTACCATCAAATCCGTTCGATCTTGACAATGTACTACATTACGATTCCGCAATAGGAGGCTGTGCGATTCATGCGGGCAAAAGTTTGAACCTTGGTGGCTCACACTGTTATTGAAAAGGAAACCGTCTTTGGTCAGCCGGTCTTTGGATTGAATGCGAGGGAGCTGATCAGAGATGTGAGTACTCACTGTGTAGTTTGCTTTTTTGGAGGACCACTGAGTTGACTTACTTGTTTTTGACAGGATTTGATGAATCCTCTTGTTGCACCACATCTTGTATTTATCCCAGAGGACGAACACGGATTAAATATCTACAAACTCTCCCAATCAACAAAGTGGCTTAAGCACCTTGAATCAGACCTCCGAGTTCAAATGGTGGAATCAAACACAAAGCACTTCTACATATTTGAACCTGTGCAACTAAAAAATTATCAAATTGTTGTTCCCATTTTTTTCTTTACTCAGGATGGTGCGCTGTTCACAAGGTGCTACAAACCTGTGTTAAAATCCAATTCCGACTATTCTACAGTTGAAATCCACATTCCTGTCAATGCTTCTAATACTATCTTTGATGATGAGACTCTACAAACCCTTTCTGTTGAAGAATTCTCCACAACCTATGGTGAGATCAAGCTCAACAATGGCCTGAACCTTTCTGATTGCTGTGGAAATGAAATGATTGGTGAGAAATTAATTGAGTGGCTTCATCAAAAGAAATTATGTTGACCAATTTGTTTCTTTCTTTTTTTTTTTTGAATTGCATCAATAAATCAATAAGATGAAACCCGCTTCACAACATCTTTGCCAAATCCATGGAGAACAAAGGCCTCAGGAAGAATTTTGAGAAATGTTCCTATCAATTTATACTGCAATGACACATCTGGAAATAAATCAAAAAAGTGGAACAAACACATATCTTATTACTTTACACTTTCTGGTTTGCCGCCCAAAATGTCAAATCAGCAATTCAACTGTCATTTTCTTTGCACATCAAATATTGTGGGACCTTTGGAGTTAGGAGAAATGGTTGTTGAACAGTTGAAGTATACTTTTTCTCTGTTCTGAATCCTCAAATTCATTTTCTTTGAGTTTACTTTACTAATTTTGTTTTGTTTTGTTTCTTCTTTTATTGTGACTCAGTGACATGGCAATCAATGTCTTTGACGCATATGATAGCACAATCTCCCAAAATGTTCTTGTCATGACTAGTGTGCTTTGTTTTCTGGCCGATTCCCCAATGCACACCAAAATCACCAACACCCACGTTCCTGGAAATGCTCTCAATTCTTGCCGATATTGTGTCTTGGGTTCTGAAAGCTTAGCAGCAAGGAAGAAAATGCCGTATATTGCAAATTCACACAGAAAAACATGCATGGATCAAATGTATTTCCTATTTTTTTACCTGCCCTATTTTTCAGAACCCATTCTTATGATTCACTTTTTTTTCAAAAATTGTGTACAAATAAACTCAGAACCATGGAGGAAACCATCAAGAACTCTAAAGAACTCTGGAAATGCGCCAAGGAAACACTGAGCCTCAAGAAATTGAACAAAAAATCTTCCAAATTAGCTGCTCGGGATGCAATCAATCTCAAATTCTCTGAGCAAGTATTCAAGTTTGAAGCGGAGAAAATTGGACTACTTCAAAGAGAGGAAGAACTACCTCCTGAAATCGAGCAATCGATTCCTCAGAAATTGTTGGATATGGAAGAGAATGAATCTAAAAGATTGTTCAATCCCTTCTTGGAGTTAAAAGGTTTTAATTTTCCTTATTTGTTTATTCAGTATTTATTTCTGACTTTCTTTTCTGCTTTGATTCCTTTTTCAGGTTTTGACATGGTCAGGGATACACCTGTTGAAGTGCTGCATGTTTTTTTACTTGGAGCTGTCAAGTATTTATTTAGAGACTTCATGAAGACATCAGACGAAACGCAAAAGGATGATCTCACAGCCTTATGGAATTCCTTCAACACTAATTCTTTAAATATTCCTTCCATCAGACACATTTCTTTAAATATTCCTTCCATCAGACCCATTTCTTTGGTAAAATGTTCCTCTAGTTTAGTTGGTAAAGATTTTAGAATAATTCTTCAAGCGGCTCCCTTCGTCTTTTTCCAGTTCATGACCCCATCTGACATCAACATCTGGTCTTCTCTCTGTCATCTGGGCTCTTTAATATTCCAGACTCATATTGAAAATATGACCACTTATATTTCTGACTTGAAGAATCACATTGATTTATTCTTAAATCACATAATTCAAGATTCTGCCCAATGGGTCAATAAAGCCAAATTCCATATGTTACTTTATCTTCCAGAATCCATCATCCGATTTGGTCCAGCTTGTCTTTTTGCAACAGAAAAGTTTGAAAGTTATAATGGTATTCTTAGAAATGCTTCAATCCATTCCAACCGTCAAAGCCCTGGCCAAGATATAGCCATTACATTCAGCAATTATCACTCTTTCCGTCAAATCATCTCCGGTGGTTTCTTTTTTGATAAAATACAAAACAAATAGATTCAGTCTTCTCACCATGTCACCAATATGTTTAGCCAAAATCCTTTAATCCAGCAAACTTTGGGCTATAATCAACCTGAATTCCATTCAAATATCAATTATCCATCCATCAAGAATCTTTCAGTACCCCAGGCTCAAATTAATATAGAAACTCCTCAAGACTTTAAGATTGCATATCCTGACCACAAAATCAAGCAAATTTCTGAACTCAATCTCAACCAGAAGCAATCCATCAAAAAAGACTATTTCATCCTGGTATGTATTTCTTCTCTGTTTTTTTGGTAAAATTTAAGTTTCTAATATGTTGGGTTTTTCATTCATTTGGATTGCAAGTTCAATTTCAATCAGCAAAAATGCTCTCAGCACATTGGGCGTATTGAATCTATCTGGATGGTCCGGAAGCCCTTCAAGCAAAGTGCTTTCTTTGTTCAAACAACTGTCTTTCAAAAAGGGGATGTGAGTTCTTATTATCACATGAGGGAGATTTGCCAAACAGCTCAATCAGCATTGATCAATGCAATTGTAAGTCTTTTGAGATCACAAATATTTAATCATGAGCACATCAACTTATTTGTCACCTTTGAAATATTTAGAATATTGAGATCGCACTAAATATTCAGCATGATTGCCACATTGGTGGATGTCTACTCACAAAGACGAAGACGGGGGTTGTTGAGCGCAAGGAAAGCTCAATCAAGACGTGGGAGCTTACACACAACAAAAATACAAGGTACATTATCAATCTTGCATCGCTCTCGTCGGCAAGCGTGTGTCGGGATTTCTCAGATGTTGCTATCAGATTAATTCAACCACTCAAATGGCTTGATACAATACATGATGGACTTGAAACATGGGGTTCGGTTGTTGAGAAGAAGGAGAAGAAAATTCAAAAGAAGAATGCAAACCCGGTAGCATCAAATTCAAGAACAGATCCAAGTCTTGTTTAATGCGACTAACATACTACTAATTCTACTTGCTATGTAATTATATAGATTCAAGGGCAAGAACTTTAGATCATATAAAATATAAAACTACAGCTGTGTAAATAAGTCTCCGCGCGTTTTTGTTAACTGAGTCCAGAGGTCCTCAGTGTTGTGGAGGTGGCAGTTGGCTACGATACTTGCGCGTTTCTTTGACTGAGAAGTAACTGGCTGGGGTGGTGAAGCTCCCAAGCCCATGTCCTTGATTGAAGATTCGGAGGCTAAGTCGGAGCTGCGGTCTGGGGGAATGCAAGTTCTGCGGAAGATCAAACAATATGTTAGTCGATCTAGTACTGTGGTGGATAACTCTCAGCAGACTAACCGGTTTTTTCTTGGCTGGTGAACGCTTAACTGCTGGCACATCCGGAGCCAGGATGGAATGACCAGCCAAGCCAGTGACTTGCTCGGATGATCCACTATTCCCAACAATGGGTCCGGGAGACTCGACAATAGGTCCCGACGATGGGTCCGCAAGACTTGATGATGGGTCTGCTAGCCCCAACAATGGGTCCGCGAGACTCGACAGTTGGGTGAGGGTTGTATTGAAAGATGTTCTCAGGGGTGCTAGAGCGCTTCAACATGTCAGGGGTGCTAGAGCGCTTGAAAGGGTCCATCTTGATGGTGGGTTGGGTGGAGTGGTTGGTGGGTCGGATGGCATGACGACTTCCTCCCAAGTTGAGCCCAGACTGATCACTGACAGCCATGTTCAGTACCGAAGCATGACGGGGCCCAACCCGGGCAATGACGTTGGTGTGCTCTTTCAGGCAGGCCTTTGTCGGCTGGGTGAGACCTGCTCGACACATGCCTGATGTTTGGTCAGGCCAGCGATGTCTTCAGGTTGGCCCAACCCACCATTGCTGTTGGCCTGCTTCCAGGGCAGATAGCTGTTGGCTGGGTAAGCCATGCCACCAATCCGACTCAAAGGTCATGCCAACAAACCATGCCGGCAATGTTGGCATGACATTTGGGTCGGATGTGTGAAACCAACGTAGGTCTTACCCATCTCCGCTGTTGATTACAGGGAAGACGGGTCAGTGCGGCCCTGTCTCCAACCCCGCAGCCAAGCCAACGCGGGGGCAAAAAAAACTCAAACCATGGTGTACATGTAGGGACTCCTAGCGACTCTCCTTCCTCATCAAAATTCACTTTCACATGCTGAAGAATTTGTGAAATCCCAATTCATCCAATCAGTCACACCCCCGATTTATCAGATATCCATCTATATCTGGCCATGGCAACACCAATCAACATCGTTCTTGACCCTGCTCTCCAAGCTCTCATGCCAGAAAACAGCAATACCACTACCAAAATGGAACTTCCTTCAGCTCCGACAAAACCGTCTCGAAAAAGAAATATCTCGTCAGTAGGATATGTATGAATCTTATTAGGGCTTTGACTGATTCATACTGTGTTTCAGACTTGTCTTCTATCAGTATCTCAAAGCCAAAGAATACAAAAACAGAAGCTGTGAAACCAAAACCCCCCAAAAAAACTTTGAAGAAAAAAAGCCAGGAAACTCAAAAAGAAACCAGAGATGAGGAGGAACGAACGGTGATACCCGATGAAGAAAGATGACATGAAGGTGGAGAAGAAGGTGATTCTGAAGACGAAGATGAGTCTGAAAAACAAGCACGTGCTCCTAACTATCTGGAGCATGAGGATCTCCAGCTCTGTACCTCGTGGCTCAAAACGACTGAAGATGGGTGAAAAGGTACCAACCAAACCGGCACTGCCTTCTGGGAAACGGTCACAAATCACTATCAATCAAAGATTCCCGAACCCTTTCATCCCTTGAAGAGTATCAAAGGCCATTGGGGCCTCATACAAGCTGCACTCAACAAATTTCACGGATGTGTGAACCAAATCAACCATCGGAACCCAAGTGGTACAACAGTGGCCAATCGAATCAGCATGGCCCACACGATGTACAGCAGAAATGGTCGCGGATAATCCGCTGCGGATATCCGCTATCCGCTGGCGGATACCCGCCAGCGGGTGCGGATGTCCTTTTCCCCCCAAAATCCTGGCGGATATCCGGGTATCCCAAGGGATACCTGGTGCCAACCTCAGCCTAGAGAGCCCATGCCTCTGGGAGGAATTCCTCCCGGCGAGTTGGTATGTACACCAGCTCCTCAGGAGGAACCCCTCCCCCGCAAGCTGGTACACAGACCAGCTCGCGGGGGAGGGGTTCCTCCCAGCGAGCTGGTACACAGACCAGCTCGCGGGGGAGGGGTTCCTCCCAGCGAGCTGGTACACAGACCAGCTCTTTGGAAGGGATTCCTTCCGACAAGCTGGTGCTCTCGTCGGGAGGAATCCCTCCCGACGAGCTGGTGTACATACCAGCTCTCCGGGAGGGAGGGATTCCTCCCGACAAGCTGGTGCTCTGGTCGGGAGGAATCCCTCCCGACAAGCTGGTGGAGAGGCATTCCTCCCGGCGAGCCGGAATTTAAACCAGCTCGTCAGGAGGAGTCCCTCCCGGCGAGCTGGTACAAAGACCAACTCGTCAGAAGGGATTCCTTCCGACGAGCTGGTGCTCTCGTCAGGAGAGAGTTGGACTCCTCCTGACGACAAGGTTTGAAATCCAGCTTGCCGGGAGGAACCCCTCCCGACAAGCTGGTATGTACACACTACACCAGCTCGCCGGGAGGGATTCCCCCCGGCGACGTGGCCTCTCCTCTCTAGGACAAGGGGGGCCAGTTATTTTTCTTTTCTTGTTTTTTGTAAAAAAAAATCCCCCTTGCCGGCGTCAACCAGTAAGAGGGCAGGTATCCACGGATACCCGCCAGCGCCAGCGGATGCGGATGCCTGATTCCGCTGAAATTGTCAGCGGATATCCGGATCCAACGCGACCATCTCTAATGTACAGCAAGCTTCAAGAGAGACGCTTCAAGTACATGGCCTGCTATGATCTCCTATCAAAAGCGCCGAAGTGGCATGACTACAATGCCGCAATGACCAAAAAATGTGAACAGAAGAAAAAACCCAGTCCAAATCCCTCGAGCCCTTTGCCGGCCTCATTACCTAGCTCGACTTCAGCCGATACTGTCCACTCGACTTCGGATGCTTCTGGCGATGAGACTGTGCGTGGCAAACCGACTCGTCCTATAGGTTGGAAAAAGGCAAAGGTGGCCTATCAAGAGGAAAAACTAGATGCCTCGAATCATGAACATCTTAAAAAGATGGCTACAGCTCACATCGATATCGCTGAGGTTGCAAAGATGCAACATACTGCACTAGCGAGTGGGATGTCTGCTCAACACTCCGCCCTCAAATGCCTTTCAGATGAGGCAATCATGAATAAGGACCTCACTGGGGCTGATGATGATGTCAAGAAGTACTACATACTTCAACGAAAACGCATATTAGATCGACTTGAACAAGAAATGGCTACTCCCACTTTAACTCCCGCTCCAGCTTTGGCATTGACTCCAGCTTCAGCTCCTGCAACGGTTAACCATGAAAAATAGTTTATCTACTAACATATGATTTTTTTTCTATCTTCCTTCCAATTTTTTTCACTCGCAGATGTGTCAGACTCATTTGTTTCAGAGCCACTTGTTTTCCTCTCAAAAGGTCTTTATCTCTTGTAATAAAACACATTCAATTTTTTCTTTCTAAAGTTTTAAGTCAAACTGAAACTAACTCAGTTCGGACGCAGTCTTTTGACAATGTACCATGGAAAGTGTACAACATTTGTCATTGGAAAGGTAAACAGAGAGTCAAATTGTCAATCGTATGACAGCTGACCAACCAAGCTTGATTGGATCAAGGTTGTCTCCAAGGACATTCTCTCGATTCTATGTGGTTTGAATTGCAAGGTCAAATCGGTCATACTTGAAATACTATTCTACATTTTCTAAAGCTATTTCTTTTCCTTTACGAGCCCACAAATGGGCAATCAAATCGTTTTTGGAGAGCAAAGTGCAAGTCAGGATTTTGGATCCTTTGCATATTTTGGATGAAAGTTGAGAACTCGGGGCAACGTTGAGAAATTGGATCGATGGGATCGTCTGCTGAGCTGTTTCCTCTTGCCATGTTTGTATTGTAGATGTGATCGATATTTAGATGTCTCTCATCCTCCACAATCATGTTGTGGAGGATGACACAGGTCTTCATTACTAAATGAAGCTTTTCAACACTCCATGTCAGCGCTAGTCGAGCTACTATAGTGAATTGCGCTTGGAGTACCCCAAAGGCCTGCTCGACATTCTTTCGAGCTGCCTCCTCCACCTTTGCAAAATGCTACAGGGAATCAGTCAGTTAAAGTTGTTGGTATGATTGCAACGATTATAATAATTTAAATACCTGTCTTTCTAGCCCTTGTGGCTGTGAAATGGTTTTGACGAGTGTTGAATAGTCTGGGTAAATCCCATCAGCAAGGTAGTATCCTTGGTGATAGGTTGTGCCGTTGAATTTAAATTTGCATGGCAGGGGGACTTGGTTCATCAAATCGGTGAAAACAGGTGATGAATCTAAGATATTGATGTCGTTGTGAGACCCTGGCATGCCAAATCCACAAATCATATGATGTGACTGCTTCCAAGACGATAGTGGGCACCTTCAACACAAATATAAAGTGAGGAACATGGCTAACAAGGCTGCAGGGAAGAGAAATCAACTAACCTTTTCCTTACCTTGATACTGTCCATGCCATGCAGTGGGGCAGTTTTTCCAATGCCAGTGCATGCAATCAATTGAACCAAGCATGCCCGGAAAGCCTTGTTCCCTCCCAGTAGCTAACAATCTTTTGATGTCGTTCTCATTTGGTGATCAAAGATATTCAGCGCTGTACAAGTCAATCACAGATTGGCAAAATTTATAAAGGCTTTTTGAAGCTGTTGATTCTCCAATACGGATATACTCGTTGGTTGCATTGTGTGATCCGCCATACGCCAAGATTCGCAGAGATGCAGTGATTTTTTGGATTCCTCTCAAGCCTAGACTACCTAACGCGTCAGCCCTTTGAGTGAAGAAGGTGTCATGTTGCTTGACATCGTTAACAATCTTCAAAAAAAAAAGCCCTCTTTGCATCCTAAAGCGTCGGCGAAATTGATAGTTGGTGTAAATGGCTGATTCCGCAAAGTAGTCTTGATGCAATTGTTGGTAGCCTGCTTCAAAGTCTCGGCGCAGATTAGGAGCTCTTCCTTTTCTCGATCCACCTCGTTTTGGTGGTTTTCTTTGTTTTCTTTTACGTTCTCGTCAAAGGATTTCTTGAGCTGCTGCTGCTCCGCCTTGAAGAACTACTGATATCCCTTGCATCGACTGGATTGAAGTTGATATGATTGAATTTTGAGTGTTGATCAAATTAAAAATGACGGCCAGATGATCCATTGCAAAAAAAGTGTGGTTGTTGGCGGGGGATCAGGGGGCCTTGACGGGGACGTGCCTTTCATAGATTTGTAAGGACTTGTTTGCCGTCTTGCGGTGAATGCCGCAGCACTTTGAGCCGGTAAAGCTTGCTGCGCATTCCTGGAGACAATGTTTTAGCGACCCAAAAATAGGGGCCGGGGTGGAATTGCTCTAAGACCATCTCCACCCCGCAGCGTCATCTGAATTGGTACATTTATTGTAAGGGTTTGTTGATTCCAGGAAGCATGAAGAAGAGACCATCATATTATTTATGTACAAGTGATTATCGGTTGAGATTGAAACAGTCAGACAGGAAAGCAGTCATAGGATAAATGAAATGAGCAATACTCATTCTTGTATCCAAGACAGAAAGCAAGTAAAGAATAAGAATAAGGGAACTGAGGACATTGATGATGATTGGTGAGTGTTTAGAAGAGTTGAGAGATCTGAGTGATGTGGCGGTGTCTCCTGGACACCCAATCTGGGCTCTGTGTTGGAGTTTCTCTTACAGCAATTGGAATCAGATTGTAGACCCCATACTTTGCTCAACCAGATTAATGCAAGGAAGGAAGAAAGGAAAAGCTTGAGAGCATTCAAACTCTTTCCACCCCCTGTTCTGACTCCCAAACTGACAGTCCAGTTTGGGTGGGGGGAAAACCCGTCAAAATACATGATCTTGAAAAATGCAAATACATCAGCAGGTTGACTCCTGCATATTACCAATGTGGGGCTCATTGTCTTACCACACCCTTCTTGACATCCTGCAGCATTTTGAAGCTGTTAGCTACAGTTTGAGGCGGCAAAAACCAATTCTGCCCCACCCGCAAAATATCATGTTGACATGCGCACCTGCCCCCCCCCCCTCTGCGGGAGGGTGTGTGCGGCGACATTTACATAGTCCTCTCGATTGGAGGGACTTAGTTAAGTTAGGCCAATAAATACACCAATACTATGTTTAGGGGCTTGGTTAACTGACTCCCAAAAAATGGAGAGCAGCCCTGGAATCCACAAATTTTGGGAGTTGAACCCCCAAAACCTTTGACTGGTTTGGGAGTTGACTCCCCCAAAAAGTATCTGAAAAAAAGAAGGCCTGGTTGGTTTAGGAGTTGATCCTTGAAACTCAATGGCCAAGGGAAACCACCTTGGCCGCTGAGAGTACACTCTTGATGGCTAAGGGTTTCCCTTGGCTGCTGAGTGTGCACCTCAATGGCCAAGAGTGTACCTCTCTCTTGCCTGTCAAGGTGTATACTCTTGATGGCTGGGAGTTCACCTCTCAGCTGTCAAGAGTGTACACTCTTGATGGCCAAGAGTGTACCTCTTGGCATTGAGGGTGCACATTTTGAAGTCTGAGGTGGTTTCCCTTGGCCGTTGAGAGTGTATACCTTCAACGGCCAAGAGATAGCCATCAAGGGTGTACACCTCAACGGCCAAGGTGGCTTCCCTTGGCCATTGAGAGTGTATACCCTCAATGGCGGAGAAGATCCCTCTCGGCCATCAAGGTGTACACTCTTGAAAGCTTAGAGGTACACTCCCAGCCATCAAGAGTGTACTCTCAGCGGCCAAGGTGGTTTCCCTCAGCCGTTGAGAGTGTGTACTCTCGATGGCCAGGAGGATTCCTCTCAGCCATTGAGAGTATACTCTCAGCGGCCAGGAGGAATCCTCCTGACCTCTCCTGTGGGGGTCTTTTGTATTGTTGACCCCCCAAACGCTGGTCGGTTTTGGAGGATCAACCACTAAACAGACCAGGGTTTTCTTTTTTTTTAAAAAAATGTTTTTTCATAGGTTTTGTGGGTTTGACTCCCAAAATTTGGGGATTCTGGGGCTTGGGAGTTGGCTCTCCATTTTTTGGGAGTCTTTTAACCAAGCCCCTACTATTTTTTATTTCAATTTTGAGCTTGCACAGGTGTGTGGAGTTCAAAATTACAAGCATTAAGGATTTCACTGGACAGTTTTATTTCTATTTTTTCATTTTCCATATGCATATAATTAGTGGCCACATGTACATGAACCCATACCACCTAAGCCCATAAATATGGGGTTTAAGTGATGCATATTCATGAGGTACCCAAACTGCCTTGCACATCTGTTTCTAGTGTTAAAATTCAATTTTGTGTAGTAAGTTCTTGGCATCCTCCGGGGGCTCAAGCAGGCACATTCAGGATTTTTTTGGCTTAACAAATTCAGACACCGTAAAATTCCAGGGTTGGTGCTGTCCTCAACTGTAGGAATTGGGAGTTGTGTTTCCACCCTGCAAAAGATGTTTACCCAGGTGCACACATTTGGATTGGAAGAGTTGGCAGACTGCTTTGAGAGATCTTGGATAAAGCTGGAATCTACCTGTTAGGATGGTGCTTGACCCAACCAAGGATGAATACCACTAGTGGGACAGTTTGCAAAGCGGTGTTTCATGACTTCAAATACACAGTTACAGCTGGTCCATTCATTTTCACAATCATTGCATGCATGTTCATTTGTTGTAACCCCCATGCTAGTACACCGATAATGGACCACCTTCAACGCACAGGTGAACCACCGCCGACACTGGGAGGGACCCGTGCTTGATGTGATCTGGGTATTGGAGCATTGACATGCTGGGCACCGTGCTGAAGTAGCTACCAAGTTACCCAGGGCGGTCCCAATTAGTGCGGCCCAAATCCAGGCTGTTGCTGAGCACTTCATGGGAAGGGTCAGTTGGTCAGAGTAGGATTTGATCCGAGGTGAGGAGTGTAGCAAGTGCCGCTCAAGCTGTGTGAGGTTCAACTTTGTATTGTAATGCCCGGCCAGACACGAGTTCTAAACGAATCGACGACTGTTATCGGGGTGTTGGTAAGGAAGTCCATGACACTATTTATACTCACATCAACAAAGGTTGCCATTACCCTAGCATACAATTCTGCCAAATAGGCCTGCTTCGATCCAAAATCATCTCACAGCTTGGCTTGTTGACAGTCTGAAGTCAGATCCAAACTAGAATCTAGCCACAGTAGCCCAATGCTTTGCTTGCTCGCGGGGAGAATGCTGGCTATAACGATTCCAATGAACATTGGCGAACCAAAACTGCACTCGAAAAATGTGACTCTCATTACGGTGGCTATCCGTTGCCCCAAACGAAGTGGGCCTTACAAACTCACAAATTTAGTTGCTTTCGTAGACTAGTTGTTATGATACATCATTTTTTACAAAGAAAAGAAGCCCTTATCTGGATGATCATGTCCAGAAATACTCTCAGTCTCGCCTTTACTTCGACATCAAAAACCTCATGCAGTTGGCTCTGGAAAAAATCACAAAGCATCACAGAGTGTGCTACGGATACATCATCCAATGAGCGTGCATCAACTACCACCTTTAATCGGTGCTTCGGATCAAGAAATATTGATTCGGTGAGGTTTTTTCGAACAGACTACCAGTTTAACATCATCGAGTATTTTGGACATGTGAGCGTAGGCCTGGGGATTGTGACCGATAGGAAATCGTAATTAAGTGGAACGAGTATTATTAAAGCGACCGAAGGTTTGAAACGAGGTTATATTCATTGACGACAGAAAATAGTGGTAGGAGTACAAGGGGTCGAGATGAGGAAGATGGGACAGATGAGGAGGAGATAGAAATGTGTGATCCATCAGGTCATCGCCTAAAGGATCCGCCAAGAAATTCAAAGAATTCAAGTCCCTTCCTACAGTGAACGAGGGCGCCTGTGAGCAATGGTTTTGGGGATCAAGATAAGAAAAATGGGAGAATCGGAAGCGGAGAGGATCGATGGCAAGATGAGTGTATCATCCAACCAACGGTCTACCGGATCTTCATCTGCCCGGAGTCGTTCTACCGCAATGTCTGGTCGCCCCCAGCGTGTGCAGAAAATGCTGACCAGACGATCGAAAAAACTGTTAATAGTTTCGTGCCTGATCAGTATCGGTCTGCAGAGAGTGCCAAGGGGGAGAAATTTGTTTGCGGTGTGGTTGAGAAGAGCAGACGGCGGGTGTGTAGCGTTCAATTATACTAGGGCGCCCACCGGTCGGACTGTGGTTGGGTCTCCCCGTTTTGAATTTTCATTTTCCGTGAGCAGATGTTCGTGATCGATGACACTCGCGTAACATCTGTCCCCTATTCGCTGTACGGCAGAACAGGGCAGGACCCGACTTGATACATAATTCCTCACCAAACATCACTTTAGCTTCGGATCAGGATTTGGGATGTCAACGTCGACTGCAAGACTGGGGCATGTTCCGGGAGCCAAGTGAGTGTCGATGGCTTGACACAACACAAAAACATCAGTCATCCCTATCCATATTATCGAGAGTGAAAACAGATCATGACATCAGTTTTGCTGATTGAATCTTGAACGAGTCTGAAGGGTAATAGCATACTATGCCGATGCCGATGGACAGTTTTCTTCGAACAAAATCGGCTACGATGTTGACTTGTATGACGAGGCCGTGCGTACCATCGCCTTTGGGGAGCTTCGAACGAGACGGGATGGCCAGGAGGATCTTGGCAAGCTAGATCAACTCAGCATTACTGAACCCGAGGGTGAGCCAGCCCCGCTCAAGAAGGAAGATGTGCAATTCATCGTAAGTCTGGTCTGCATTCAACCTCTCATTAGACATTCATCCCAACACTCTTGACTGACAAGACGTCCATTTTTCCCGGTCCAGTGCGTACAGCTCGAAGTATCTCACAAGGTGGCTGAGAAAGCACTGCGTCTTGCCAAAGGGTCTTTAGAAGATGCGTTGCTACATTTGGTTAATCATGCGGATCTGAAATGAGGATCGATATTATCGGTGCCTCCAACACAAATGTTGAATCAATTTGAAACAGTGCGGAAGAATTGGACGTCTTGAAATTGGCATGTCAGTCATCGATTTCTCCCAATGATCATCGTCGAGAAAGTGGTCCAAACGAAATGATTGTTTTCACATTCAGACCAGCTCGCTCGATCTCCAGCAACTTTCCTTATCGCCCTTGCCAACAAAAAACCCTCCCCCTTCTAATATATCCCCCCCCCCCCCTTTCCATTAATCACATTGATTATCATGATCCACAAACGACTCAGACCCACAAATTCCTTCGTTACCCCAGTGAAGATGTAGGAGCTCAATGCGTCTCTTGTGCCTCTCACATGAAATCCTCTAGGCAAGGATTAATCTGATGATACAGCAAGTTAGACAAGATCTATGATTATTTGCTTTTTTATCATTTGGTTTCATTTGACGATTCAAGTCTGAGTTCTGGTTCTTAGAATTCAAGCAAAGCAATTGCCATCAACAGCTTCTGCCTTGTACTTTCAAGCAACCTAAAAACAATTACATTCCCTGCCCGATCATAAGGAGAGCTCAATAAAGCTGTTGCTGAAGAATGGCTTACACAAGAAACTTCAGTTTACTTGAATCCCAGTGGACAGATATGACATTTATAAGTGCACTGCATAGCATGGGTTGTGGTGCAAAATCAAGTTTTATCTGATAGTCAACTTGAAAGATGCATCAAAACAATTGTGTCTATCTGAATTCTAACCAAAGGAGGGTCCCTGCGGGACAGTGCCCCCCCTCCAAATATAGAGGGACTTCATTAAGTTAGATCTGAATGTGACATCAGTACTACTACTAGAGATGGCCCTGCCGCATGCGGATATCCCCTCCCTTTTTCAGTGGAATTGGACATCTGCATCCGCTGGCGGGTATCCGTCGGCCACAGCGGGTATCCACAGATACACGCCCTTTAAATGGTCAGCAAGGTACAACCTTGCCAGGTGGAATGTTTTCCTTCCAGCCAGAAAGGTACATGTACTTTGCCTGCTGGAAGCAACAGTGCAACAGATACAAGACATGTATTTGTATCAGATCTTATCGTCTTTATTTTTAGCCTGATACATACCGGTATCAGCATTTTCTTGGTTGGTGAAAAAATCCATTGTCTCGGATTTGGATTTACAAATGAAAAAAAAAATCGTCTTCATTTTTTTTCTTCAATACGGCCAAAAAATCTTGTGTATCAAATACGTCTTTGGTGGGATCAGTCATCTGAGACGATACAGTCTCACCTTCCAAAGATGATACGTGTGTATTGTTGTTGAATTTTTCGCTCATCAATCTCACTCTCTTTTCCTTTATTCTTCTCCATCTCATGTCACTCACTCATCACCGGTATTTTCTCTGTTTTCTTATTTAATATGCATAAATCACTGCTCCCACAAATTGTACACTTTTGTAACTAGACTACTTAAAACCCTAGATATTGAGAAATAAAAATCATTGGTTCTTTATTATTTTTTTGACCGTTCCTGAAGGAAGCACTTTAGCCCTTCCCTCAGTCTGTCGGTGAGCACTTGAGCCCTCTCAGCAAGAACATAAAAGTATTATTTTTTTCTGGCTTTTAGCCCAATTTTTCAACAATTGTCTCAGGAAAGTGAGACAACACAAATCCGGTATTTTTGGGTATTCAAATTCTGAGACAATACAAATAAACGCCTGATACCGTATCATATTGTCTCTGTTGCACCATTTCTGGAAGCAACGGTGGGCCGCTACACTAACCGTAGCGGTTAGTGTAGCGTGATGCAGCGGAATTTCTGTTAGCGCTAAACATAGCGTAGCGGAATTCCACCACGACACCGCTAACGCTAAACGTGTGGGCCGCCAAAAAGGGCCCACTACGCTGTGCTACAGCGCTTTTTAGCGGTTTTTGGCCGCTTTTTCCACTAAAAGCACTGTAGTGCAGCTAACACTACACATTTTTGATGAAAAAAAGCGCCGCTACGCTACGCTTTTTGGGCCAAACGTGTAGCGTAGCGTAGCGGCCCACCGCTGCTGGAAGGGTTTCCTAAGTCCTTCCAGTCAGTGAGGTACATGTAAACTGCCTGCTGGAAGGGTTTCCTTCCAGCCGGCAAGGTACATGAGGGTTTCCTTCCAGTCAAAGAGGTACAGTGGGTGGACCATTGTTTTTGGCTGCTTGTTTTGGATTCTACAGCTTCAAAGCACAAGCTTTGAGACACAAGACTTGGTAAAGTGGTGCAGAATAGGTCCCAGAAAATGAATATGAAAAATAAAAACAAACACAAAGGTTTAAACTTTGTGAAAAATAAGAAATAAAAATGTTTTTTTCCAAAAGCTTTGTTATTCATTTTGGGGGAGTGGGAGTGCTGAGAGAAACAAAGAGTGGAACATGGCAAGAATGATTATAAATGAAAAAAATTGGAACCAAAAAAGTTTGAGCCAGGTTGGTTGTCCAGATTGGAGTCAAAACAGTAAATTCTAGTGCTTTACTGCAATGTGAGCTGGTGAATGCCCCACTCAACAACTGGTTAAAACTATCTGGCAACCACTTTTTCCAAAATTTTCATTTATAATCATTCTTCCCATTTCCCATTCTTTCTTTCTCACTGCACTCACACTTCCCCAAAATGAATATCAAAGCTTTTGAAAAAAATCAATTTTATTTTTCACAAAATTTGAAACTTTGTTTTTTGTTTTTATTTTTTCATATTAATTTTTTGAAACCTATTCTGCACCACTTGAACAAGTCTCATGACTTCAATTTTGTGCTTTGAAGCTCTGGGATCCAAAACAAGCAGCCAAAAATAACGGTCTACCCACTGTACAGTGGGTAGACAGTGAAAAGTGGCTGCTTATTTTGGATTCCAGAGCTCTGAAACACAAAATTGAAGTCATAAGACTTGGTCAGGTGGTGCATAATAGCTCCCAAAAAATGAATATGAAATAATAAAAGCAAAAAATAAAGTTTGAAGATTTGTGAAAAATAAAAAATAAACTCGATTTTTTTCAAAAGCTTTAATATTCATTTTGAGGGAGTGGGAGTGCTGAGAGAAAGAAAGAATGGAACGTGGGAAGAATGATTATAAATGAAAAAAAATTGGAACCAAAAAAGGTTTGGCCAGGTTGGTGGTCCAGATTGGAGCCAAAACAGTAAATTCTAGTGCTTTGCTGCAATGTGGGCTGGTGAATGCCCCACTCAACAGCTGTTTGAAGCCATCTGAAAACCATTTTTTCCAAAATTTTCATTCACAATCATTCTTCTCATTTCCCAATCTTTCTTTCTCTCAGCAATCCCACTCCCCCAAAATGAATATCAAAACTTTTGAAAAAAGACAATTTTGTTTTTTTATTTTTCACAAATTTTGAAACTTTATTTTTTGCTTTTATTATTTCATATTCATTTTTTGGGACCTATTATGCACCACCTGACCAAAGCTCATGATTTCAAATTTGTGCTCTGGAGCTCTGGAATCCAAAATACAGAGCCACTTTTCACTGTCTAGGCACCGTACATGTACCTTGTCAACTGGAATGTTTTCCCTCCAGCCGGCAAGGTACATGTACCTCATTGACTGGAATGTTTTCTTTCCAGCCAGTGAGGCACATGTACCTTGCTGACTGGAAGGAAACCCTTCCAGCTTGCCACTCTCATCCTCTCGGCCTTGGGTATCCCTGGAGATACCCCGGATATCCACCAGGATTTTGGGGAAAAGTGGCCATCTGAACCCAAATCCATATCCCCTGGTAGGTATCTGTTGGCGCTAGGGGGTATCTGCCAGCGGATAGTGGTTATCTGCAACGGATACCCTGAGACCATCTCTAGGACTGACTGAATAACAAAGATTTTTCCTTTGTTCTAATGTATTGGCGGGCCCAACCAACATGAAATTGGTCAATGAGACCAATCTTACATTGGTCAGCTTTGGGATTTGGGAGACCTTAGAGCATCTCCATGGGGGTTGCTATCCCACATTTAGCAACCCAAACTTGAAAAAGATGACCCAATGAACTGGAGTTGCCATCCAGGTCACATTTTTACATTTTTCTTCCTTGATCTCTATCTAGTCTTCAAACTTCTGGATGGAAGGAGGATCACAGGCTACTTCTGTGAAACCCAAACACCACACATCACCACCTCAACCAATCACCAGATAGCAACTACATCTTAACAATGCCTGGTGTGTGCCTCAGCACTTCAGGTCTTCAGACCCTGAATTCCGTTTGCTATTGTGAGAACATAGCCACCCAAAATTAGTGACTCCTGTGGAGATGCGCCTCTAACCGCAGGGGGTTGTAATCAATACAAGTTAAAATCCCTTTCATAGTGACTGATTTCTTGCTTTGATCAGTCTTTGAGATTTTTCTAAACCAAGTCAACTAAGATTCCAATCCAGAACCCAAAGATATCTTTTTATGCGTCAAAAACAGCCCATGGGAGAAATGTGGGATTTTTTTGTGGTGTTGGACTTGTGTTTTTTCATTTTTTTCTTTTGACAACAATGAAAAAACTGTTTTGGTCTCTCCCAGGCACAGGTCCCTTGGGTACCCGGCATCGGAGCCAGATATGCCGGGTTCGGATGTCGGGAGCGCCGTACCCAGACCCGAAGGTCCGGATCGGAACCTTAAAGTCAACAGATCAACAATCATTTCTGTTAAAAGAGGGGATTATCCACTACGTAGTACACATGTAAGAACCAATTTACACCTTTGGAATTACAATTTGGATTAGCGAAAGCTAGGCGGTACAGCAAGATTCTTAGTCTCAGCTGACTTGCTAGCATTGAATGGTCGCGGAGTCACAACCGTTTCATGTTGACCGGACATTGCACCTCCGACAAGAAGCTAATTTTGGGGCCGGCCGACAATTCCGTTGTATCTATAGAAGAGCTTGGCAATAGTAGCTGGTAAAGTTTGAAGGGGTGGGGGTGATGAGACGAGAATCGGGGTAGACTAGTCTTTGTATGTAGCCTGCTGGAGAGAACCATCCAGCTGGCCGGAGCGCGTGGCTTTGGGGAGTCGGTCGGGAAGAAATGGGGGCTCAATCCTGACCCGGGGCTGCACCCACCTCCGAGGCCCCCCTGAAACTGAAACATGACGCTTGGCAGCAACGCTGGAAGTTTGAACCGGCAGAGTGGGCGGGAATCCCAGCGAAACTGAAGGTCCAAGGGTGTGGGTAGGATGCGGCATTTTGTAAAATGATACGGTTTGACAGAAGCATTATCGAGAAGAAATGCTCATGTTGAGTGTATGACAGTGTGTAGATCGGTCGGTGCAAGTCATAATTCCGAGGATTTGTGGTGTATACGTCTGTTCTTCCGCCTGGCGAATGGTGTTCGTTTGAGACCATCCAGTTTCCCCTATGCCGATTTCCGACTCCATTCCGATAGCCAAGTTATACCAATCAAAGCCGATACACTTAATGAAATTCTTATCGTTTTGAAATTGCGAGGCTCAATAGGAGCAATTATCCAGAGAGATCGTGCAGGCCGGTCAAACAGCTTAAAACGGGCCCGTCTCCTATCATATTTCTAAACATCTCATCCGTCCATCCACCGCGCAAGGTACCGTCAATCCGTTTAGAAATCTCCATAGAGCCTTCGTTTAATTCAACTCTCCTTTCTTTCGACTAAAATAAATAAACAAAAAAAGAACATCAGATTAACCCCACGGTTGCCGTGCTTTTCACATATTCCCTCATTAAATCTTGCAAAAATATCCACCGGATTTCGCAATAATAATGCGGCTAGAACAAGCGTCGAGAAGGCTCACGAGCTTAGCCATTGTGACAACCCTCTCCCTAGGAACTTTCATCAGTGCCGGAATGTTTAGAAAGGCCTCGGAAGGTAAGAGAGACATTCCGAGATAACATAAGAAAAATGAGATAAGCGGAGAGCTCACCCTAAGTGTTACCATACATTTTCTACTTATAATCGCAGGAATCGACATGACTAAGTCTAATAAATGGTGAGTGAGGGCACCATGAACTAAGTGAATTAGAAGTATGCATTGATAAATTTTCTCATTTCCTGTTGCGAACTATTCACCGTAGGTCGGACTTGTCTCCCACTGCTCAACAGATTTTTAATCCAAACCCGGGGGAGGCAGCGGATCACCTGAAGGCGTCCAAAATTCGGTATGACAAGTTGCACACCAGAATTCAGCAGTCACTTGCCAAAGGAAACCTAATCCATGTCGAGGATGGCGAGGGGGACGATCTCTGGCAAAATCTTCTTGGAATTATGGAAAATACGACACCCACAAAGGTGTTCTTACACGGAGGCTTCTGGAAACTCCGAGATGCATGCGCCCAGGCCATGTGGGATTATAACCGCGAAACCTTCGGCATCACAAAGCCAGAAATCATGACACTTCACGGAAGCTTCGGTAAAGGGCTACAGTCTTTTGACCACGCTGAAGGGAAGCGTCTCCTCTCAGAAGAAGATATCCAAAATCTAAAAGCAGCTAGTCTAGACCTAAACAACCATGAGTACCTGAAGAAAATTGACGAGGCTACTAAAAGTTTGAAAGAAACCCTCAAAAATAACGATTTCACCACCATTGCCTTAAAAACAGCTCCTGCTGGATTGGTCGACATCATCGAGGAATTCAAGCACAAAGTCGCCATCATTTGGACGGGACCCGTCGAAAGAGTACCCAAATCCTCAACCTGGGAGACAAAATACAACTATTATCAAGCCCCAGAAGAAGGCGATAAGTTACTAGACATGAAAGTCCCGATCGTCATAGTTAGTCCGTGGACCGGAAACGCTAGAATGAGTGCAATCATAGATAAAAAGTTCATGCCGCAATACCGCTCACTTCTTCCCAAAGGCACAATCTACATCCCCACTGATCTCAGTTTCCCCGGTTTCCACGATCTTGCAAGCATGCGGTTGAAGCCGACATCGAAGTTTTCGTACTACATCTTCGCCCTTGCTGAGGGATTAAGAGATAGAATGATAGAATCTGCTAACGTGAAAGCAGCTGACCTTGATGCTGAGGAGGAGTTAATTCTTAGTCAAAATCTGTCGAACGCAGAGTTTGAAGAAAAAAGGGAAGATATCAACATGAGACGGGCGTCACAATTACACCTGGGGTTTCGCTGGAAACGTTTCCGTGATATGGACACGGTGGATAGCGTTTTTCGGGAGTTCTGTCCAGTTGATCATGCCGTTCAATTCGTAACCGACCCAAAGATGAAGCAGTATGTGAAAGAAGTGGTGGAAGTTAGAATCAATCGACCCGACAAAGTCGTTAGAAAATATCAAGTCGACGTCACGGCAGAACGGGGCACCAATGTCTACATCATCAGTCAAATGGATTCCAAACTCCTTGAGAGCAAAACTCAATCTATGATTTCGTGGATGGCGACGGGCGAGAAATCATTTAACCCTGCAACTACGAACTGGCAAGACGTGTACGGAACACGCGCACTAAAGGGACTCCCCTCATCCTCCTCAAGCCGCAATTGAATCCACAGAAGCTGAGGATCAAAGACCTACGAAAATAGTCCGTTGACGTTAACCTAATCAAAGATCTTCCAGACTCTCCACTCAACCTCGCTCCACCAAATGTGCACATGGCCCGGATTGTCACTTTGATCAGAGATTCAGGCTACTTAATCTCACGACTTCAACTGGAGATCGGCTCAAGTTCTATCATTCATCGGTTCTGTCATCGGCTCATTCGTCGGCCCCGGTCACCGGGTAAAATGCTTGTTCCTTCTTCTGCTTTCTGAATTTTTCCTTCCTCTTTTATCTTGTTCACAGATCAGTTTGAGTGGCTGCGTGTGTGTTTCAATCTCAGAATTATAAGTGTCCCCATTTGTTATTAATTCCGTGAACAGTTGTGACTACCACAAAATTTTGTCATACGTTAGTAGTGTATCATGCCATAGCCTAAAGCTTACTTGTGAAATGGATGCCGGGTTCAAAGCTTGTCACAAGGGCCTGCAACAGCAATATTTCCAAGTCCTCGGGTCCCCATCTAACTTGCCATCAGCTCATTACTCCCGAAAACATAACTTTCTTTCCTCAATTGAATGAATTTGCGCCTTCATAGACAAACCCAGGTCCATTTGGCTCCGACTCCGAGGGACAAAACCCGTGCTGCCACACCCCACATGCAGACCTATATTTTGTGCCTTTTTTTATTCTTTTCTGAGACCTTAAATACTAGCTGGAGAAATTGATTTCACGCGGAAAAATAAATGAGTTCTCGGCCAGGAAAATGAATCCACGCAGCGTCGATTGCGCGAACAGTACCGCGTTCAGTGCAACAGTCAGGTTTCCTCAAAGTGTGAGGAGACCGAAATGTTCCACTTATCGCGGTCCCGCTCGCCCAAACAAGTTGACATGTTTGAGTTAAACATCCTAACCTAAATGATGTCCCTCCGAACTCAGCAGGGAGCTACATCAGGTTATCAGCTTGGTAAATGTCATACATACCAGTGCTTTATATTGATTCTCCCGTCGACGGTGTTTGAAATACGCCGCTGAACCGAGGTTGATCATCAACGCTTCACCGATGATGGAATGTTTCCGACAGTATTTTGGCACCTGAATAGTTGGAGCGACGTAAGCCAAACTGTAGTAGCCAAAAAAGCTGCGCCGTCGGTATGTGCTGGTTTTGTGATTCATGTCAAGTTTTTCTTTATGCCGATTCCACAAACTCTAGCCACTGTCACTGACTGTTCGCAGGTCGCTTTTTTCCGATCAGCTAAGCACGCTGGGTACATCTGGGTGCAAGTCTAGGCGGACAAATCCATCCTCCCAGTCCACGCCTCGGACAAGGCAGTTTGATTGATTGATGTTGACAATGAGGATCAGTAAGCACAATGCCTATACAACTTACGACGCCGTCTCACCGACACAGTTGATATTACTTTAATTCTCAAGCTTCCGGGGGTAGCAGTGCCAGGCAAAACAAGATCAAGGAATCTAAGTGAGACCATACAGGTTGGCCAAACAGCTTAAAACGAGCCCACCTTCCTTCATATTGTCAAACCTCACTCACCTGCCAATAGCAGCAAAGTACAGCCCCCCCCCCCCCCCTTCACTCACACAGTCAATCTCTTAGTGTTTTATTTTCTCAATACAAAAAGCAAAATCTCTAGTGCTATCATATACATCCGTTCACTTTTTTGTGAAAATCATATCCAGATCTTTGTGAATATGATAGGCCTACTTCAATTACTGAGAAGACTCACAGGCTTAACCATGGTGATAGCTATCTCCCTTGGGATTTTGATCAGCGCGACAGAAGTTGGACTAGCCTCAGAAGGTAAGGCCCCCAAGGGACTATTTTTCAATGGTGGTAATTATCAGAAAATGATCAAAATGAGAATCTGAGCCTAAAATCTGAAATCTCTTGTATTTTTGTTAACCAGCGATCGGCATGACGAAGTCGACTGATAGGTGAGTTCGAGGTTGCAAAAATTGGTTGAACGAAGACTGCCTTATATTGAAAAAATCTCACATGGTTTTTATTAGATTGGACCTGTCTCCCTGTGCTCAACAGATTTTTGAGTCAAACCGGGGGGGAGCAGCAGATCACCTGAAGGCTTCCAAGATTCGATATGACAAATTACACGCGAAAATTCAGAAGTCAATCACTGATGGAAACTTCATTCACGTGGAGGATGGCGAGAGTGACGATCTTTGGCAAAATATTCTTGGAATAATGAGAGGTTTGGTCCCCACAAAAGTATTCTTACACGGAGGTTATTGGAAAGTCCGTGAGAAATGTGCACATGTTATGTGGGATTATTTCTGCGCAGTGTTTGGCATCAAAAAGCCAGAAATCTTGCTACTTCATGCGAACAAAAAAGGTAGCTTTCAGCCATTTGACAATGCTGAAGGCAACGGCCTTCTTGAAATTGAAGATATTGAAGATCTAAAAAAATCGAGTCTAGACCTCACCAAGGAGGAATACAAGGAGAAAATCGACCAAGCTGGTAACAGTTTGCGAGAAACTCTCAAAAATAACGATTTCACCACCATTGCCTTGAAGACAGCACCCGCTGGATTGGTCGACATCATCGAGGAATTCAAGGACAAAGTCGCGATCATCTGGACAGGACCAGTTGAAAGAAAACCCAAATCGTCAAGCTGGGTGATCAAGTACAACTATTATCAAGCCCCAGTGGAAGGAGACAGGCTACTAGCCATGGGAGTCCCAATCATCATCACCAGTCCCTGGATTGCAAACGCCAGAATGAACGCAATCGTAGATAAACAGTTCATGTCGGCATACCGAGCGCTCTTACCCAAAGACACAAGCTTCCTGCCAACCGATCTCAGCTTTCCGGGTTTCAAAAATCTTGCAAACATCTCGGTGGAACAGAGCGCCAAGTTTTCACAGTACATCTTCTCCCTGGCTGACGGGTTAAGAGAGAAAATGTTTGACTTGAATAAAACGCTAACAAAACAACTTCAAAGTGATAAGGAGGATATCCATCACCAAAACCTATCGAAAGGCGATCTTGAAAAAGCCTTGAAAAAGGCTGAAGATACTTATTTTTCGCAAACGCTGCTGGCAAAACGTTGGGAAAAACTTTCCTCTCTGAACACGGAGAATAAGATCTTCCGAGAATTCTGTCCAGTCGATCATGCTGTTCAAGTGGTAAGCGACCCGGCATTGAAGGAGTGTGTCGGAGAGGTGGTGGAAGTTGAGATGAAGCGACCTGACCCAGCTGGAGATAAACTTGCCATAGAAGTCAAGCCAAAGTTGGGTTCAGATATTTTTATCATCAGCCAAATGTTTTCACCACCCCTTGAGGACCAAATTCAGCATGTCATTGATTGGATGGCAGGAGGCGAGAAAACAAAAGACCTCTTGACTGCTAGCTCAACACAAACTCCAAAGGGCATACCCAGTGAAGTTTAACAGTCTCCATTTCCACAAGGATGTTTGAACTTCAACTGTGACCACAGAAGCTGAGGATTGAAAACCTCCAAAAATGGGATGTTGGCCGCGACCCATGCAAGGCCTTCCACGATCCAAAAATTTCCACTTGGCCTTAATCGACTGAAGCTACATTCACTTTATCAATTCTTTTTTAGATTCAAGCTCCCTTTAGTTTTCTGAGCTTGAATTTTTTTTCTTCCTTTTTTGGTACATTTGCCTTACATGTGATCTCTCTTCTCATTGTTCCTTCATTATCAATTTTGATAACTTATCTCTAGATGGTTTCAGTTTTCAGATTCATTCTTAAACTGATGAGATAGAGAATGGCAGCAGTTTTGTTGAAAAATAGGGCTTAAAGCCAGATAAAAATAATTTTTATGTTCTTTCTGAGAGGGCTCAAGTGCTCGCAGATAGACTGAGGGAAGGGCTAAAGTGCTTCCTTCAGGAACGGTCAAAAAAATAATAAAAAAAACCGATGATTTTTTTATTCCTCAATATCTAGGGTGTTAAGTAGTCTAAATACAAAAGTGCACAAGTTGTGGGATCAGAAACTTATGCATATTGAATAAGAGAAAAGTTGGTGATAAACGAGTGACAGGTGACAGAGAGGAAGAAAGGAGGAGAGAGTGAGATCAAAGAGCGAAAAATTCAACACCCCTCCTGAGCAAGAGATCGAACAGTTAGAGATGGAGGTCTGGATATTTTTGCTGTAGGTATTCTTCATCTTCTTGAGTGTAGTGAGTGAGGTGTGTTGACTGTTGTTTGGACGAGGAAGCGACCGGATTGAGTTTGCGTTTGTCGGGGTGCTTTTGAAAACAATTGGCTTCGGTGTGGCCGCTCTTGAAGCAATGCGAACAGGCTCGGAATCCTCGTTTGCAATGAGGACAAGTGATCTCGGGGTTAGACGATTGAGTAAACATAGTGGCTTGAGAAGAGATCGACGACACCGAAGATTTCTTGATTTCGTTTAGTTGATTTTGAGCGGCAAAATCTTCAAGTTTCTTTAATACCTGATCGAACGGTTCGGTCTCGAAGTTCATTGAGATGTTGGTTTTAAACGAGTGGAATTCTTGAGGCAATTTATCGAGCATCAGTATAGTCTTGACTTGATCGTCAAGAGCGAGTTTTGAAAGTACGATTTTCTGATTAGCCGATCGAACGAGAGGGAGAAACGACGAGAACGAGTCGTATTCAATAGCAAGGTATTTCTTGAGGGCAGTGGTTCTGGAGGTTAGATCGTTGCCGGCGTACTTTTGCTTGAGGAGTTGCCAGAGTTTGTACCCGTTGAATTCGTCGGCCTCAGGTAGGGTGGAACTGACATACGCGAGGATTTCTTGATTGAGATGTTGGACGATTTCTGCGTACGCATCTTCGTTGAGCTTGACGTAGAGTCGAGCGTTTTCTTTGTCTTCTTTAGGGTCAGGACAGGTATGCGCTCCAGTAACGATGGTGAGTGATTTAGCTTTATGAAGTTTGGCTTTCATCGGAAGCAGCCAAAGGGCATAGTTATTGGGAGTGAGAAGGATTTTTGATTCACGTACTACCTCGGTTGCCATATTGAGTTCGGGTGAATCGGGATCTTTGGAGACGTGAGAGTTGGAGTGTTGAGAAGTCGGTATGGAATGGTTGAACAGATGGTTTGGGATAAGGAGTAGTTCACGAGATTCGAGTCGGAATTCGACTGTTAATCGTGTTGAAAAATAGGGCTTAAAGCCAGATAAAAATAATTTTTATATTCTTTCTGAGAGGGCTCAAGTGCTCGCAGATAGACTGAGGGAAGGGCTAAAGTGCTTCCTTCAGGAACGGTCAAAAAAATAATAAAAAAACCGATGATTTTTTTATTCCTCAATATCTAGGGTGTTAAGTAGTCTAAATACAAAAGTGCACAAGTTGTGGGATCAGAAACTTATGCATATTGAATAAGAGAAAAGTCGGTGATAAACAAGTGACAGGTGACAGAGAGGAAGAAAGGAGGAGAGAGTGAGATCAAAGAGCGAAAAATTCAACAAGTTTGTTCCAAGCTTTGCAATTGCAATTGCCAAAAATTTAATGAAGCAAACCTGTTCAGATTTCCAAGTGAGATAGAATAATGAAAAATTTATAGCCTGCTGCCTAGAGATGTCGCTTCATACCCGGGTACCTGCCTCAAAAATCCAATGTTTTGGACACCCACACCTGCCAGGTGTGCTAGGGCGGGTACCCGGGTACCTGGGACAGGTACCTGCAGGTGTGGAGGATTTTTTGCAGGCAAATATACCCAGAAATCTCACCCTTGAATTCTTGCATGGCTTACTAAATATATGATTGAAATTCACTAAGTATATGAGTAAGAGTAACATAGAAATAAAGAAATAAAGAAAAAAAACATTCTATCACCAATTTGCACTTTATCTTCTCTCTGATCTATCTTGAGCTTTACACTTTTGCTTGGCCTCATTTGCCTTATTTGATTTCCATTGATGAAGACTGTAGACCATCTCCATGACTGGAGGGATTCCTCCTGTTGTCAAGACTGTACACCGTCTCAAAGGCAGGAGGGTTCCCTCCAGCCTCAACAAAGCAGCCAGATTAGTTCAGAAAACCATGTAGGACACCGTCGCTGACACCTTTGTGCAGCCCAAAACCAAAAAAGGGAGTGTTGCAATGCCAATGACAATTTAAATTCTTCAGGGGAAGCATTCCCAGGGCAGTTGTAAGGTGGGTACCCGGGTAACTGCCTTTTTTTACCCCAAATGTTGACACCCGCACCTGTTTCTGGGTACCCGCTTTGGAAAACAGGTACCTGCTGACATCTCTACTGCTGCATAACTAGTCCTACCACCCTGCACACACAGTGAGGGAGAAAGGAATAAATGTTAGCTTTTACTAACCTTAAGACATAATATTGCAAACAAAGATAAGATATTTGGAAGGAGATTATGCTGAACTTGAGTTTGGTTTGAAGGAACTTTTCTTGAGAGCTGGATAAAGATTTAAGGGTTTGAAAGGGATAAGGAAGGAAAATTTTAAGATGAAAAGTCCTGATTTGTTGAACACAAGCTTAACAAAGCCCCTCAATTTATTGGGCCAGGTTGCCTGGCAGGCGCAAGCGCCCCTCGCAAAGCAAGCCTCCAAAGGAGGCAGATGCTTGCTCCGGGAGGTGCACCCGCTGGAGCGAGGGGATTGTGCTAAGCTAGGTTGAACACTGATGGCTGGGGTTTGCTACAGCAATTGATTTCTGCTGAGAAGCCATCTGATAGTTCACTCTGCTTCAAGAGATGCAAAATTTACATAATATGATTCTCACTTCTGCTTGTGAGTCCCAAAAAGTCAATCCACTCTTATCCAGGAAGATACCTTTTCCTTTCACTCGTTGCAGTCTTAGTGCTAAGTGGCCAGTTGAGGTCTCACAGAGATTCCTTGTACACCACAAGAGCAGCTCAACCACAGCCCAGAGAGGTGATCCCCGGTCAAAACAACCAGCCCGGACCCTGCTAAACCTTGCTGAAAACCAACATCAGTTAGTCGGATTTGCAGCCATGGGGTTGGGGGTCAAGGAACCAACGCACATCTGACCGGTGGGCTAGCGGTCGGCCATCAGCAAGGCACTGACACCAGTACATTGTCTCAGGGTACTGAAAGAGCCTGGTATTATGGATTCTGGTGAGATTTGGCCAGGCTGCTGGCCTGAGGCAGTTAGGATTCTCATGCTGTGAGATTTTAACTCAGGCAAAAAAAACAAGTCGGGACTGGACTTGGAGTCTCAGCCACTTGATCCATCAACAAGACTGCCTCCAAGGAGAGCTCGAACCAGGGGCCTCTGCCATCAGGCTTGACCAACAGTTCTTCTCACCGCTTAACTGTAACCACTTGATTCACTTTGCTGATTTTTAATACCTAATACCCCATCATAGCTATTCAGCAATTTTTTCTTTCTCTAAGTCATGTAAATTTTCATTTTTTTTTTCAAGACCAACATTTCTCAAGCTTTTGCCTGAAAAGATAAGCTCTGATATAGTTGAAAATTCATTTGCAAACTGTAGCTTTGACGTCAGCGCTGCGGTTGCACACCGTTCTCCTGACCAATCACATCCTGAAAGGAACTCCAAAACCACGGCCTGACAGGCAAGTCAGAACCAACTGCATGGCAGGAAGCAGTCTGACAGGCCAGTCAGAGCCGACTGCATAACAACGGCAATCTGAAGTGACATGAAAGCCAGTGGTGCGACAAGATAATCATCCCCAACTGACAGCCCCACAGCGGGATGACCATTGAGCAAAGACAAGCCGGCAGGATGACTGGCAGGGCAAGCTGCCTGTCAGTATGACAGGTTCCTGACCACAGAGTCATCCCAATGGCGCTGCAAGGAGCAACAAACCCGCGACAAGATGACTGTGCCTCTGGTCAAAGCTCCGATGTTGGGTGGATAGCCCGGAGCAGCTCAAACTGCTCTGGTGGTGTACAAATATCACTTCAAATGACTCACAGGCTAAGATTTGGAGGATGTCCAAAGGAATTGTTTCTCAAAATCAAATCTGAGTGTTGGTGCAGGAACTTGTGATCATCCCAAAGCAAAGACCCCAGAATACCCAATACTTCCTGTTTTCCTTTTCTCTCAGACTCCATTTTTTCTTCCCCATATACTTCTGATAACCCATGGTTTCTAAATTTAGGGCATATCCATACCACAGATGGAGGGGTGTGCATCCATGCCTGTATTGTAACATTGGTGCCCAAGCATGGCCCTGCTCATGAAAAATTAGATTTCCAGCCAAACACACTGATGAAAATTAGTGTGTATCACTGTGCACCCATCAAGGATTTACATAGTCTTGCTTTCTTCTCTCTACATGGGATATTTCAGAATTTGATTCACTCACAAGCATATTTGGTTCACTACAATCAGTGGATCAGTTAGTTGTTTTTATATATAAACTTGGTGCATTTCTTATTTGTCTTGAAATTCAAGAATAACTTGTAAGAGCAGTAAGCATAAATTAACCAGAATATCCAAGGAATCTCAACCATTTGGTTTTGATCACATGGGCTTGGAATTCAAATGAAATAGAAATAACAGTCTTTGATGAAATGGGGTTTGGGACTCCTCATGGTGGGCTACATATGAGGAAAAGGGCTTGATGAGTGTGTGGGTAACCAAAATTGGAAAGACTCATATGGATGTCCAATGACTAAAAACATACCATCCTGGACATTGACCCTGTTGGTTGCCGCCGTATTTCAAGCCCCACTAGAGAGGAGGAGATGAAAATCAAATTAGGATACAAATGCCGGGTGCGGATATCGTGGTCAACTCACCGTACTTTCCAGCAGAGGTATCTAATGGCAACCAGGGCGCGAGGCAATCCCTAACGGCAGAGTAGTTTCTTCAGCTAATTAGCTATGACTGAATGGGAAGAAAGGTGAGTACTTACAATAACCTTCAAAACAACACTTTTCTTTGAGCTCTCGAGGCGCACTATTGCATTTATCTAAGAAGGGAATGTGGAGAGAGTCTTCAGCATCCATCCCGGAAGCTGTTGGGTCTGCGTAGGAATGATAAACTGATCACAACTGTCTCACTGTAGGGTCCGTGTGATAAAGCCGGAGTTGAACCGGCAAGCTTGTAAGTGCCAATCAACAGAATGACAAGACTGTTGGAAAGACCAATGGCCCACATGATAGGAATGAGTTTTTGATAGTTATCGGGATTGAAGCGAGTAGGAAAAAACTGATTGAGGTATGGACTCCTTGTGGCAGCGGTGGGGCTCAACTTGATGTCTGCTGTTGGCAGGTTTTATGTTTGGTGGATCACTTGGGACCCTAGTACATAGACTTCCAGACACTCAAAATTTGCCAGTGTGGCTGGATTGGCCAATCACACGTAGGGTCAATTCTGTGCGAGGCTGGTGATGTACTCCCTGGGAAAAATACATCTGAGTGGCTTTGGCTGATTGGTTTTAACTTTTCAAGAAGCTGCAGAACATGATCTGTTGTGATTTTTGGAATTTGCTTGCAATCTTGTTCGTCACAAATATGTATACGGTTACATACACGGTGCCACCGCTAGTGCCCCTGGACCTCATCCTCTGGTCCTCCAGTCGGCATCACGGTTCACCCACTGCTTGTGGCCAGTTAAGGCTTTTCCTCATGATGAACTATATTCCTAATCAGCCCCTCAGAAAGTGGAGCTTTACTACATGATCATTCACTGTTCTTTGTTGGATTTACGTAGTTTCGCTCTTTCTCATAGGATTGGATTCAAATAAATAGGAATAAGAGTCTGATATGTCTGTAGGCCTTTGGATTCATCTTCCAGCTCCAGGTCATGTCGGGCTACAGGAGAAAAGAGTTTGATTAGCATGTGGTATCTAAAAATCGAGTAAAAATCAGAAGGAATGATACACATTCAATCACTAATCACGTACCATTCTTGAAGTTTCCCCTATGGATTTCCACCGTACTTTGATCCTGAGAGGAAATGCGATTCCAAAGAGGATACAATTGCCAAGTGTGGACGGTGTGGTCAACTTACGATACTTTCAAGAGGTAACTAAGCGCAACCCACGGGCTCGAGCTCCCCTAACGGTCCAGTCGTCTTATCAGCAAGCTGTGAATTGCGAAGGCGAAGAGAGGTGAGCACTTACAGCGGCCGTGATACATAACAACACTTGCCTCTTATCTCTGCCGACACTGCATTGCAATCTGATAAGGAGGGCATTGAGTTCGTCAGGATGAGGTCTGGTTCTTTCTGAGCTTTAGTTTTATCCCTCCCAGTTTCATGGCAACCCGGAGTTGCACGGGCGACATTGAAAGTGCAAATCGATAGGATAATAAGACTGTTATAAAGACCAAAAGCTCACATGACAGCAATGATTTTTGATTTTTGGATGGTCATCGGTATTCAAGCAATTAGTCAAAGCAGATTGTGATATCAATAGTGGCATAGCCTCAATGCTGTTTGAGGCTGTTTGCTTGATACATTTGAGTGGCTTCGGCTGATTGGGATTAACTCTTAAGCAACTGAAGACCATGTTGGTGTGAATTTTAAGTTGCCTATTGTAAAGAGAAATATGCTCAGGTTATAAGGTGCCACCCGGTAGCGCCCTCGGACCATACATATCATCCGGTGCTCAGCATCACTCAAAGCTTATGGCTAGTTAACCGAACTTTCATTCTCCATTGTCTGATGAACTAATTGCCTATTCAGCCTCAAGGCCACCGCCTCAGAAAATCAAGGTTCACTGTGTGATAATTCATTGTTCTTTGTTGCATTTATTTTTGACTCTTCTCTTTATGTATGAGGGCAGATCATTAGGATTCGGTTGCTGAGAAAACTGGCCACAATTTAATACTTTCACAAATGATCTCGATTTACTACAATCAGTTAGAATCCTTCCTCTAGTTTTTATTTTTTGGTGAGACTGGAGTGATGTTTGGAAAAATAAGAAGAGAAGCAAATTATCAAGGGAGAACATCATGTCTGCAAGCTTCGTGATCGAGTAAAGTAATACGTAAAAATGGAAAATGTCCCTGATCATCATAGTCATCCTCAACTTCAAGAGACTGGTAGAATGAAAAAAAAAAATCAAGACGGGCATACAAGCTGGCTTTTCAGAAGGAGAGATAAGATGAATACCGTTTACACTTTTTTTTAATTTATTAATTATTTATTATTTATGTTTTGGATGTGGGGTTAGAAAAGGAGAAGTACTTGAGGGTACCCTTACGATCAACTCAGATATTCAACGGAGGTGGCTCCAACATACGAATGCTAACAGTCGCCTGATGAGTCAGTGCCTGAGCGTGATGGATGCTCTATGAAATTGAAATCAAATCCTCACGGGATATACAGAGAAGCTCAAATGAAGATATCTAAATACGTAGGAGTTAGGAAATAAAAGGGATGTGGATCAGGAAGTGAAATAGAGGAAAGATTGCAAAGCCCAAAGTGAAGGTGATGTTCGTTCTGGTGATACAACTGAAGAGGCAAACACCTTGAGCTATTGCCAAAAAAAAACAATTAAGCTAAAGTGGGGTTTTGCGCCTTGCTTGGTGTGGACTGGGCAGGAAGGTAGGTAGAGGGAAGGTGAAGGGCAGGGAAGAACGAGAGATTCAAAGCAGCAGCATCGAACCCGGCGGAAGAAAATCCCACTGGGTCCGAAGAGTCTTTCTTCCACTCGTCCTGGAAATCATAGTGATCATTAGTTAGGGGTTTTCTTGCATATAAAGCAAGGGATTCTGGGTGATTCTGCGGGCTTAACTGTCGTGACCGTAGGAGAATCTCTCAAGGGCAATTGATTCAAAGCCTGATTTTCTTGCTGCTGGCCTCCACTCAATGACTTTAAAGAGTCTAGCAAGGAGAAATCCTCCTCGTCTAGTAAACCAAACATGATCTTTGCCACTTTGCTATATGATGCTGCAGTGTAAACACTGGCATGTCAAATCATGTAAAAAATCATCAGCATGCTTTTTTTCTTTAGCAATGCAACATGTGCTCCAAGCGATAGAAACGATTCGTGGAATGCAAAGAAGAAGTGACATACCTAGGAGCCATCTCATCCATAATCGCGATTGCCAAAAGGATATTATCGCGCCTCAGTTGATTTTCCCGAGGACTGATCGACGCTCTCTGTTTGCGAATGGAGCATACCAGTCGGACAACAGTGACGATGAGTTCGAACGGCAACCAATGAAAGCCCTCTGTCAACATCTTCCGAAGCCGCAACTTGTTGATCGCTTGAATCGACGAGATCGCGAACTCGGCACATGTATTGATATGCGGATTGGGACTCGTCGCTTTGCGGTCTGGGCTATCATCTTGGTAGTTGAATAACGTTTGGTGTATCAACATCTGAAACTGTGAATAGTACCTTGAAATGAAAATGGAGAACTGCATAAATAAACCAATGCGTGTGCTCTCAAAAGATTTTTTCTTTAGAAATTATAAAACTATGTAGCTCACGTGATGACACGCACCGAAAACATCAACATTTCGGCAGGACCTTCGATGTCGACACGTTTGAAAGCCGGGGGTATCTTATCCAAACATCTGATCGCATTCAGATTGAGCTGGTCGACTAGCAATTTCAAGGGTTTGATTGATCCAGCTCCGCTGGGAGCCTTGGTATCACCTTGCATCTTGAGTAGAAGGCGCAGCATATGCTTGAGCGAACCGAGTCGAAACAGCAATACTCTGACTGCATCAAATGCAACATGTGCTTCACGAACGGCTGGACTGATATTCGAAAATGGATTCACAAAGATGCCCAGTGGATCACCACGAGAAACATGAGTTGGTTCTATAGCAACGGTGTCGTAAGATTCATGTGATCATTGATTATCAACTCTTTTCTAAAGATTCATCTTGGCATAGGAGCTTGAAATCACAAAGCACTACTGACGGAGATCAAAGTCATCATATTCCACGAGAGGCGCCCTACCCAACGAATAGCTAGTTCTGTAACCCATTTCCCATAAGTAAAAGAAAGCCTGACGCCGTAGGTAATCCTGAATAGGATCGGCGTTCCAAAGATGGTGCACTTCACGATGGGCACCGCATTCCTGAAGATGAGCAAAAGTAATGATAGAATTAGTACTGTTCACTCATTAGTGCGTTTCTTAATTACATTGATCTGTTTACTTATATTATCAATGAAAGAAATTGAAGAGGTTTACAAACAACTTTTACTTACTTGTGCAAGTAGCATACCCCGCTCAATGAAAATCCAGGTGATCGGGAGCTGGTGCGCACCTAGCGAGACGATTGTCAACAAGACAAAAGCTTGCAAGTGGAGAAGGGTTGCGCGATTGTAGGCAGGTCTAAAGAGAATCATAAGCCCAGCGTGAGCAAAGCGCAGTCCCACAAATTCACGAGACAACTGTGGCCTTCCGGTCAAGTCGAGCTGAACCCTAGGGTCAGTTGACCATCTGCTAGCAATGGAAAACATGAGCAGGCAGAGAGCTCTGAAGGTGGAATTGGTCTCCACGAGTCCCGACTTATGAAGCCCACGAAACATGGTCGGATGTATGACCGGGACGAATGGGTGGAAATGCTCGAAGTAAAGCTTGATCAGAGCTTCCTCCAAATCAGGCGCCGGATAGAAGCAGTTCGCGCCCGAAATGTAATCATCATTTCGAAGGCGAAGATATTCGTCCACCGGGCATAGGGCACCAAACTCCCAGACATGCAGTCTGGGAATCCCAAGCGATGATGGATCGGCCATGCTGAGCCCGGAATTGGGGCCGATGTATTGGTCCGGGGAGACTGTGAGACCAATAAATTTGGACATCGGTTGAGTCTTATCTGACTGAGTCCAATGAATGTCTGTGACAGGAGGCTTCGCTGCAATTTTCAAACCATGCATCCCCGTGAGAACAGCTGATAGCTGGGACTCAAAGTAGTCTTCCTCTATATCAGTTTGAGCCGCCTGAATTTCTGGTTGAAATTTTGGGACGGCGAGGGATTGGATGGGAAGCTGAGGCGCTCTCTCTGCATTCGAAACGAGCGTATCAGGATCTGGTAAGTTGTTGAGGTCAAGCGTAGGGTCCACCGCGTGGAGGAGACGCTCCAAAGATCTGATATGAGCTTCAAGTTGCTCGGCCTCTCTGGTAGTAATAGTATTTTGGTGAATGAATTATCAGTTCTTTAGACTTTGAAGTTATTTCTCCTAGAAAATAACGCGTACTTGACTGTTGGTGGTCTCTCTTTCAAACTGCCTGGATTGGCAAACGTGCACAATACCCCAAGTCTGACGCAATTATCACAGCGGTCATTCTAAAAAAAGAACATACAAGATGAGATACGTTGGTCACAGTCCATCAAGGCAGAAAGACATTGGACTTATTCACTTCAACGACACATTTCACCTTACTAGTCCGACATCTATCGCAACTACGAGGGATTCCTGCATAGGTAGAAACGCGTCAAGTCAGTTACTTTCTCGACGTTCATTCTAGCACAAGCAAAACAACATACGATACCTGCGCCGTTTCGGCGTGATTTCTGGATCTGGGTTGATTGCGTCCATCTAGCCGGCAGCGCGTATCTACATAAAATGTGTTCCTTGTTTTCGAAGATTTGCGAGGATTTGAGATCTCCAACTCTTTGCCTCGGTCTGTGGAGCGCTATTGTACCTTGACGCACGCACACCACGGGTGAACTCCAAGAGGCCGTGAGTTGTTTTCAAGACCAACGGGGTATTCAAGTCTCTTCTCAACCACAAACGGTCCTGAAGGTGACTGCCAATCACCGAGCCCACTTGAAAACCAGTGGTGATTTCCAGGAATGTGTGATCTCTTGACTCGAGTAAAAGACACCAAAAACGAAATTTACAAGGTTTTATTCTCACTTCTGCTTGCGAGTCCCAAATAATCAATCCACTATTATCCAGGAAGATATCTTTTCCTTGCACTTGTTGCAATCTTGGTGGCCAGTTGAGGTCTCACAGAGATTCCTTGTACAATCACTCCTTCAAATGACTCAGAGGCTAATATTTGGAGCATGTCCAAAGGAATTTTTTCTCGGAATCAAAGCTGATGAGTTTACTCCGAGCGTTGCTGCAGCAACTTGTGGTCATCCCAAAGCAAAGACCCCAGAATACCCAATACTTCCTGTTTTCCTTTTCTCTCAGACTCCATTTTTTCTTCCCCATATATTTCTGATAACCCATGGTTTCTAAATTTAGGGCATATCCATACCCCAAATTGAGGGGGGTACATCCATGCCTGTATTGCAACATTGGTGCCCAAGCATGGCCCTGCTCATAAAAAAATAGATTTCCATCTGAACACACTGATGAAAATTAGTGTATGACTTTTCACCCATCAAGGATTTACATATTTGCTTCTCTCTACATGGGATATTTCAGAATTTGATACTTTCACGAGCATATTTGATTCACTACAATCAGTGCATCAGTTGTGTTTTTTTAGCATTTCTTATTTGTCTTGAAATTCAAAAATAACTTGTAAGTCTTAAGAGCCGTAAGCATAAAGTAACCAGAATATCTAAGGAATCTCAACCGTTTGGTTTTGATCACATGGGCTTGGAATTCAAATGAAATAGAAATAACAGTCTTTGATGAAATGGGGTTTTAAACTCCTCATGGTAAACTACATATAAGGAAAAAGGCTTGATGAGTGTGTGGGTAACCAAAATTGGAGAAACTCATACGGATATCCAATCAATAAAAACGTACCATCCTGGACATCAACCCTGTTGGTTGCCGCTGTATTTCAAGCCCGACTAGAGAGGAGATGAAAATCAAATTAGGATACAAATGTTAGGTGCAGATATTGTGGTCAACTGACTGTACTTTCCAGCAGAGGTATCTAATGGCAACCAGGGCGCGAGTCAATCCCTAAAGGCAGAGTAGTTTCTTCAGCTAATTAGCTATAAACTAATGAGAAGAAAGGTGAGTGCTTACAATGACCGTAAAAACAACACTGTTCTCGGATCTGTGGTAGTGCAACAAGGCACTTGTCTAAGAAGGGCATGTAGAGAGAGTCTTGAGCATCCATCCCGGAAGCTGTTGGGTCTGCGTAGGAAGGATAAACTGATCACAACTGTCTCACTCACACTCATTGTAGGGTACGTATGGGTGAGCCGAAGTTGAACCGGCAAGCTTGAAAGTGCCTGTCAGCGCCGGTCTCTTATGTGACCTGGCGTTGATGGGGTTTACGGGTCACACTATAACTGCTAGTGGTACTAGCAGCCAATGGATTAGAAACCTCGCCTCGACGCTAGAAAGCGGAGGGGTTAAGCTCCCTGTAAATGTAGGGGACGCTTGCGGTAAGGTCTTCGCAGCGCCGGGCTTTAGAGGAATGATACACTCTCTTCTAGTCTACAGTATTGACTTTACTGTAGCCTAGGGATGAGATAAAGGATAAGGATAAGGATAAGGATAAGGGGGGTGGATAGTAATAGATTAAATGATAACCCCACTCACAATTGTATGTAAGGTGCACGGGTTGTATGGTAATAATCTCTAGGGGGAGGATTCTGGGGAAGAAGACCTCCCCCTTAAGTATTACAAAGGCAGGGGTCAACCTGCCTGTGAGACCGGTGAGGCCTGCAGAGGATCATTTATGTATATAATCATAAATGATCAAAATATGTATTTAAATTAAGCTTTAAACCAGAAGTGGAGGAAATGATGTCATTCAAGCTCAAAGGAGAAAGAATGATGTCATCTCTCTAATTACAGAGTATAGAGAGATGATTAAGATTTCAAATTGTATGTATATAAAATATGAATATTAATACAGAGGTGAATACTTAAGTAATTCCGTGGAATTACTTAAAGCATAAAAGTATAAAAATAAGATAATAAAAATATAAGATTACATAATTGGGATTTGAACCCAAGTGTGTTGGTGAGGCAAAGTCACAGTCCTTAACCAATACACTACAGTACATGTGTTTGTTGGTTAAGTACAGGTTGTAGACACATGGGCTACAGCCTCAGTGTCTGACAGTGCCAATCAACAGAATAACAAGACTGCTATAGAGACCAATGGCCCACATGATAGGAATGAATTTTTGATAGTTATCGGGATTGAAGCGAGTAGGCAAACGCAGATTGTGGTATCGACTCCTGGTGGCAGCAGTGGGGCTCAACTTGATGTTTGCTGTTGGCGAGTTTTATGTTCGGTGGATTACTTGGAACCCTAGTATATTGTACATAGACTTCCAGACACTCGAAATTCGCCAGTGTGGCTGGATTGGCCAATCGCACGTAGGATCAATCACCATGCTGTGCGAGGCTGTTTGCTTGGGTGATGTACTCCCTGGGATAAATACATCTGAGTGGCTTCGGCTGATTGGTTTTAACTTTTCAAGAAAGCTGCAGAACACGATCTGTTGTGATTTTTGGAAGTTGCTTAACAATCTCGAGCGTTCGTCCCCAATATTACGGTTACACGGTGCCGACTGCCGCCGCTAGCGCCCCCGGACCTCATCCTCCGCTCCTCCAGTCGGCATCACGGTTCACCCAATGCTTGTGGCCAATTAAGGCTTTTCCTGATGAACTATATTCCTAATCAGCCTCAGGTCACCGCCTCAGAAAGTGGAGCTTCACTGCTTGCTTTCTTCTCTACGCGTCAAGTCAGTTACTTTCTCGACGTTCATTCTAGCGACACCTGCGCCGTTTTGGCGTGATTTCTGGATCTGGGTTGATTGCGTCCATCTAGCCGGCAGCGCGTATATATTTGCATACAATGTGTTCCGTGTTTTCGAAGATTTGCGAGGATTTGAGATGTGCAGCTGTTTGCCTCGGTCTGTGGAGCCACACCACGGGTGAACACCAAGAGTTCGTTAGTTGCTTTCAAGACCAACGGGGTATTCCTGAACCTTGAACCAAAAACGGTCCTGAAGGTGACTACCAATCACCGAGCCCACTTGAAAACCAGTGGTGATTTCCAGGAATGTTTGCTTGATTTATTCGAGTAACAGAAGCCAAAAAAGAAGGTAAAGAAGACCTGGACAAGTAAGACACAATTTTGAGGTTCTTGATCCTCAGATTTCCGTGGTATACCACTGGTATCTGACAAACCACTGATATCAAAATTCCAGATGAGTGGGGGGGGGCATTGGACAAATTAGCTAACTATGCCCTCCTCCCAAGATGAATCTCAATGACTAATTCTAGTTGATGAATGCATAAATCTGAGAGTCTCCCCATATGGTGGCGAAAAATCCCCTAAAAATTTTCAACAAGAGTGGGAAGTCATAATAGAGCTGTCTGATTGAAAGCACACTCTCCAAGCATTGTCATTGCGGAGTGCAGGTATTGATTGATAAGATCTAGTTAACGATCTAGACAACCCGACACAAGATAGATAAGATTGGATGGTATAGGTATATTATATAGATGGATAATGTGCTGGTAAAATATATCTGTCTCATGGATTCAAATCAACCATAATAAAATATACAAACTTGATTGCAAAAGAAAGAGTATTCTCGGGGGGGGGTGTATTATGCTTGTTTGGCGGCCTTTGATAATTGTTCTAAGTTATAATGATAGTCTGTTTAAATGGAAAGACAAATCGATCAACAACAGAGCCGATCATCAGATGTAATCAAGGGAGAGAAGAAAATAGGAGGAAGTGAAACAGGGGCGAACCTTCAGCGGATTCGATGCAAGTCACATTAGCCTTAAGTTTATTAATAGTCTCGATGTACTCGTCCTCCTCGACGCTGTCATGGACGATCCCGCCGCCAGCCTGGAGATAGATCACCCCATCCTTAGCCACCATTGTCCGGATCGCAATGCAAGTGTCCATCGCCGACTCCTCAAAGTTGAACCGGCCCACCGAGCCCGCATACGAGCCTCGTCGCTCCTTCTCTAACTCGGCTACCAACGTGATTGCCTTCAGCTTCGGCGCTCCTGAGACCGTCCCCGCCGGAAAGATCGATCTAAATGCATCAAACCTTGTTTTTTGGAATTTGCGGTGGTGGAGGAGTGGGTTGTTTAAAGGACTCAGTGTTACATCCTTGCAAACAAACACTTTTCTTTCACCCGACAAAATTGTGAGAGCGACTTACCTCGTGAGACCTTCTCTCAAGACACCACTGACTTGACTAGTAAGATGCATGACATGACTGAATTTTTCTACAGCCATCAAGCTATCGACGTTGACGGTCTCGGGCCGACAGACGCGATTGACGTCATTCCTAGCGAGATCGACCAACATCACATGCTCGGCACGATCCTTGATTGAGCCGAGCAATTCCTGAGCCAACACTTCGTCCTCCGCCAAGCTTTTTCCTCTCCGGATCGTCCCCGCAATCGCATGGTTTTCGACAACCCCGCCCGGACTCACCTTGCACAGACATTCCGGTGAGGCCCCGATCAGTTGGACCGCCTGACCACAGTTGATATAGAACATGTAGGGGGAAGGATTGAGTCGACGCAAATGCCTGATAGGTTCCTTGATCAGAATGTCAGACAAGCGCAAGCTATCCCTTTCGGAGTCTTGAAATGCCGAAATTTTTAAAGAACTCACCGGTAGACGTTAAACGGATGAAGTCGGGTTTCTTTCTTCAGACGTTGGCTAGGAACGGCTTGAATGATATCACCTTTGCAGATGTTTTGCTTGAGGCTGGTAACGAAGCTCTCATAGCCCTGCTTACCCACGTTACTGACTGGCGGTGTACGTTCTTCTTTGGATGGAATCGGTTCTTGTACAGGTAGGGGAACATGACTGGATTCTAATTGACTGCACACGTCAATGATCTTCACCTTAGCGCGTTCGTAGGCCGCGCTGACCTGGTCTGCTGTGGGGGACGAGGCCGAGGGGATGATGACATTGGAGACGACCTTGACGGTTTGAAAGGTATGGTCAAATACCACGACGGTATCGCAAATCATGAACGCCGACTCGGCCATCCCAATCGGGTCCGACAAGGGACGGCGGGTGGTGGGCTCGAAGTGGAAGACACAATCGTAAGATACATACCCTATTGCGCCGCCTGAATGAGGGCAGAACCGCCATGGAAGAAAAAAAAATAGAGATAAATCAGACGAGGAAATGATCGGCCTTAACTCAGAGTGAGGCATGAAATACCGGTGAATGGGGGGATTCCGGGCACAGGTACATATTTGTACTTGTTGAGTTCTTCCTCCAGCGGAATCAAGGGGTCACCCTTGAATGCATAGTTTTCACCCGTCCTGAGGACCCTTGAAGGATCTAGGCCAATTCAATATTGATTAGTCAATGTGTTCGAAAAAGTCTGTGGTGATGAGACGAGAGAAAAGGGGATCCAAGGGATTTAATGTTCAGAGGACTCGAGGACTGACTGCTACCGACAAAGCTGTAACGAGCCTGGTGACTCCCGGCTACCACGCTCTCCAGTAAGAAGCTCTCGACGCCTTCGACGGTCTGATCGCTCGCCGAGGATGAAGTCTTTGACTGGCACTGTGCGCCATTGGTGAGTTTTAGATAAGCCGCGACCGGGGTGAGCAGGTCTGCTGGTAGCGAGACGAAGACCGGGAGACAGTTCCCCTTCTGTTGATTGAGAATGAGATCTTGGACGTCCTCTAAACTGGGCTCGAATTGGTATCGATTCAGAGGGACATGGACCGGCTGGTAAATGGAAGTGTCATCGATCAGTCAACGGTCTGCTCAAAGTTTCTATAGAAATTGGAACGAACTGGAATAGTTGACGGAGACATGGTCGTTTGTTTCCTGACGGGACACATTCAAGAATTGGCATCCGAAGTCAGTAAGATTGCTCGATTTTATTCGATCATGACCATCGGCTTGTGGTAATAAAGCAGCTCACGTTGGAGCCGATTCGGGTCAAGTGGATGTGTGCCTCGAGCGATTTCGGCTTGTTTTGTCGATGGATCTGGATGTGATGGTCCTATCTAGCAGACGAGGTCGATGTGTGTATAAGTGTTACTTTTTTCAAACTGGTCGAGAAAATAGAAATGGTCAGGACTCTTCCCAAAAACGTAATCGATGCTGAAAGGACGCAGGCAAGGTTTACACGTACACATACACCCTCTCCTGCGGTTCAGCGATCGTCCTATAAGCTGAGTGCGTTGTCAGTGCTGTATTCAGTTCCTTGGATGTAAGGGTGGACAGAACAAACTCGGTTCGAAGCTATCGGCGGAAGTAAACCGGCAAGATATCGGATGGGAAAGAGCTCGAAGCCTAAACAAGCAACAAGGTTTCTTTGGAGATGAGACGTTCACAGATGCTGTATGAGAAACATCGATTACATATCCTTCCATATTCATTCTCTTCGACATCGACGATCGAAGCCATCTAGTATTCAGAATCAGGACCATCCTTCTTCGTCTATCGACAGATAGGTTGATCGAGACGATCGATGTCAAGGAATGGATGGATTGGCGATAGGAAAGGAGGGAAATTTCGAAGCAGCTGCCTTCAGTGTTCATGTGCGAGCACAGTGAGCGCATACAACCAGCCTTTCCAAAGTTTGACTATCAGTGGATGCATCCCTCTGTTGTAGCTTCTTGACCATTCGGCCTCGGCTCTGGTAGATCTTCCCAATCACCCCGAGCCGGACGGTTCCACGAAGCCTCAGTATTATGCCGGCCCTCACAGGGAAGCCGCCGCCGGAGGTCGCGAAGGAAGTCGTTTTTCAACCGCCCTGAAAAAAAGGGAAAGGAGGGTGAGACCTCTGGCGATAAGGAATTGTACCGAGTCCTGGCTGGGACCCGATAGCAGGAAAGAGGCACTGAAAACCCTTTTATAAGAGTTCGACCGGGTTGGACAAGAAGATGTTTTCATGGCTGGGATTTCGGACCGGTTGGCTCTGGAGACTGACTCAAGTCGAACCGAAAACTTTAGGAAACTCCCTCAACTGTGTGCCAAGATCCAGCCAACATCTGCCACCTTCGCATCTCTCTCGTTACACTTTCTGATAATTGAGCCGATTTCCTCAACATTTCTTCCAAGCTCAGCTTTCCTTCCTGTTCTTAGAAACTGATCCATCCCTGAAAACAGACAGCAGCAGCAACCTGGCTTACCGCATCAGACTTGCAGTCTCCTTCGTGACCCACTTCCTGCACATCCATCCCTTCTCCAATGGCAATGGTAGAGTTGCTTGACTGGCTGTTGGTTGACCTCACTATTGTTCCAATCACTATCACTTCTAAACTTGGCTGGCAGCATTTCTTGGAAGCCCTCATGAAAGACAGCCGCCATAGTTCCCCCTTTGTTCCACTTATTATTTCCCAACTTCTACTTGAGAGTGTCTTCCATACTGTCAGCTGGCAAGCAAAATACAGTTACCCCTTAACTAGTCAACTGAGTATTTTGCTACACCAACTGCACTTCATACATTTCACACTCATGTCACTCATTTTCTTATTCATTTCACTCATTTCATTATTAACATACTCTACATATGCTTGTATCTAGTTGGCCTTGCCAAGCCAGATATATAAAGTTGTACGGACTGAAGTCTATTGTTCCTCAGACTTTCAGAAGAGACGAAAATAATAATAACCTTTTATTTTAATCATCCCTCTTGAGTTTGAAGATACATCAACAAATCACTGCTTCAAACTTGCCTGTTCCCTTCACATCACCACATCACTGTCCGGAACTCTCAGCCTGCACTTCTCAAAACTTATCAACGGCTTGGGCGTAAACTCTTTGGATCAGACCAGTTTCTTTCTACGATTCGGAGCCACTGGACAACTCCAGTAAACTTCCGTTGAGCGGATACTAGTCACCTCGGAGTAACCCACCGCTGACACATACAGCAGGAAAGCACACTTCTGTCTAGCCTTGTAAGAAGAATGGTCTGGTTCTCTCCCTCTTTCTGTCTATCTCTTCTTTCCCAATTGTTTCATTTACTTATATTAATGAAGTTATAATATGATTGTTGATTTATTTGATTACAGCTGCTGTTTAATCCTTCCATGTCTCATGAGGGAAGTACCAAGTTTTTTTATTGGCTATCTCTTTTTAAGGGTCTTAGCTAATCGACTCCCAAAAAGTGGAGGATTGACTCCCAAACCCCGAAACCCCCGGAATTTCCACCGAAATCCCCGAGGAATGGGAGTCGATCCCCCAAACCCGTCAGCGGGTTTGGGAGTCGAAAAGCTAGTAATTTTAATAAAAAAAAAGGCCAACCCCCGAAGGAGTTGGGGGTCGACGTCCCAAAACCCACTGGGTTTTGGGTGTCGCTTACCAAAAATAGCCCGCAACGGCCGGGAGGATTCCTCCCGGCCACTGATGGCACACCCTCAGCGGCCGAGAGAAACAATCTCGGCCGCGAAGAGAGTACACTCTCATCACGCGAGAGTGTACCCTTTCCGCCGGTGAGAGGGTACCCTCTCCTCAGCCGAGAGTGAACACTCTCGGCCGATGAGAGTGTACACACTCAACGGCCGGGAGAAAACCTCTCGGCCGTTTGAGAGTGTACACTCTCATCGGCCGAGAGTGTTCCTCTTAGCCGCTGAGAGTGAACACTCTCATCGGCCGAAAGTGTTCAAACGCGGCCGCTGAGAGTGAACACTCTCATCGGCCGAGAGTA